CACCAAGAGCCATAGCTAGCCAGTGCTACCAAGAACATTCCTGCAGAGTTCTAGCCTAGGTGCTGAGGCGACAGAGGAACATGGTTCCCCCTGTTCTCTTTTCCAAGGTCACATCACACACAAAGTAGCCTGGGTCCCAGAACCCCTGGAAACAGGACGGAGTTTTCCTAGCCTTTTGTACCCAAGGCTGTGGAACAGACTCACAAGAGTACAGGGGGAGGCTCTGGACCACCCCAGAGAGCAAAGGCGTTCTGCCAGACTCAAGGAGTTCACATAGGACCAGATCCACCAGTCTGTTCAAGAGCTTTGTGGAAGCCACTTTTACCATGCAGGGCCCAAAGATAAGTTCCTATGGCAGTCACCATCTGTCCTAAACCACATCTGAGCAAACTCAGGTAGAATGGGATAGAAAACAAAACATTCATATCCTTTAAAAGGAACGGGCTTTTGGATGTCATCGTTTTCATGTAAATTCTGTAAATGTTGACAATGCACTGTTTATTACACTTCAGTGTTCACGAGACACACTCAGTTACCTCTCTGCCCTCGCCTATTGTGTAGTCTGTTTGCAATTGGTTTTGTGTGTGCCTCTGTGTGTGTGTGTGAGAGAGAGAGAGGTGCCTGTGCGTGTGTGTGTGTGTGTGTGTGTGTGCCTGTGTGTGTGACATTAAAATAATAGTTCATGTGGAGACACGGGTTGTCATCTCCCCACCTGTGTTTATGGGTGTTCACTCTGCAGCTTTGCTAGTGCAAAGCCTTGCTGTCACAGTCATGGTATTTGTAACCTGTCTGGAACTAAAGGGTAGGAACAAAATCATTTTCTTATATTAAAAAGAAAGAATCATGGGCTAGGGGAATGGCTCAGTTGTAGAGCACTTGGATCAACCTCCTCTCTCTCTCTCTCTCTCTCTCTCACACACACACACACACACACACGAATGGAAGAGGAAGAGGAGGAGGAAGGAGAGGATGAGGGGGGAGGAGAAGAAAAAGGAAGAGGAGAAGGAGGAGTGACCCACAAAAGTCAGTGGGACTATGCCCTGACTTCCCAGACATGATCCCTGCCCTTCCTGTGCGGTTTCTCTGACCAGAGCCTTAAAGGCCTCTGCACAGCGCCTGGCCCCTCTGTGGGTTTGCTACACCGTCCCCTCTCTCTCTGTCATGGCAGCTGTTTACAGCCACCAGCAAGTCTGCTGCTCCTCAGCTTCACACGGAGACCCTCGCGGTTCTCCCCAGCTTTCTGGTCTCCCTAGTTCTCACTAAGGGGGCCACTCTGGAGCCAGAGTCTGAGTCTCACAAAGGCCTCCAGGTGACTGAAGCAGCATTAGGAGGCGGATTGGCGGCTGAGAAGACACCTCCCTCGTAACTGGGAACATGAGGGCCCGCGGAGCTTGCTGGCTTGTCTCTCAGCCTCGAGGCATCAGTAAGTTGCAGGTGAAGTGAGAGACCTTATCTCAGAAAACAATATGGAAAGCCAGGCGTGGTAGCACATAACTTAAAGCCCAGTACTCGGGAGGCAGAGGCACACAGGTCTGTCAGTTTGAGAGCAGCCTGGTCTACAGAGTGAGTGCGAGACCAGCCAGGGCTACAGAGTGAGACCCTGTCTCAGTAAAACAAAAACAAACAAAAATCTACCCATAAGCAAAATATACACACAAGATAGCAGACACCTGAGGTTGTTTTCTGGCCTTCACAGACACGTGCACGCGTGCGCGCGCACACACACACACACACACACACACACACACACACACACACACAGAGTGATTTAATTAACTAATTAAAATGCAAAAGCCTCAGGAGGGATCCCACAACCCTTCCATTATGAAGAAGTCAATTGCTTATGAAGAGGCTAGCTGTTGTGGCTTGAATACAAAACGCGGTCCTCCCAGGCTCTTATCCCCAGCTCGTCCTCCCAGGCTCTTATCCCCAGCTGGGGCGCTTTTGGGGGGAGGCTCTGAAAACTTTGGAAGGTGGAGACTGGCTGGAAGAAGTAGTCTTGTCCTGGTCCCTTCCTGCCTCCTCTCTCTGTTTCCCGTCCATCATGATATAAGCTGCTCTACCATGACTGTCACCATGATGGGCCGAACCCTCAGAAACCAGGGACCCAAATAAATCCCTCCTTTAAGTCATCTATGTGTTTTGCACACAGTGACAAACAGCTGATGCCACAGCCCTCACCAGGTATCAAGATCTATCAGGCCCTTGGGTGTCAGCCTCACCCAGTATATGATTTTTTTTTCAAGACAGGGTTTCTCTGTGTGGCTGTCCTGGAACTCGCTCTGTAGACCAGGCTGGCCTTGAACTCACAGAGATTCACCTGCCTCTGCCTCCCGAGTGCTGGGATTAAAGGCATGCACCACCACTGCCTGGCCCAGTATATGATATTTTCTTACAGTAATAAGACTAAGAAAATCAGTGAATTAAGTGAATTTTCATTTAATCTTCTTCATATTATTTCATTACATCTTAATCTTACATCTTTGCTTGTATGAATGATCATGGATTCAATTTGAGTCCGGACAATTTAATCCATTTTTTGTTGCTCTAGGAAAATGCCTGAAGCTGGGTGATGTGTAAAGAGAGAGAGAGAGAGAGAGAGAGAGAGAGAGAGAGAGAGAGAGAGAGAGAGAGAGAGAGAGAGAGAGAGAGAGAGGGGGAGAGTGTTGACTCACAAGTCTTGGAGACTTGGAATTCAAAATGGGATAACCTCATCTGTTCAGCTCCAGGGACAAGCTTCTAGCTATGCCACACAGTAAACAGGACGCCATGTGAGAGTGAACAATTGTATGATGAGCCAGGAAGCCAGAGGGGTTCAGGGTTCAGGCTTCAGGCGTTCTTTACATGAGCTTTGTCTGGCGAGAGCTAACGTGGGCACTTCAAGAATTACATCAGTCTATTCAGAGGGTTACGCCTCCAAGGTCTACCCACCAGACCTGTCATCATTTCCACAATGGGGGACAAGCTTTGGAAGACACACTCAGTGCCACACCTGACTCTCGTCACAGACCTAACGCAGCCTGTTTCTAGGAAAGGGCAAGGTGAGCAGATGATGGGTTAAACGCCAACAATTTGCAAGCAACTGCTCAGTCAAGAGGGGTTTGCGAAGCTAATATGTCAGAATCTTTAAATCAGCACATGAAGGATGCAAACCCTTGTTGTGAAGGCCCTTGTTGCTGTTCCACCCAGAGCCCTTCCTCTGGACCAGGGTACCCCCTCCCCAGGGCCTGGAAAGCTGAGGGTTTGCAGCTATAGACTTTGCAGGGACAGGAGAGGAAATCCCTCCTAGGAGAATGATGTGTTAGCAAGAGCACAAAAGCTAACATGGAAGTCACGTTCAAATATTAAAACTGTCCCCTGGACATGAAGGACATGGGAATGCACACAGGAAGTCCCAGGCTCCTTAAGATCGAGGCTCAAAAGCAAGCAAACAAACAAAAACATTGTGTAACTGGTAAGATGTGATGTTAACACGAATCCCTTCTTAGTATTCTCTGGTCTCTATTGTGTGTCAGATGGCCATCATAATGAAAAAGACCAGTGGGATCAAGAATACGAGTTAAATTCCACCAGCTGAACACTTTGACAGGAACTTTCCAGAAGGGGAAATATCGATTGAAAATAGAGCCGGGGCTGGGCCTGGGTGGCAGCAGGCTTACTTAGCACGCCCAAGGCTCTGGATTTGACCCCAGCACCACGAGCAATCAAGCAAACAAGCCACTTACATGTTAGGCAGGACTTTCCACTCCTCCCAGGGACTTCTCTCAAAGCCTCACTTTGATACCAGGTCCCATTCGCAGACATGCCATTAAAATTCATTCCAAAGCCAAATGCAAACTCTCTACAAACTTAAACTCCTTTCTTCAACATAGTGCTTAAACCAAGTCCAAGTCTCAGCAGAGTCCCCCTTGGAAGTGCAGAAGCCCTCCAGGTGCTTACCTGAGCTGCCTAGGATGCACATTATCTGTCCACTCTCGATGTACAAGGAGACATCTTTGAGGATTTGCCTGTCCCAACGCTGCTGGAAGGACTTGATGTTCCACCAGGGCCCGACGCGGTTGCTTTAAAGGAAATCCCACAAGGGCAAGAGCAGTGTAGGGTCCTGGGAGGGGCCAGACCCCTGCTTCCCAGCCTGGAACCCACCTCTAGCCCATCCCAGCATCCCAGGTGCTCCTGGACAGTTTGACAACTTTATTTCAGGCTCTATGCCCTTGGAGGGAGGTGTAGTGACTACTGGTTGACCACCACCCAAGGAACGTGCCTCCCAATAGCTGGGTCTCTCTATTTGGTTGCGGGACGGTAACCTGCACTGTGTTTATTCTTGAGGTGAACCCTGCACTCCTTCTGCAGGTTTCATTCCACCTTGTGCCCCCAGCACCCCCACTTTCCAAGCCCTCTCCATCCACACAGGGCAGGTGGAGGACAAGCCAAGGAAGGGGTGTGGGTAGCGCAAATTGGCAAGGGAGGAGCTACTCACTGCTGCGCACTGCCTGATGGCAGCCTTGCCTACTTCCACCCTGATCTGCTAAACAGGTAGCCCAAAGGCCCCAGGCCCACCCACCCACTTGGTGGGAAAAGGCAGCAGAGATTTTGGGAAGCCCAGCTTTCTGCTGTGGGGTAGCCTTACCTGACACTGAAGGAGACATGGAGGACACCTAAGCTGTGCCGAGCCTCCGAGCCGGTAACAGATCCCTCCTCCAGGGAGCTCTGAGAACTTCTGTTGATGTGAGGTCCTCCGGCTCCCTCTGGGCTCAGAAAGGGCATTTCACTCATAGCCAGCAGGAAGCAAATGCAAGTGAATTTTCTAGTGGCCTGTCCCTGTCCGAAGTAGCTTCAACTGAGGACCCAGTGGGAGTGCCCTGTCTGATCTTGCCCAGCCCTGGAGTCCCTCGTGAGACAGCAGGACACCAATTTGGCCACCGATGCCATTATCTGATGTACCTTTAGCCAGGGTGTCCTTATCTCGACAATAGGCAGAACACACAGTGTGTTTGTAGGAGGGCTTGCCAGAGAGGAATGCTGGGAAAAAGGCTGGCACGGAGGAGGAGGGCTCAGGTGGCCCGGCTCTAAGGAACAAAGACAGAGAGAGCATTGGCCTGGCCAGGAGCAGTGAAGGCCCACAGCAGCCACCCAGAGGAACAAATGTCACAGGTCGTGACTGAGAAGACCACAGAGGAGACCCGGCTGTGGAATGGGGCTGTACTTGATGCTTCGGTGAGTAAGTTTGGTCTTGGGGTGGGGGCAGAGTGGAACTGGCCTTTCTTTCCTACCTCATAAATTTTAGTCCTAATTCTCCACCTAGGCCTCGAGTAGAGTGGAGATGAGGCCCTGTCCCCTCAATGTTGTGGGGCTGATGGGAGCAGACTCAGGAGCTAGGAGACCTCTGAGGTCACTTCCCCGATGTTCTCGTGGGTGACTGGAATTGGTGTAGGTTTCCAAATGACATTCCATCACAGAAACTCTCACACTCACAGGAAAGCCAGGGCTTTTCTGATAGAGTGTTGGCCCATGTGGCTGTCAGGCCAAAAACAATCTCAGTGGTAGCCAAGACACAGAAGTGAGAGGATGACAAGTGTCTTTTATGGGGGGAGGGGGGTCCGAACGTCTACGCTTGGAATCTTATGAACTGGGAGAGACATGGAATGAACAGACAGCAGCCAGCTGGCTGGGAAGCAGAGGTCCAAGGCTTCCTTTCCCATCACGCCAGAGAAATGTTTGCCTGATAAACGGCCTCTGAGTGGGGCGGTAGGCGGACTTTGAAGAAGAAAGCAATATTGAAAGACAGGGAAAATTTCCCCACTCTTGACTTCCACGCCCCGCCCACTTTTCTAGAGAGAAAGACAAGAAGGAAACATTCACTTCCGACAGGGAGGCCATAGTCCCCTGCCCTGGCCTGGGATTGACCAACACAGGCACTACTATCTAGCCAAATCTACTGCCACAGCAGCAGCCAAATCTGCTGTCTGAATTCCCCACAAGGCAGACACCAATGAGACAATAACTCCCTCTGTCACCTGGAACGCCGATGCTGCCTTCCTGAGCAGAATATAAAGTCGGTGGCTGCTTTGGAGTCTTTCACCCCTTAGGTTACCACCACAGCTAAAGAGGCAAAGAATGGTCCGAATCCTGTCTCCACGAGTGGTCCTGTCACTTCCAAGTCCCTCCTCTTCCATCCTGTTTTGCAGGTGCCCTGTGGTGGCTTGCCACTGACAACCATGGGGCCTTGAATAAAAACAATGAGTCTGTGGCTCCAAACTTGCAAGCTGTTCAGGCAAGCTAACAGCTGTTCGATGGTTTCCACCTTCTCACCTCTGCTTGTAAAGTTAGAAACCCCGGACTTCTTGAGGAGCCGGCTTCTGGTCCATGCCATCCCCTTTTCTGCCTACCCAGTGGCTCACCCTACAAGGAACTCATCGTACAGGGGCCACATGCTCTTCCCACCCACATTCTAGGCAGGCCACCTACAGACAGTCGCTCCTCTAGCCTCCGAGCATGCCCCTTGAGTGGCACAGCCCTTGCTCAGGAAGGTGGCCCGGGAGGACGAATGAGATTAGGGCTGTCTACGCAGGGACTGCTGGCCTTGAGTATCAGGGTGGCAGGGCTGCTGGTCTACAGGAATGGGGACAGGAAAGCCTGGGTCTCAGCAATGACAGGTGAAATCATGTCTGGAGGTGTCAGTGGAGGGCCAGGCATGTGCCTTGGGCTGGAGACTTACCCTTTTCGTCCCTGCCAGCCTCGGTCCTCCACACATTTCTCCCTTGTGGTGCCCTCTGAGTTACCCCACCTGTCTGTGCTTCTGACTCAGAAATCTAAACAGAAGTTACTGTGAGGAGACATTACACTATAGCCCTGAAGGAGTAGAGCCAGTTCCTACAAATAAAAAGCCGCTTTCATTTTTTTTGGGTGTCACCTGTCACACATTCAAATGATGTTCTGACAGTCATACTGATTAGCGTGTCAGCTGAGTAGATATTTAAGTCTTTGAAAAATACAGAGAATTTGTCAAAACCTCGGGAAGAATCTAACAAATCCTTCCTGGGTGCCAAGGAAAATATTTTAAAATGAAACAGAAGTCATCCATAAGCCAGACACGATTTTTTTCCCGGAAGCTGATTTCTCTCTGTGGCTCCTGGAAAACCAAGCTCTCCATGGTGGCTGGGGTGCGTGGGCCTGAGTGAATCTGAGTAGTGAGCTGGGCACTGCTCAGCTGCACCCTTCTGTCCTCCCTGTCTTCCATTCTGTCCTCCATGTCCGTCTAAACCCTAGGATCTCCATGCCTCTCAAGTCCCAACAGCAGGGTAACTTGGGAGCTCACCACAGACCACCAGACACAATAAGACACAAAGTGTCTAGTGATCCCTTCTGAGCAGTCTCTCCACCCCTGAATTCAATGGAAACTTTGTGTCTGCAGAAGCAACTAAAGAACTAATTCCTATCTGATGTAAATCAACTAAGACCTCTCTAGAAGATAATTGATTTGCAAACAAGAAAAACCTAGGGACTGGGACGTGGTTCTGTCCCTACAGGACTTGGCCTAGCGGGCTTGAGGCCATGGATTTAATTACCCAACACAGAAAAACCAAAGAGCAGCCCCACTATATAGCCCCACTGCAGAGAGCACAATCGTATTACCAGTGCTGAAAGGAGCAGGCGAGGGAATGGTGGGTGGTCAGATATTGAGCATTAAAATGAGATGGGAGAACTGAGTCCTAGTGTTCTGAAGCACAGTGGGGTGACCACAGCTTACACACACACACACACACACACACACACACACACACACACACATACACATATACCCACTTATATATACATCTGTGTGTGTATATGCATACATGTGCACACATAAATATATATATATACACCTGTGTGTATGTGCATATATATACACACACATTTTTTAAAATAAAGTTCAGAGAATGAGGCTGAAGAGGTGGTTCAGACATTAAGAACACTTGCTGTTCTTGCAGAGTTAACAGGATTTGGGTCCCGTCACACACAGAATGGTTCATAAGCACCATAACTCCAGGTCCAGAGAACTCCATGACCTCTTTTGATCTTTGAGGGTACCAGACACATACCTGCCACACACACATGCACAAAGGTAAACACTCACACACGCAAAATTAAATTTTTTTAAAATTTCAGTTTCAAAAACAGATGACCAAAGAGAAGTATTTGATGTTTTCCATCATGAAGTAATGATAAATGGTGGAGGGGATGGAGATGCTGAGCACCCCCACTTGATCATTACCCGTTGAACACATGTATCAAATGATCACACAGACAATTTGAATATACTGCCACCCCAACAATAACAATGACATAGTCATTGTGGTGATGATGGCAATAATGATGGTGACTGTAAGAACTCCCTCTGAAATGTAACCCAAAGGATTATTCAAGGGCTTTGTTCCACAAAATCCCTTACCACTGTAAGGGATACTCAGGGTCAGCTCGCTGTTGTCTGTCTCTTTTTCATGGTGTGTCTATTTGACAGTAGATGACATTAGGCCAGGTATGGGAAGTGAAAGCCAAACATTAGTTTACTGGCTCCCATTGGCATCTGGAGTGGCACTGTGGATTCAGGTGTGCCAGCCTGAGACTGAGGGTCTCTGAGGCTGCAGCTGTCCCCGGGAAAGCCCAGGGCCTCCTGAAAGGTGACACACCCCCATCAATGTTCTCATTTTTCTCAGTCATGACGCACCACATGGATGATCCCAACTCCTGTCGGTGTGGAACCTCGACCCCAGTGCCAGCAGCTGCCCATGACACTCAGGTCCCCTCCTCTGTCTTCTATGTCCTCAGTTACCTCTGAAGGGGGCCCTCACCTGCCATGTCTCCCTGCAGGGCCTCCAGGACAGCTTGTTCTCCCCTGAAAGTGACAACAGCCTGTACTTCACCTACAGTGGTCAGTCTAACACTCTGGAGGTCAGAGATCTCACCTACCAGGTAGGGGCACGTGCCTGAGTTGAGCAGAGAAAAGTGGGCAGGTAACAAAATGTTTGGGGAGACCAAGGGTGAGCCCAACCTGTAGGTTCTCTAACCCCAAGGATGAAGTTCTGTCTCCCCTGGTGCAAGCTCCCACCTTCAGCCAGAGATGTGCAAAGGATGGAGACCCCTGGGAAGATGTTAAGGTTCACTGTGAAGACCTGTGGGAAATGCCTCTGGAACTCATGACTTTAAAATCTGAAATCACTCTAAGCATATATATATATATATATATATCATATACACATAATATGTGTGTATATTAGATATATGTGATATAGCTATGTATATATTATATGTAAATCTTATAGATAGATAGAAGATAGATGATAGATAGAAGATAGATGGTAGATAGATAGATAGGTAGATGTAGACAGGTGGGTGGATGAATGGAGGGATGGACGGATGGACGGACAGACAGACAGACCAACAGATATCAAAGGGGCTGGGGTGATGGCCAACTCAGGAAAGTGCCTGAGGCACATGCGTGAGAGCCTGAGCTCAGATCTCCAGAACACATAGAAGAAAATCTGGCCTGGGAGGCACATTCTGCAGTCCCAGAGCCAGGGGTGTCCATGGATCTCATTCAGTTGTTTCAGCAAGAGAGCAGGCCTCAAAAGTAAGGTAGAGAACAATTAAAGAAGACAGCACCACTCATTTCTGACCCCCACACACGTATGTGCAAGGTGCGTTGGCACCCGCGTGTGCATGTACCTACCTGGAGAAAACACACTGCAAAACACAGTGTTTCCACATAGCCTTTGTGTGGCTTCCCTCAAAGTCAACATCTTGCAAACTACATTGTAGTTACCAAAACTAAGAAATTAACAGTAGCCTCTTAACTAAACAACAGTTTATTGAAATTCCATTGTTTTACATCTATCTATCATCTATCAAATCTATATATCTATCATCTATGTAATCCATCATCTATCTATATCTATCATCTATATCTATCTATATAATCTATTGTCTATTTATCTATCTATGGTCTAGTTTATAAAATGCGTTGTTCTATTGCAGATAAAGTATCCAGAATGATGGGAGGGTCTCAGCAATGCCCTTGTCAGAATTCAATGACTCCGATTCCCCCACTTTCCCAGGGGTAGACTACCTGCTGCCCAAGGGGGATGGTAAAATTCAAAGTCCCAAGCTGGCCTTCTTGTGGGTGTGAGCTAGAGTAAAGGAATGAGCCACTTTGTAACCTTTCTCTGCTCTGCCATGAGCTGTAAACTGTGTCAGCTTGAGCAAATTCTCTAATTGCTTTAAACAGGGTCTGTGAAACAGATGACACTAGTACCCACGCCATATGCTCGCAATGAACAGTAGATGGGAAAAATGATCCGATGTGGTCATTGTAACACCTTGCAGGTGGTAGACACTGTTTTCTGCTATTCCACATTCTTTCTGGTCCCCTTAACTCTATACTTGAACAGGACGGTAGGGTCTCACTGCCATGTTGGGTAGGATCTACGTGCCTTGAGATCTGTTGTGTCTCGGGAGCATGGTGTCTCCTGAGAGATGAGTTACACAAGGCACGGGAGAGCTGAACAGACCCTGCTTCTGTTTCCCCACAGGTGAATGTCGCCTCTCAGGTGCCTTGGTTTGAGCAGTTGGCTCAGTTCAAGATACCTTGGAGGTCTCACAGCAGCAAAGACGCCTGTGATCTGGGCATTCAGAATCTGAGCTTCAAAGTGAGGAGTGGGCAGATGCTGGCCATCATAGGAAGCTCAGGTACCAACGGAGGCCGCCGTGAGCAATGGCTCTTCTCCCCCGGGATGCAGAATAGCCTTTGGTCATGGATCCTGCTTGTAGAACTCTGAGAAAGACAGAGTAAGATAGCAGAGTGGGTGAGAACACAGGGTCTGGGCCAGACAGATCTGGGTTCAAATGTCACCTCCTGCATCCCCTAACTCCTGGATGTTGCTGCTGTTGTGAATCTGAGTGTGACTCTGGTCCACCTGAAGCTGTAGCCACAGTGTCTGCCTCCTGTTAACACTGGACTGAGACAATGTACAGGCAGCTTCAGAACACCATGTCCCTCCACAGCCAGACTCAGGTCATGGCCAGACAATGACTCGGCAGGGCCCCGACGCCACTGACCCCTCCACAGTCCCAGCATAACCTTCAACCATCTGCAAAGAGCCAGATCCTCAGGGTGTCTCAGGCAGCCACTTTCATGAGTCAAATCTGAAATTACAGAACCTCACAGGTGTGAGGGGCTTGGAGAACAGTTTGTTTTCCTTATTATATTCTGCCTTCCTCCCTTCCTGTTTGGAAGCATTTTAGGAAGATTTTCAAATCCCCTGGTCCTCTGTACTTCTAGAGTGTTCTTTGTGTCAATACACATGTACACACACATATGTGTACATTCACACGCACATGAGCGAGCACACTAGCACTCTGTCTTACATGCGCATGTGTGCACGCATGCACACACACACACACACACACACACACACACACACACACACGCTCATTTGACAGATGAGAACAATAAATCCAAAAAAGTTGAGTGAGTCTCCTGAAGATGCAAATTTAGCTAGAGCTACTGTCTTGCACTTAGCTCTTCCCGGGACTCCTTTACACGGCGTTAGAGAGAGTACTTTATACTTTTTAATTAATCATTTCCAGAAGGAAGGATTACTCAACACTTCAAACATCTGTTTCAAACTTTTACACTCTTCTGATAGAGCTGTTTACTGTCTAACCAAAGATCAAATGGGCTACGATATGTAAACGCACTTTGTAACTGAAACAACATGCACACTCATTCAAGCCCTGTCACTCTGGCCCTGACCTTGTGACTCTTACCTAAACAAGAAAAAGCTAGCTTGACTTATCATGTCTGATGACACTTCTTGTTGTAGCTGTTTTTGTGGGGCATCCAGGAGACACGTGGGCCATTACTCAGTCAATGACGATGAATACCGATGAAGGCTTGGTCTATATGTTCCTCTAGCCAGCAGCATCCCTGATTTTTAGTAAGGAAGGTGGAATTCAGAGAGCCGGAGCAGGAATCATGTTGACTAATGTTCAGGTTCAGGCTCAGCTTTGCTTGGCTTCTGATTGTTGAACCTTCTTAGAAGGATTTATTCATTACACTTCCTGTGACTTCAAGTGCTTTCATTAGTACCACACACAAGGAATATGAATATGCATGCCAGCCATAATAATAATTTTTAAATATTCTAAAAAAAATAGCTCCAAGCATTTGCCTGGTTCTGTAGCATCAGCCATACAAAAGGCTTTTCCAGTTCATGAAGTTACTGGGGAGGCAACAGCAGCCACCTTATAAGACTCTTGAGCGCTAGGCTCTTCGTTTGCCCAAATGCACTAGGTGCCTCTGTCTTTTGCCACAGGCTTGCTTAGGACGTGTGACCTTCCTGCCCTCTGACAGGGGATCCCCTGGTACCTGTGAATGCTGGCACAGGCCCCTGCACTCACAGAGGCTAGCAGCAGTGTCTGTGGCTGAACCTGGAACAGGGCTGAGGCCTCTCTCTCTCTGGTTCCTCTTGGGGATATTTTGTTCAACCTAACCTTTCAAGAAGCCTTAATGGGGCACACCCAGCAGGCAGACTACCAGATGCCCCCACTCTGAGCCCCTGAACACTAAGCAAGCGGGTCACATCCAAAGACCCCTGGGCTCTTGGATTTTGCAGGCAGCATGTGACATGTGTCAAGGAGGACTTGTCATATACTGTCTATAGGCGGTTGCCTTGTTTACAAAAGAAAAAGAAGCTATTAATTCCATAAAAGCCTCCATGGTGAGAAAACCCAAACCTTTCCTGGGAGAGCCAGGCAGAATGTCTTCAGCTCGGTGACAGGTGTGTGCTCTCCAACTTAAGGAGTGCTCACATTACAGCTTAAATAGTTATAGGAGAGCCAGTGGTGGTGTCTGTCATGTGCCTTTAATCGCAGCACTTGGGAGACAGAGGCAGGAGGATCTCTGAGTTTGAGCCAGCCTGGTCTACAGAGTGAGTTTCAGGATAACCAGGGCTACACAGCGAGACCCTGTCACCAAACAACCATGGAGTGAAAACCTCATCAAATTCTTTTGGAGACTAGATCTGATGTGATGCTCTCTCCTCCAAATTAATACACTTTAATACGTTGTTCAGAAGTGAATGAAGGGATCATTTTCTTTTTTTTTAAGGCCGAGAAAGAGCAGACACTGATTTTTAAAATGAGAAAAGGCTATAGATTAGATACATGTGGATGTTATGCATTGGGCTATGCTTGAGAATGATGCTCCATCTATTACCTAACTGTTGTTTTTCCTTACATTTCTCAACGTAGGTTGTAGATTTTTGTGGTTCTTGTTGTTGTTTTGGTTTTTTTCCATTTGTATCTTTGTTTGTTTTTTGAGGCAGGGTTTCTCTGTGTAGACCTGATTGTCCTGGAGTTTGCTCTGTAGACCAGGCTGGCCTCCTACTCTTGGGCCTCTACCTCCCCAGTGCTGGAATTAAAGGTGTGCACCACCAAATACCCTGTAGTTTTGAATTCTTCAAAGATAGGCTATGAATGTTACAAATTGGTCATTTGCACAAAGCCACTTTGGAGCCAAACGATGATGAATGATGAGACGTTGCCAAGGTTTTTTGTGTGTGTGTGTGTGTGTGTGTGTGTGTGTGTGTGTTTTTAGCCAAAAAAAATTTGCTACACTTTGCAGTACAATTAGTCTCAGGCTTGCTTGGGAGAAAGCCATTGGTTAGCAGCGGGAGGGGAAATGCAGCAGGGACAGCAACAGGCTTGTAGCAATCGGGACTCCAGCCTTCTTCTATCTGAAACCTCATTGTCAACGTGTCCCCACCCACTCAAGTTGGCCACAGAAGAAAAAAGGTGCACCCCCTTGCGTTGTCCCATGCAATCCAGTAACAGTGTCCATTCCTCTGGGGGCTCTGCTGCTTCCGCAGTGCAGTCCTGGAGTTTGGAGAGTGTGTGGGGAGTGGTAGCTGGCAGGTGAGCCCTGCAGAAACTCTGCCCTCAGGGATGTCTCTGGCTTTGCAGGCTGTGGGAGAGCCTCACTGCTAGACGTGATCACAGGCAGAGACCACGGAGGCAAGATGAAATCAGGACAAATCTGGATCAACGGGCAGCCCAGCACGCCCCAGCTCATGAGGAAGTGTGTGGCGCACGTGCGCCAGCATGACCAGCTGCTCCCCAACCTGACTGTCCGAGAGACCCTGTCTTTCATTGCCCAAATACGCCTGCCCAGGAGCTTCTCTCAAGCCCAGCGAGACAAAAGGGTAACCAGTTGGCTGTTTGGTGATCCCTGGTGTCTAAGAGTGTCCTGCTTTGCCAGAAGACCCAGCCCAGCTGAAATCTAACCAACCCACCTTACACGTCAATGTACTTAGCCCCATGGGTTCCCTTCCCGGACCTTATCAAGTGGGTGATAAGTGTGTGTCTGTTTGTGTAAGGGTTTTCGGATGCATCATGGGGGAGAGGGGCAATTATCCGGCCTCTAGTACCCAGTCTCTGGTTCCCCATCCACAACCTGTGGTCTGCAGGATGGATCTGCAGGGGGGCGGGGCAAAGGATGCTGCAGGGAATCAATGTGTGGCCCCGGAAGCCTGTATGCTAATCCTGTCACCCTCAGGTAGAGGATGTGATTGCGGAGCTGCGGCTGAGGCAGTGTGCCAACACCCGCGTGGGTAATACATACGTGCGTGGGGTGTCTGGGGGCGAGCGCCGGAGAGTGAGCATCGGAGTGCAGCTTCTGTGGAACCCAGGTGAGCACTGGAAGCCTGAGGGAGGGAGGGCGAGACGACTTCCTGCCTGACATCTGACTCAGGACTCACCGTGCCATGTCCTCAGGAATCCTCATTCTGGATGAACCCACTTCCGGCCTTGACAGCTTCACTGCCCACAACCTGGTGAGAACCTTGTCCCGCCTGGCCAAAGGCAACAGGCTGGTGCTCATCTCCCTCCACCAGCCTCGCTCCGACATCTTCAGGCTCTTTGACCTGGTTCTCTTGATGACATCTGGCACCCCTCTCTACCTGGGGGCTGCGCAGCACATGGTGCAGTACTTCACGGAAATTGGCTACCCTTGTCCTCGCTACAGCAACCCCGCTGACTTCTATGGTGAGTAGGCAAGGCCAGGGGTCCTGCAACCTGGGTGCGCGGCCATTTGCCAACACCCCTCCCCCAAGCAAAACAAAAGAAAACGGAACAAACGAACAAAACAACAAACAAACACAAAATACTCCCTGGGAAAAGATGTAGCCGAGCCGCTGTTGTACACGCCTCAGATGAGGGGGAGCCAGGGAGGAGCGGTAGCATGCAAAAGGGAAACTGCTCCGTTTGCCAGGATCAAATCTTCTGACCGGCCGGGCATTGGTGGCGCTCGCCTTTAATCCCAGCACTAGGGAGGCAGAGGCAGGAGGATCTCTGTGAGTTCGAGGCCAGCCTGGTCTACAAGATCGAGTTCCAGGACAGCCTCCAAAGTCACAGAGAAACCCTGTCTCAAAAAACAAAAAACAAAACAAAACAAAACAAAATCTTCTGACAAATTGCCCCTCCGTGCAGGACAGGCTAGGAATGGGTAGAAGTTTGCAGGTGGGTAGGGTGGGGCCATAATCCAGGAAGTCTTGAGTCTTGGATCAGTCTGTACAGTTGTGTCCTTTATGCAGTTTGCAAGAAACATTTTACATATATATATATGTGTGTGTGTGTGTATGTATATATATACTATACAATATATGTATATATACTATACACAATATATTTATACAACACACACATGCACGCACACGCACGCACACACACTCACACATACCCTCTTGGGTTCCACAGAGGCAGGTAGCATAGGAAGGAGGCCCAGGGCAGGACCAGTGAGTCTCTGAATATAGACTGCTTGATTGGTTACTGTCTTACCTTTCTTTGGGGTCCCAGGCACTCATTAGTCCACAAAGCATACCATGAACCACTTCATTCATGGGGAGCAATGGCCTTTTCAGGACACTTGCCTGTAACCCCCCCAAGAGCGCTGAGGAATAGCCTGGGTGGCCAACAAGGGACCAGTTAGTTGTACCAGAGCCCAGGCAAGCAGTACCTATAGCCAGCCATCTAGATGACCTATAACCCCAGGTTCTTCTAAGGATGGCAAAGTGCCCACCTTCGTGGTGTTTCCAAGGACAGTTCTGTCTTTGCATGTTAACTGAGGACCCTTACCCCTGGCCTGCTGTGCCTGAGCATGGCCGTGGAGCCAGCACAACCAAAGCCCCCACAGGTGTTCCTGGCCCTCAGCCTTCACTCTTGGCCATGCTACCCACACGGTCATTCCAGTATCTTCAGCTACCCAGAGGGAAGGTCATTCTCCTGGCTCCCTTCCCTGCTCTGGGAACTCATGAACTCCATAGAGGTCACCTCTCCTTCCCATGTCCTAGTTGCCACCCTGACTTCCTGCCCATGGTCATGCTCTGACCAATGCCCTCAGATAAGGGGGCAGAGGACAGCTGCCAACCTGGACACCAGGGAAGTTTTAAGTGAATCTGGGAGGGTTGCCCAAAGCCTAGTGCCCATGGGAGACTTGAAAAACTTCTCCTGTTATTATTTGGAGGGATGCGGGGTCTTGTTTACTAGGCCTGGGACAGGTGGCTGCCATTAATCTACGATGCAGGAGCTGCTCACATGGAGTCCAGAGTGCCCAGAAAATGTGAAATGTGAGCTGTAGCCTGCACAGAGGGAACCTGTGTGGTTCACAGTGATCCCACTCCCCGCAAATGATCTTTTCTCGTGCTGTGCCATGAAAGCAGAAGAAGGAGAATGGTGAACAGTAGACCCCAACCGTGTACAGTCCTAGAGTCAGTCTTCAGGGGATAGGATGGTCCTAGCTGTGATTGCTAGACCTGGCCCTTTCGGGCATTGGAGGGAGAGGGGTTGCAGGGCGGGACTGCCACCCGCAGGATAGTGTCTTCTCAGATCCCAAAGGTAGCTCCCAGTGACCTGGCTCCCCAACTGGGCGGGCTGCCCTAGACTCCCCCAGGGCAAAGCTTAGCATGGGCAGTGTGAGCACTGTACTTGGCTGGACCACGGCACCCGACCACTTGGAAGGTCAAGTTATGAATTCGCAACAATAGGCAAATGTATATACAACTGGAGTTAGAACTATCATATATCCACAATGAGGCACCTGGCCCCGAGGGCAACTGTCCACTCTAGGGACATCCCTGGGATGAGTCTGGGGGTGGGACCGGGGGCTGGGGCCAGGACCTCCACTACTGGCCACTTCCCGATCTGTAGTCCAACTGAGGCGCCTGCTTATATCGTCAAATCAGGCAGAGTGAGGGAACCAGGCCTCTCTGCCTCTCTTACTCTGACCCTGTGTCAGAGTAGCTTCCCAGAGGGTGGGGAGAGCTTCCGGGGACCAGGTCGCCCATGGCCCTGCATCTTCTGCTTGCAGTGGACTTGACTAGCATTGACAGACGCAGCAAAGAACAGGAAATGGCCACCATGGAAAAGGCTCGGTCACTCGCAGCCTTGTTTCTAGAGAAAGTGCGAGGCTTCGATGACTTTCTGTGGAAAGCAGAGACAAAGGAAGCGGACATGGTTCCCTATGCAGTCAGGTACAGTGGGTCAGTTGCCTGAGCGGGAAGTTCGCTGGGGTGGGGCCCCCTACCCTGATCACACACCGTTTCCCGACAGCCGGACCCTTCCACAGGACACGGACTGCAGGACCGCTGCTAGGATGCCTGGGGTGATGCAACAGTTCACCACCCTGATCCGGTAAGTGTCTTTTTCTGTTGGTCCCTTGCTCCCCCATGCCTCTGAGTGTCAGAGTATGTTATGGGAAGCTTTCCTTGCTTGCCGATTTGGTTTATCACCCGCCAGTCGCCTGGGCTCTGCCACGTTGTAGTCCCCAAATAACACACAAGACGCTGTATTAATTATGAAGCTGTTGGCCTTCCTTGTTTCTTACTGGCTAGCTCTGACTTAAGTAATTACCCCATAATTGTTCATCTAAGTATGTCTCTTACTGGAGAATAGTTCCGGGCTCCTACCCCATGGCGTTACATCTCGAACTCTCCTGTGTTTCTCCTTCCCAGAATCCTCCTGGATTCCTAGCCCCACCTATCTAGATTCCTATTGGCCAGCAGTAATTTATTGACATATACACAGGACTTCCCCAACAAGAGTAAAACATTCCCATCAAAGGGGAATTCAAGGGAGGGAGCAAGCCGTAAAATTGTTGGAAAGCCAGCATCCCTAGGACCAGCCTGGCTCTCCCGTGACACGGGGCATTCCCGATAATCTTACCGTCTAAACAAAAATAAAATCGCATTAGTGGCAGTCATCATGGAAATAGTCATGTAAGAAAGTCAGACCTGGGAGGGGCAGAGTCCCTGCTGTACTACGCTCACTGAAAGCTAGGTGCACCCACCACACCTATCTTTATGGGTGTGGGGGTGTTCTGCACGTGAAGAGGCATGGGAGCAGGTTCATGTATTGTTTAGGAGTCAGCCATTCAAACTATGTCCTGCCTGTCTCAGATTAAAGTATTATAGTTTAGCCTCTCATTTAGTGTAGTCATTTTGGATGGTCTCTTCACTGGGGGGCTTGTACCATTACGAGACACACTTTGGCCAACGTCTTTATGACATACTTTATTTTTCCCTGTAAGTAAACTCGTTACTGATGATAAAAAGTGACCATTCGCTGTGTGGTGGTGGTGCATGTCTGAAATGCCGGTACTGGGGAGGAGATGACCCAAGGCGACTCTCACATTCAAGGCCACCCTGAGCTGTATAACTACAGACCCTGACTCAAAACTGAAACAAGGAGGACACCTCCCAGACAATAATCATATATTCCGTGCCCGTTATTGTCGGTTCTGACTTAGTTTATATATTATAGTCCACATTCGGCATGAGAGGAAATAAGGCTTCTGGCAATGATATGGCATTCCTAAGGCATGTTGTTCCTTTGACACTCCTTTTTCCTTTCTTTCTTTAAAGTCGTCAGATTTCCAACGACTTCCGAGACCTGCCCACCCTGCTCATCCATGGGGCAGAAGCCTGCCTGATGTCTCTCATCATTGGCTTCCTTTACTATGGCCACGATGCCAAGCCACTCTCCTTCACGGACACATCAGCCCTCCTGTTCATGATAGGAGCTCTCATCCCTTTCAATGTCATTCTGGATGTCGTTTCCAAATGTGAGTGCCACCTGCTCTCCTCACCGGACTGTGGGGCAGCTGGATAGAGACATCAGCAGCTACACCGGGAACCTCAGTTTCCCCCTGTGTTTCTCCCAGGACTCTTGGGACAGCGGCTTTGTAGAACTATTTCATCATGCTTGTGTGATAAATGCAGCAACTGTTTCAAAAGTTTACACATTAATATTAGCACGCAATGAAAGCAGATCGTGGTGTCGTAGCTGTTCCCATCCAAACAGGATTCATACTTGGCAGCGACAATACCCGGAGAACCCGTGCAACACCTGGAGTAGGATGTCTGTGATTTACAAAGCATACGAACAAATTCAGAAAGTATAACTACCCCCACACACACACACAGTTCTGGGGGTTGAACCTCTAGCTCTGTTCATGCTGGGCAAGTGTTCTGCCAGGGAATAACACACTAGCTTCATATCACTGCTTTCAGTGGTATATTACAAGAGACGCAACATCAGTAACACTATAGATGACTTTGACTCACTGTCTCCTTCCCCGTCCTTAGGTCATTCGGAGCGGTCGATGCTGTACTACGAGCTGGAAGATGGGCTGTACACTGCTGGTCCATACTTCTTCGCCAAGGTCAGGGCCGAGAGCAAATGCTGCAGGGCGTCATGCAGACGTGGCAGGAAAGGGCTTTGTGGAAACACTGGGCCGTGCACTCACTGTGGCTGCAGATATCGTATTCTCTAGAAGAGTTTCAGAGGCTTGCTAGTCATCAAATGGTCCACAGAAAGGCTGGGGCAGAGAAATAGAAATGATAACTTCTCTAGGCAGAACCAACGGAGAGAAGAGGGGAACACCCAGCGGTACTTTACGTCTCCAGAGTTCCTGAGTAAGACAGACAGGTGTTTTCAGGAAGAGGCTCAGTGACTATATGACTCTCATAAAGCCACACAGCTACCAGGTCTGTGCAGGAAGGGTGGAGAACTGAGTCAGGTCTTGCAGAGTATATACCAGCTGCCTCCACGGAGCCCAGCTCTGAGATGCTCCTGCAGTAGAAGCTGGAGGAGAGGTCAGGTTCATGGGTCTTGTCTGCAGAGTGCTCCCGGGGTCAAGGTCCTCCTCTCCCAGCAGAGTGCTCCCCAGAGTCAGGATCCTCCCCTCCCAGCAAAGGATCCTTCACCGAGAAGGAACTGCCTGCATCCCGGGAGCTGCCGCTGTGTAAGACATCTTCAGACACCAGCAAACACGGGTGTTGGCTCCCTGTGCGAGTGAGGGCTGTGCTTTGCAGGTCCTAGGCGAGCTGCCTGAGCACTGTGCCTACGTCATCATCTATGGGATGCCCATCTACTGGCTGACCAACCTGCGGCCGGTCCCCGAGCTCTTCCTTCTGCACTTCCTGCTGGTGTGGCTGGTGGTCTTCTGCTGCAGGGCCATGGCTCTGGCTGCCTCTGCGTTGCTACCTACCTTCCACATGTCCTCCTTCTTCTGCAACGCTCTCTACAACTCCTTCTACCTCACCGCGGGCTTCATGATAAACCTGGGGAACATGTGGGCAGGTGAGGCCCCCTGCCCCGCTTGCCCAAGCATCTGTAGCCTCCATGGCTGCTTACGTCCTCATCTAGAGGTGAGAGTTCCTCGGTTAGGCGTCTCTCCATGCCTTTGCCAGCTGCACTGCAGGCTGGGGGACAGGGGACATTTCCTCACAGCCCTCGCACATAGCCAGAAGTCACCCTGACTCCCTCCATCAACATCCACCGGGGAGCCAGGCCTGAACCGCCCCCCCCCCCCCCCCCTGCTTGGCTTAATCACATCCCTGACCCTCATCATTGAACCCTGTGCCGCTGCAATGGTCCGGTCTCTCGGTGGTCTTCTCAGTGTTCAGGTAGGCAGAGTGAGCTTTCTGAGGCACGAGTTCCTGTCCCTCTTTATCAAAGCCTCTCAGAGCTGCTGGCTCTCGGCTGTCCCCTGCACCTCCACCCCCAGCCTCCAGCACCTCGACCCTCCCATTGCAGAGCCTATGGGGCCTCTCTTCTACACTCACCATTGCCCGACACTGTCTGCTCAGCCAGCCTTTCTTGACACCCTGGCAGGGCTTGCAGCTTCCTCATCTTCCAGCAGAGTACTCCCCAGGATCAGGGTCCTCCTCTCCCAGCAGAGTGATCCCTGGGGTCAGGGTCCTCCTCTCCCAGCAGAGTGCTCCCCCGGGGTCAGGGTCCTCCTCTCCCAGCAGAGTGCTCCTTGGGGTCAGGGTCCTCCTCTCCTAGCAGAGTGCTCCCTGGGGTCAGGGTCCTCCTCTCCCAGCAGAGTGCTCCCCAGGGTCAGGGTCTGTGGTGCGGGGCTGGCTGAGCATATGCTGCATAATGCAATGACTATCTAGAGTTGGTAGGGGTCAAGGGTGTGATCAAGGCGACTCCTGGGCCTCCTTGGCACAGTGTCCCCAGCCACAGGCATTGTTCCTTTCTTTGCTCCCTTGTTTCTTGTGTCCCTCGATCCTCTGAGGACTCTTCTCCTGGCCCCAGCCAGCATGAGTCCTCTCTCCAGGAGCAGCTGGAGACTTAGGCAGGGCATCGAGACGTGGCAGAAGAGACCGTGTGACTAACCGAGCTTTGCCGTCCATCCGTTTTCAGTACCCGCGTGGATTTCCAACCTGTCTTTCCTCCACTGGTGCTTTGCCGGGCTGATGCAGATTCAATTCAACGGCTACCCTTACACAGTGCAGATCGGCAACCTCACCCTCTCGGTCCCCGGAGACAAGGTGAGTAGTGAAGGCTGGGAATTCTCAATCCAAGTGCTACCGAGGGGGCGGCATCCGTGGGAGCTCACCAAGTGTCGTCCGTGTCGGCAGATGGTCACGACCATGGACCTGAACTCACACCCGCTCTATGCTATCTACCTCATCGTCATCGGCATCAGCTGTGGCTTCCTGTTCCTGTACTATCTGTCCTTGAAGTTCATCAAACAGAAGTCCATTCAAGACTGGTGATGCTCACCCAGGCTTGCTCCCGCTGGCGGGACCCTTCTCCCTGGGCTTGCTGCCTCCTGCGGAGCCCACTGAGGACAAAGATGACACAGATCTCCGCAGCAGCCGCCCCTTGGCGCTGCAGTGGCACAGGTCAGCCACAGGATGGCAGTAGAATAAAGACAGTTGAAAGGGATTTCTGATCACGGGCCTGGGCTTGTGATGGGAGGAAAAAAAAAAAAAACACCAAAAAACAGGGACTTGATGGCACCTGCAATGTTACTCATTTATTTCCGTTGGTTATATCTTTATACAAGCAACCCAGTATGGACTGGGAACCAGCTAGATATAAGTTGAGTAGCCAGACTATGCAGAAATTTCTGGAACCAAGAGATAATGGTGGTTTTACAGCAAAATGTTCAGCTTTATCCGTCCGTCACCATCTTTATCTCTCAGCTTATCACATCCCGTGTGAGAGCACTCCCAATGCTGATGGTGACCTAAAACAGACTAGTGAAATGTCACCTCTTATCTCTGTAGGGAGCCATAGACTAGGGGATTACTGGGCATCTACTCCATGGTAGCTATGGTATAAAGCATGGCGTGTGGCTATTGTCATGTGTCCTCAGAACCCCCCCCCAAGCACCCTGTTTTACTGAGGTCACTAAGGCAAACGCAGATAAAGTCGGCTCAGCTTACACAGCTGCTTTGTGGTGGAATTAAAAAGATCTTCTGGCCTTTGGTAGTGAGAAAGCAAAAGATCAGGCCTGAGATACCAGCCTTGGGGTTCCAGGGGCCTCTAGGAACAGTCTATAGAGGTTGTGTCTGTCCAGCCAGGCCTCAGCCCTACATCCCACTGTCTGGGTCTCAGGATTAGCCTTGAACCGTCTGGAGAACAGGTTGCTTGCATGCCCAGATTATATGCTTTGTGCCATCCGATTCAAAGCATAGAGATGGGAGGGGGTTGTTCCCAGAGGAAGACTAGAGGCTGGCCCTGGAACAGTGAGGAGGGTATTTGGGGCCAAGAGAGATGTCCTTCAGCGGTTCCCCAGATCCTGACTATGTCTGGTGTGGTCCCTGGGCAGATGAACTAGGCAGAATCCCAGGGCTTCCCAGACTCATGGGCTCAGCATCCGTGTGTTCAGACTATCCCAGCGTGAGCAGCAACGATCCTTCCGGCCCCCGCTAGACTCAGGAAGTTCACACAGTCCCGTTGTAACCATTCGGTGCACAGATGCCACTCAAGATCCAGAAAGGGACCCCAGTGTCCCCCTCATCCAGAACGGAGTTGAGGACACTGTCTGATTGCCCCATCTCTGGTTTCTTTTGGTCTGGAAAGCTCCTCAATATGCCTGACTGTAGGGTAGCTTTCAATTTCGGTTATCTGGTGTATTTCACAAGGCTGGACACCTTTGGTCAGAATATCCAAAAATAACATTTGTTTATTTTCCTCCTGTAATATGTCCCATCAAGCAGCATGGTCTCTGCTTGTTGCTTGCGGGTGTCACTTTGATTGCTTGATGGAAACATGTCTGTCGGACTCCTACACATTGACTGTTCCCTCCTTTCATAATGAATAAATCTTTTGAATGTCAGTACCCAGGAACTGCTTATTGCTCATTCATCATCAAGCATTCCATTCACTTACTGAGTTATTGCTATAAATTAAATACTTTTGGGATCCCATTTTAATTTAACAAGCTGTAATCCATTGCTATCATTAATTTTGATGCTCAGATTGTCCTTATTTGGCCAATGGAATGTTCAAGCTGGCTTCTGCATCTTAATTGTGTCCCTGCCTTCTGCTGAGGACTCTGACAAAAACAAAGTATTTGGGGATCATCTTGAATTTCCCTAGCCCAGCTCTGGAGTTAACTGGATGCATCTCTGTAGAAGCTGGACTCATTTTAGTGGGAAATGACAGTGAGAAGCCTTGGTCCGAGTGACGAATCTGTTTTGCTGCTGCACATTACTGCTTCAGGGCTCTCAGTGGGGAGAATGTGTGTGCATGCGTGTGTGTGTGTGTGTGTGTGTGTGTGTGTGTGTGTGTGTGTGTGTGGTCACAGTCATTACTGCATGTAAGTTCATGTGCATACCCTGAAATTGCCATCCAGTGCTAGCTCTTACAGTTCTGTCTTCCTCAGTCTCTGTTTGGGAGACACCTGGTTTTGGTGTCTGTGTTCTTCACCTGCTGAGTCCTGCTGCTCTGTCCTCCCATGTGGACTTTCTGCTCACTATGCACAGAGTTCTCCCCAGCCTGGTCTGTGCTCCCTCCCCAGATCCCGGCTCTGTTTGGGTTAGGTAACCTGCTGTCTTTAGGCCTGGATGAAGAAGCTGAGAAGAGGAAGGTTGGCAGCCACTGAGAGATGTGAGTTAGCCACTCAGGGTGCTGTGGTACCCAGACTTGCTGGTTCTTTGGATCCTGTCCTGAGAGCCGGAGTCCTCCATCCTGTCTGCCCATACATGGGCCCTTGTTGATCCACCCCAATACTCTGACCATTCATGGGTTTGTCTTGTTGAAAGTGTTCTCCAGGGCACACAAAGCCTGGGAAGAGAAAGACCTGGGCCCGACATCCTCCAGTGCATTGCAAAGGGATGGAATTTTCTTATGGATTGCCAATTTTTTGTTAAGGATAAATATTTTAGGCTTTGATCGCCATGTAGCCTGTCACAATCTGTCACTGTGCTATTCCGGTGTGAAAGCTGCCTCAACCTCAGTCGAGTGTGGAGGGTGTGGACGTGTTCCAATAAAACAGCTTACAGAAACACACAGCTGCGGGATTTGGCCTGAGGTTGTAGTTTGCAGACCCTTGATCCGAAGATGAAGGTTTTGAAATTTACATTTTAAGCTCCCCAAATTCAAGTTACGCTATTGATGGGGGATATAACAATTAAACTGAAAATAATCACCTGTGTTGACTCAAACAGCTCTCGTGTTTTGTTTTGTTTTGTTTTTAAACCGCTCTTGTTCTTACAAAGATTACTAAAGACATAATAATCTCTCCCTGGGTCAAGCCAGTCCAGAGGCAGATCTCCTGCTTGTTTTTGTTTTTTCACTCATTCTTAAAACTCTCTTGATTGATCTCAGATTAAATCACTCACACACAGCAGAGATGTTGAAAATTGCATCAGCCCCAAGTGGTTGCAGACCCATGGTCAAGGGTTCTTGCAACACTCGAAATTAGTCATTTAGTACAACACTTAGCCCAGGGCAGGGGACTGGCTTCTTTAGGGCAGACCCCCCAGGAGAGCCGGCTGCAAAGGAAGGAAGCCTTTGGGTATTTTGCTGTTGACATAGATGTATTTGGGTAACATAGCCAGTATGCATGCCTGAAATGTTATTTGCAAATAGTCTGCGCCAATCTCAACTCAGATGTCACTTGCGTTTGGTAAGTTGGCTCTCTATCTAAGAGGGTCCAGGTGAATAGCCGGGGTGAATAGCTTGGTGGCAGAGAGAGTAATTAACAAGTTAGAAGCCTTAGACTGAAAGCCCCAACACTGAAACCTAGAACAAATGAAAATTCACCGTCGTGGTGGAGAGCAATGTTCTGAGTCCAGGTTAGAGAGGGCGGGCTGGTGGAGCTCAGAGGACAGCCCCATGTGTAGGGTTGACAGCTCACAATTAAAACAGTCATGTCAAAGTGGGCTGAGCTTCTTCCCCTGAGCATGCCAGCTGCCCACTGTCTAGGTGACTTGCTTATTGTTTATATGACAGTCTTGTCTGTTTGTAGAGTTTAAGTGTTGTTTCGCCAAACTGAAGGAAAAAAAAAAAAAAGCAGCCCTGCTGCTCCTTGCTGGAAGGGCAAGCCTTTGTCTTACAGGCACTGCTCGGCATGGAATGCTCGCTGTGCAAGCTCCAACTTGAGAGCAGTTGAGGCTGCCACGCCCCGCCCTGCCATAATAGTATGTGAGGTCATCAGTTTATTGGAGATTTCAAATCATGACATGTTGGCCTCACTGACAATGCTTTTTGTGGGCACTTGCATTTTGGAAGATTCCTTGAGTCTCGGCTCCGGCTGAGCCACATGTGGGAACCATGGACACGGGAGGGAAAGGTCCAACACGCTCAAACCAGGAACCTCATAAACAGAATTTGCAAGAGGGAAACACAGCCTCGGATCCATGTGACCCATTCCATGAGACCTACTGTGAACCCACTAGGTAGGTCTGCAAAACACTAGAACACGGGGCCTTGGAAAGAATACAGGTGAAGAATAGTTTTCATTGGTTGTCCAGGGAGGGGTCAGTGAAGAGCTACGGATGGACCTCCGCCCCAGGCACTGGCCAAAGCACCTTGCTGGAGCAGGAAGTCTAAGTCTACTCTGTCTTACCTGGCTCTGATGTTTCTATTCTTTATGCAAAAAAAAAAAAAAAAGTGCCTGCTTTGAATTTGATAATGCAGCCATTTTCTTTATTTGTACTAGGGCTGCATAATGCGGGCTTTGTAAGTTGCTGGCCTGAAAGCAGGATACATTTCTAATGGGAACGCTCCCACGCACGAATGTACAACAGCAAAGCGATAAATTACCGTGATTTTAGACCTCCTGTGGCTATCAGTTCTGCCACGCTCGAGGAAATGTTGCTTTTGCTTAGAAATTCTACAAATATATCTTTTTCAGAAAGGCAAATATTAAATGAAAATTGTGCTGAAAGCCACAAGGAAAAAGCGCATGCGGGATGTACACACTGCAGACTGGAGACATGAATTATACCAGGAGAGTGATTTGCAAGATAAAGCTTACTTGCAACTCGCTGGGACTCATAAACTTGATTATACCAGGAACTGGGTATTGGATTAAATGGAGGAAAACTTTTATTTCACAGTAAGGTGTCCAGAAAGTGGGACCACGGTATTGTTTTTAGTTCACTCTTTTAGTCAGACAGCCTTGTTTTTGTATTCTCATGGGTACGTTTTTTTTTTTTTTTTTTTTTTTTTTGGAGACAGGGCTGGCCTTGAACTCAACACCTACCTGCCCCTGCCTCCCAAATGCTGGGATTAAAGGCATGCATAGCCACGCCCAGAGGTTTTGTTTTGCCTGCATTTAAAGGCACCATTTGCATGCAGTGCCCAAGGAGGCCAGAAGGGGACTCTGGAGGAAGAGTTACACAGGGATGCTAGTGAGCTGGGAATTGAACCCAGGTCCATTGCAAGAGCAAGTGCTCTTAACCACTGAGTCACCTCTCTAGCCCCAAAGGCTTTCTAGAAAGTCCTGGCCCTCTGACTTAATGCTGTGAACCTACACAAATGTATGTTTTCTTACCCTGATAATAAGGCAAGACAGGAGCCTGACATGGAAGGTAAAGTTCAGTGGTAACCACAGAGAAGCCAGGGAACTCACTACATATAATCCAATTCAATGTGAGCCTGCAAGTCTAAGGATACAGACTATGGAAAAAGGGCCAGTGTTCACAACCTGTCCAGGTTATGTTAGATGCATGCAGCCACAGGGGACGTGGGCAGATGGCGCCATGGCAGAGTGGGCACTCCTGGAGAGAACATGGTACCCAAGACCCTGCAGAATGAGTTGCCCCTATCACTGAGCGTCATCACATATCAGAACTACACTTCTCAAGTCTTCTCACTTGTTTGAGACAGTTTTTCTATGCAACCCTGGGTATCTTGCAACCATGTAAAGCAGGCTAGCCTTGAACTCACAGAGAAGCTCCTGCCTCTGCCATCACACCTCGCTCTGTTTCTCAATTCTTGGCAACTCTGTTCCTCAGAGATCTCAGTCACAGTTTCTCCTTAGCACAGGTAAGTGTTAAACTCACTGGTTCTTTACAACAAACCAGAAGACACCTGGCAAGGAAACTCCCTTAGACGGAGGTCACCACACAACTTCAAGACTATAGTCCTCTGTCATCAAATATTGGACAGGATAAAAAACGGCAGCTCACAAATACTAAAGTATACTTTATTCAGAGAAATTCCCACTGGGGCTGGCTTTGGAGTCACTGGAGACAAGTGTGTGAGAGACAGACGCCTGGCAAGCCAGACAGTGGCCTAGCCACACACACACAGGCCGTATGCTGGCAGGGACAAGAACAACCTCCACGGTGTCTTCCGGGCTGGGACTCCAGGCTGGCTGAGCTTCTGGGTCTTGCATCACACTCCCCAAGGGCGAGCTGAAATGAAGCACAGCTCGCCCCAGAGACACACAGACGCACAGCCTCTCTCCACCAAGTTCCTTCCTGTGTTGGTCCTAGACAGCTAACAGCACCAACTGCAAGAGGCACTCGAGTCCTGCCTTATGGCAAGATGGCCTCTTGAAGTAAACAGTGGACACCAAGTTCGAATGAATGAGGAATACAAATTGGGGGTAATTCTCAAAAAAAAACAAAATAAAACAAAACACCCAAAAAACCATTTCTAACTTTGATAATCACTTCATCCCAAAATATAGGAATGTTATGTAATAACTTAAATTTGGTAAATTCTCTCAACTATTTTAAATTTGCTTTAATGACTTACATAGAGATTCTAAGAAATACAACGGACAATGCAGGGACTATTGTCTATTATTAAATCTGATTACAAACTAGTATTGCACTTATTCCTATGAGTCACATGTGTACAGCTTGTAAGTTTACAGTAATGAGCCTGGTGTAAAGTGTAGCTTGTACTTCCTGAAATCAAAGGAAGTCAAGACCAAGATTCCATGTTAGAGCTCCTAGAAACACACATGGGAAGTACTGTGGTGTGACAGAAAGGAGAAGAAGGGAGGGGCTATGGCCTCTGCTGTCATCATCTCCCAGGGAAAGCAATGCTGGATTTGAAGAGCCATTTTAGAAAGGGGAGCAAGAAGGCCGGTGACTGAGTATATGCGCTCATTTGTAACACAGTGGACAGTGTTGTCGCGTCTGCTGCACGGCCTGTGTCCGAGAACGTGCGGAGGGTGTCGGGGATTGACAACACAGAGACTCGTTCAACGATGTAAAGAAAACTTTAAGCAGGCTCCAAAAAGGTTCAAGAAAACTTCCTAAGAAAGGCTCCCACCAGAGAAGCTTCTGCTCTCTCCTCTACCCTGGCTGGTTCTGCTCTGACCCCAGAAACTGATCTGGGCGTGGCAGAAGAGGTGGTTAGTCTTTGGACAAGGTCGAGGTCAGGGTGGTTTCTGCGGGCAGGCCTTTTCCAGGAACTTAATGCCCCCAGGCATTGTATTGTTTTTAGTAAACATGTCTTTAGTAAACATTGTCTCACAGCTGCCTACTCCCAGGCAGAAGGGGAAGTGGGTCTCTGCTCAAGGTCTGGTGTTCCCACACAGTGTATTTACAAAAAACACACAGACAAATTCACTTTCATTGGTTTATTTTTCAAGTACACTTTAGAAATAACATTTACACACAGGCATATGTGCATGCACGTCTGCACGAGCATGATACACACACTAGCACTCACACACTCACGCTCACTCACACACTCACGCTCACTCACACACACTCACACCCACACCCAGTGCTGCTTCTTTCATGAAGGGTTTTCCTTTGCTTCTTTTAGCTGCTTCACATAAAACTCAAAGCTCGCCTGTAAGGGGTCAACAGAAATTACAGACAGTTAGGAGCAAGCACCACAGACTCTGAAACCACCAATCAGTGTATACTGGTGACATCTTGGTCTGTGGCTGATCACCTGCTCTGCGAGCCTGGGCATCCAATCTTCTGGTTTTGTGAAAGGCCAAGTTCAAAACCCTCAAGTTCTGAGCCCAACCCAACACCAGAAGTCCTAGCTCAAACAGAAACAGGAGAGCTGCCTAAGAGAGTCTGGGAAAGGCATAGCCGGCTGAAGGTCTGGAACACACCTACCTTGTATTTACCAAGGCTATCCCACTCCAGCCCATAGCCACTGCTTAGGCCCCCAGCCCTCCCAAGAGTCCTCACAGTGACCTGTTTTCTCCTACACCCTTAGTGTTCTTGGCACACATACACTGCGCAGTTATCTTCTCTCTCGGTAAGGATACTCACAGGAGGCTCTGTGAAGGGTACAGGCTCGCCAACCTCCTTGAGCAAAGTCGCATAGCGCTTCAGAAACAGCTCATCCAGCGGCATGTTCTTTGCTGTCAAGTGCTCATACAACTCCTTGGCGGAGGCCACGTCCTTGTCTAAGACTGAAAGGAGTTGCAGGAGAGAGATGAACCGTGGATGAACAGAAGCCGCCCTCCTACCTGTCACCAGCATCCTTCCCACTCAAGCGCTCCAGGATCCAAGACAAAGGAGGCCGGCCGCTCAGTCTACACTACCCATTCCTCCACACCCTTCCTCCAAAACACACGGAGAGGGGTAGGGGGAGAGGGAGGGCAGGCACTGCAAGTCTGAAGAACATTAATGGTGCCGAGGACCCTCGGTACAGACAGAATGACCTCAAGCTCTCAACTATTAAGTATGAGGCTGTGAGGAAAGCAGGATTAACCAGGCGTGCTCAGAGGGGAAGGCTGGTGACTGAAGCTCAGCCAATTGGCTTCCCTGTGTGAATCTTTGCCCCACCCTCATTCATCGCCTACACCAGTCTAGAGCTCCTGGCCCCGCCCTGCTGACATCTAACCCCACCTTTTCCTCCACTCATGCCCCGCCCCCCAGCAGGGACCGGATCATGGCTTTACTAGTATTTATGCGACTGGCATGAGGAAGCCTAGGTTTCAGCTGTTCTGAACCATGCAGGATTTCATGTGGAAACAAAGACTCTGACTGCTCCATCATCTGCTCTACCACAGATTCTTATTTATTGCACTGAGCAAGCCTGTGGGTGGCACATGGCCAGGCCATCATGGCTTGGAAATGACAACATTTTATCTTCCTTGTGAGGAAATTTGAGACTGTCTCTTGCTCATGGTGACTGTGACAGAGAGGAGACAAGAAAGAGACAGACTGAACTCTGGATAGGATGTGAGATGACTCTCAATCATGGTGGGGGCGGGAGGGGCACTGAGGAATCCCAGGGGCAAACAGGAGGCCAGCACTTCTGTCAGGCAGGCCAGGGTTGGCAGAGAAGGTGCCGGGCCAGCAGAGTCCTAGAGAACTTCCAGGTCTGTCTGGGAGCCTGGGCCCTGACTCCACGTATCTGGACCACTCTGAAAGTGCTTGGGTTATTTTTTTTAATGTTAAAGTTCCTGAAATACATAACTTTGTACTTTTCTTATAGTTTAAAAAATTAAGAGCACTGGCTACTCTTCCAGAGGTCCTGAGTTCAATTCCCAGCACCCACATGGTGGCATCTGTAAGGGGGATCTGGTGCCCTTTTCTGTTGTGCGTGAAGACGGATCACTCATATACATCAAACAAAACAAGCCAGATGGGAGTGGTACACGTTTTTAGTCCCAGCACGTGGGAGGCAGAGGCAGGAGGCTCTCTGAGTTCAAGGGAGTGAGTTCCAGGACAGGCTCCAAAGCTACAAAGAGAAACCCTGTCTCGAAAAAACAAAACAAAAACAAACTCCCAAATATTCTAGAGCTAAAATGAATGAGTAATTATCTGAAATTTAAGGTTTGAGTCGAACTGATAGATGACTACACTTAGACTATTACGTCACCTGACTAATGGAGTGAGATTCAATTATTACCATAGCTTTTCATGATGGAAGAGTATGCTTCTTTCTTATCATATAACTCAGGAATCAGTTCTAACAAAGTCTTCAGCACCGGTGCCTGGGAAGAGTTAAACAAAGGTTACAAACTCAGAAGAGACACACAGACACCAACATATTACAACACAACGAACCACTCAGTGGGCCGCTTTCACTTAAGTGTATCTCCAAATTTGATGTTAATCCAATAAACCATATTCAGATAAAAATCACCCATTTTTCAATAATTACTGGCATTTCATTTATATTCCTGAGTGCTTTCAAAAACAGATGTAAATAATAAAACCAAAGCATTTAACACTTCTTTTTTAAAATCAACTATTAACGTATCAAAAAGTTCTAAGATCTCAAAGGTAAAAGAGATAACGGTTGTATTTTTTCTGTGTAGCCCTGGCTGTCCTGGAAGGCACACTGTAGACCAGGCTGGTCTCAAACTCACAGATCCACCTAGCTCTGCCTCCTGAGTTCTGGGATAAAGGGTGTGCACTACCACCACCACCACCTGGTTGTATTTTAATGTTAAAAAAAAATTCAGGACAAAATATGAAGATTCAAAACTTCTGCAGTGTCCCCCATATCCAGGAAGATGCATCTCTAGGATCTCACTGGAGTGGTCACCTTACTGCTTGGAGGGCACTGCAGAAACAGATCCCATTTACTGCAGAGAAGACAGAGCCTCCTCCACGGAGTAAATCAGACTTCAGTGATGAATTTCATGTATCGACAACCCGTTCCCATCTTACCAGAGCAAATTGCAGCTTAATTATCTATGGACTGCCAACAGCACCGTGGCTAGCACTTAAAAACTCTAACTCCTGTTTTAGCATATTAACTAGTCAAACCAAATCTAGGTCTGCATCTTTCTTGAACTCCTTCCTGTCAGCACTGGGCACACACTAAGCAGGCTCTACCACTGAACTATACTCCAGACAGACAGACAGACAGACAGACAGACAGACAGACAGACAGACAGACAGCACACACACACACACACACACACACACACACACACACACACACACACACACACACACACACATCTGGTGTTTTCAGGTAAGGTGCTGACCCGCTGGGAGCCAAGCATAGCACGGTACCTTGTTCCGTTTCTGAGAGCTCCTGACACAGAACACCGCCATAACTGAGCTTTGTTCAGCAATGGCACCACACCTCTAAAAAGTAAAACAGTGTTCAGGTCAATGAAGGTTTTAAATAATCAGATGGAAGTAAACATTCCCAATAGCACAGCGCTGTATCACCACCGGAGAGCCCAGAAGCCAGCCTGGTCTGTTTGGGTATGGAGGGCAACAGGGCAGAGCTGTGCCAAGCACTGAGGAGAGTGTGGCTCTTTGCATCCAAGGATGAAGTTTGTTTAAAAAGAAAAGGGAAAAATTAAACTAATGCTTCAACAACCACAGAACAAGGCTTAGGGACTGCAAAGAAAGAGGGAAAAGAGAAACACGGTTCCTCTCCAATTATTCTGCCAAGCATTCACAAGTGAGCTAGGGATCATAAGGTTAATTCTACATTTAATAAGGTGTCAGGGAGATAACTGCTCATTTCTTTATAAAAATTAAAATGTACAAAGCACGCTCTCTTTAAAGTATAATTACCTACACTTATGCATACAAAAGGACCGATTTCAATCTCTCCATTTCATAAAAGGCTTTCATTGCAATAGACAGCCAGTGCTTGAGAAAGAGACAAAAGTTAAACTAAAAAAAAGTTTATATGACAGACCAGATAAATCAAGTGTCTATCCAATCTTAGATGCTTTAGTCAAATCAAATATGGCAAGACAATATTTTAGTTTGTACTCATTGCAGATGTCATCCTCTAAGTTTCTAAAAGCACATTGTTCAGTCAAAGCTTTACAACACTGTCACTGGGAAGATGAAGAGTAGAAAAAGAACTTTTGCGGACTCGCAGAACATTTACATTACAAACTGATGCTTTTGACATCTGGGAATCATGTGTTCCTCACTTTACTATTTGGCAAGCAAGTAAAGTATGGGACTGCGGTCAGATCGGCCATCAAGAGCTCCCAGGCCTGGCCTCATGGCTAGAGGCAGCTCTGAGCACAGCCAGATGGCTGGCAACTGTGCCTCTATGGATGGCTCAGAACAATCAAAAGACTGTTCAAGGTGGAAACACCATCACAAGCACAACTAAGTAGTGATGCTCACAGTCCTCAGTGGTTAGCTGCAGATACAAGAAGAACATTCCAGAAAGAGAGGAGTGGGGATTCTGATATCCCTATCATCTACTTCCTACAAAGAGTAGTAAATGAACTACGCCAAAACTCGAGTAGAAAGTTCAGACAGCAGAGCAATTTGCACTTTTATGTGACTGTTAGCTCAGAGAAAAATGTCCAGACACGCCTCTGAAAAGTGGCTTGGATTGTGCTGTCAAGCTAGACTAACTTGGGTCCAAGGTGGAGCTCAAGGCAATGGGTACAGCATCACCTTCTGTGTCTCCTACTTAAGATATGGCACAGCTGGTAGGAATGTAAGTGAACACAACACTATTTACTATCAGAAATTGGTGCCAGGCCTCAATCTGACACGGAGTCTACACAAACACAGTTGCTGGCAGGATCCCGGTGACTGTTTGACTGCCACCTGCTGGGAAGGGGCCCCCGGCGGTGCCTGTTTGTGTACACTGCCAGTAGCAGCTCCATCACCCACTGCTCCCGCGCCGGCGCACCTTTATATTCAGAGCTGTTAAACTGGCATGAATGCAGTTGTCTCCTTTTCCTCAAGATTGCTAATTTAACTGAGAGTGTGGGCCACAGAGACCTGCATTTGTCATGTAACGTGTCTATGACACGTCAGTGAATAGAAAGCAAATTCAACTCTTAATAAACCTTGAATGAGGCACTGAGAATGTTTGAGTGTTCAAGTGAGAAGCTGTACATGGAAAGCAAACATTTCCTACTTCTTGTTTGCAAACTGTGTTGCCATGGCGATGCACAGTATTTAGTGTGTTAAAGAAATTAGGAAATCAAAGGAATATTTGCTTTGCATTCCCCGTCTTCACAGAAACATCTCGTTTTCCCACCCGATGCCCATCTTAATTGCAAGGATACTTCAGCTCTACCTGACAACTTTAAAATTGGCAACCTGCCGCCCCCAGTCTTGCCATACAATCTTGATTTACACTCAAGTCCAGCATCCTAGCAGGAGTGTCCTCTACCTCCGGGCTGCGGCTCACACTCCTGTCTAATCATTCTGTTTGCTTCCAATGAGTCATTACCTCTAAGAGAGCTCTGGCCTCATCCACCTTTCCTGAGTCCAGAAGCTGCAGGAAGAGATCCGTGACAGGCTTGTAAAGCGCGAACTGATTGGCCAGTTTCTCAGACATGATGCTCACTGCAAGGGAAACAGGTAAGGAAAAACTTTCACCAAAACAGGCTATGACCAACTTGCTCCCCAAGGAAGTCAAAGGAGCGGCTCCTACGCCCTTTAACAAGCAGACAACTTACACCGCTCTAGCGCTGTCTGCATCTGTTCTTCTATGACTTTTCGGAATAAATATGACAAGCCAAAGTACTGTGGTTCTATGGTTCGATTCTCTGATGTAAGCATGTGTTCAATATTTTCTATGGCAACATCTATGTTGTTACTGTAAAAGAAAACAAAATTACAATGAAATATTTGCTTCTATAAAAATTGCAGCCAGTTTTAGGCAGGAATTAATTCATGCGGGGACTCATGTAAATGCTTCAGAAAAGAGGAACTATATTTACAAGCAACCAGATTGATAACAATGATAGTTTTTAAAGCATACCCCATATAACATAACCTAGTTATGTTAGGTGACAAAAGCAACTGCTGAGTGGCCACTTGTTTCAAAACAGTGTTTGAGAAACGAGATGAAACTGCATTTGTCTTGAATATTTAATTTGATTTTGCAGTTCACTGGATATAAAATGCTATTATTTTTGCTTTATACACTATAAGGAGCACTAGTGTATGAGGCAAAGAAAATACATAATATCTGGAGATTAAAAAATAAAAAGATCATAGTAAAAAAAAGTTATCTTCATGGCTAACAGTCATAGAGATTTCTTTGTATCAGGAACCATACTTCTGGGGAAAAGTCAGTACTAGAATCCTCAAAAAAGGATACTTTACTTTTGGGGAGAAAAATAGAAATTCTGTGTCCTTCCTCAACAAAATAGAGTATTTGTCAGATCTTTCTTATGAGTTTACATAAAAAAATTATTTTAAAGTAAGAACATGTTTTCCATCATAAAAAACAGTATACTACAACTTTAAAATAAATGTTCATCTGTGAGAACATCACATTTTCTTATTTTAAAAAGTTTGAAACTATTTTGGGAAAGTTTTTGAAAACATTTTATTTTATCTATACATGGCTGTTTGCCTGAATATTTGTATGGACAGAGACGGTGACAGATCCATACGGTTGTGAGCCACCAAGTGGGTGCTAGGAACTGAACTCAGGTCCTTTGGAAGAGCTATAAGTGCTCTTAACCAGTGAGTCTTCTCTCCAGGCCATGGGAAATAGTTTTAGAATAAACAACAGCAAGAAGCTTTGCATAGCAGTATTTTAATATCATATCCTTTTATTTTAGAGTTATTCTTAGGACTTTTCTGAGGAAGTTTCACTGCAGAGCCCAGATTGTCATAAAGTTCCTGATCCTCCTGCCTTGGCCTTCTGAGCTCTGGGATCACGGCCTGAATCATGTTCGATCTTGTAGCAACTAGTGAGAACAGAGAAAAGCCGTCTGTCTGTCCTTCTGCAACGGCGACAGCTCAGGTCTGGATGCCTTCCCTTCCTGTGGGTATGTGTACTGGTGGCTAAGAGAGATGAAGCGCTTTTGCTTTTTTTTTTTTTTAACGCTTGGGCTACAACTTATGATTGCTAACCAGGTTCTCCATCATAAGGGTATCCCCCCCTTGTCTTTCAAGACAGGGTTTCTCTGTGTAGTCCTGGCTGACCTAGAACTCAGAGAGAGTCACCCGCCTCTCCCTCCTAGAGTGCTAGGTATGCGTGACCATATCCAGCAGAAATGTGTATTTTTAACAAGTGTGCAAGTCCTGTTTCACTATGCTATTAGTATGCTGAGATGCTAAAGAACTGCTTGATTAGGAAATATAATCATTTAATTTTTGTAAAGAAAGTGTTTTGATGACAAGACACATACTCATGTGTATATATTTTATACACATGTACATATTTTACATACATGTACATAAGCGTATAAAAGCATAACATACATTTATATGTGTGAGTTAGCAACTGTGGAGTATATTTTATAAATGACAAATGTTTATCCTAAGATTTAATTACAGATAAAATACATTTAACATAACTAGTTTTAATAGTTAGTAAATAATCAACATAATTAGGATTGAAAATTTTCTGATGATTGACATGGTTTCCAAAAGGTGCAAAGAACAAAAACAAACAAACAAACAAACAAACAAACAAAAACAAAAAAACAAAAAACATTTTAAAGGTGGTTACTTGAGATAACCCTCGGTGAAGACAGCTAGGAAATACTCACTTCTTCATCTGGGCCAAGGCAGTGTTATTGATGAAAACCATTTTTGAGAGTCCAATCTCGTCCAGCCCGTTTACCATCCCACGGATGGCCTCTATGCTTTCCAGGTCACCCTTCAAGGCACAGGCCTGGATGAGGCGGGTGATGGCTACTTTAGAGGGGACCTGCTCCAGGGCCAAGGATGCTTTTAGAGTTTCCACAGCCACTAAAATGGAAAGCAGAGGACCAAGTTTTTCTTAAATGACCCACACTGACTTTAACACATCTTGAAAACCAGCTTTTAACATGCGCATCAAATGGCTCAATACAAAAAAAAAAGAATAATTAATGCTTCATGAAAAATCTACTAAAATGATGCATCTGAAGTAATGTATGAGAAGAACAAAACTTCATGTCAGAAAGAAGGAAATGTTATTGACAACGTGAGTCCCATTCAAGGATACTATTTCATGACTAATCACGGAAGGTGACAAGTTCTGACAAGTACAAATAAGGAAGAAATTTTTTAAATGAAAGAATAGACCAAAAAGACAAAAAATAAGTCACTTCTACTCATGTTAATAATTTCTACATTTAGCTAACTCAAAGAACAAACAATTATCAAAAACTTTTAACGTCTCATATTCTTTCTTGAAAATGGTCCAAACAGGACAGAACTATACAAACCAGCTGAGCAGGAGCCGTCGCTCAGATTTATTCCACACAATTAGGCTCTTTCCAGATATTTGCTGCATCCAGTTTCCAAAAAAAATAAAGCTCATTCAATTCTTTGAGCTACAGTTAAAGAGGTTCTGTTTGCGTGATTTACAGACTCACACCCAAGTGTGGTGAGACCTTTGTATGAAATCAGGTGCTACCTGGGAGGGTTGCACCAGTACTTAGTCTAACACCTTTACCACCACCCAGAAACTTCCCGGCTTTGTAGCAATTAAAGCATTGTAACCTAGACAAAGCTAAGGTTCTCCAGGCAGCTTCTAGAAGAAGAGCAGCCTATCCTCACATGGGAAGAGAAAGGGTAGTAATTAAACAGTCTATTAAAAACAATACAGTAAAAAAGCACGATCAATTTAGTCTTCTTTACTGAATAAACTATTGTAATTTCAAATTACACATGATCCAGACCATTGACTGTCAAGTATAAAAAGGGGAAAATAATTTTAAAATCAGTAAGATGTTATAAATATGTATGCACATACCAGAAAATAAAATATGATCCAGACAATCAGCTTGACCGCATCTTGTTAAAGGATAAGGTTACATACCGACAATTGTGCTCAACACCTTTTAGTCTCTAAGCACACCGTGAGTGAGACCTTCCCGAGACTGAGAAATGCTAACAGAGCGAGACAGAGGATGGTGGCTCAAGGCTGAGGGCACATTTACTATAATGCAGGTGTGTGATTAAAAGCTGTGCTCAAAGAGCCCTTCCGAACCAACCTTACAGACAAGCACTCCAGGTGCGTGCACGCACAGGAGACGGGATAGGGATGGGAGGTGGGGAATCCAAGCAGAGAATACAAGAGCTTACGATCTGTCAAGAATGATACCCCATTCATATCCCTCTTCCCCAAGCCTTCTCTGACTGTCCCTCAATTCCAACATTTCTGTCAAATGCTCTAGTAATAGTGAGTATATGGCTACATAGCAGTTACTAATAGTCTACAAAAGCATTAGTTTATTAATTACTGTAAGATTTAATCAGCCATTTTATTGCCATAGATAAGTTTGGTAAAATAAAGCTGAAGTTGTGTGTTGGGGGGGGAGGGGCACAAGGATCCAAAAGATTGAAGATCAGGCACTCTCTCTGGGTACCATTCCTGCCTTGCTGGTGGACAGCCCTGAGTCTTCACCAGATGTGGGTTTAGTGAGGCTTGGCAGTGAGGGCTGGGTGGAAGTGAAGGAGGGATCAGAGCGCTCATGGTCAGACACCACACCAAATGTATCCTTGTGGTTTTTAATGGGGCACCTAGTAGAAGCTAGGACTCAGCAAAAAGCCTTGGAGCATATTAGCTGCAAAGTCAACTCCTGAAAACAGTCTTGTTCTTTGTGTCTACAGAAACGTTAGCTATTTAAATTTTTACAAGGAGCAGATTTTAATTCCCTCTTCGTTTCTCAGAGACTGCCTAACTGTGCAGTCCAGACTGGCCTCAAGCCTCAACAATCATCCTGCCTCGGCTTCTCATGTGCTAAGATTACAGTGGGCTCCACCATGCCAGCTAATCTACATGAAAATAAATCTCACAAAATCATTCCTACTGAAAACTTAAAAAGCAATCCTTATTGCACCTCCCAAATACAACTCGGACTATCCGAGACTGTTAGCGTGTACAATGTGCCTACGGAAGCTCTGGAAAGGGAAAAACAGCCACTTAGGTATTCAGCCACAGTCAGTGAGGGAGACAGCTCAAGACCAGCAAGCTTAGGCAGCCACCGTGAGCAACACTGAGGCTGAGCAAACACAGCTTCCTCTCAGAAGAGGGCGAGTTATTTGATGATGTGCAAAGCCAGGAGCAGCATCATTATTGAAGCCCGGGGAAGGAACAACTACCACAGCGAAGAGCTCAGGAGCTTCTAACCTCAGTGCCTCCTAAGTGGGCTTTGTTGTAGTAGTGTTGCTATACCAACTAAAATTCAAACATGAAAGTCAATTGAAAAGCTACTTTCCTAACTTGAAGAGTCATCACTGTCCCCCATGAGAGCTAATCTACCCCACCGGAAAGCCATGAACAGCCTCCACGGAACCCCCAGCTCCCAAATCCCAACCCTCCCCCAAGTTACCTCCACAATGACCTAGGGAGACCCTCTCCACATTCATTTAAAAACCCTCCATCCCAAACAAACACTGCATTGCACTGCTGTTGGTATTATGAACTATTAAAAAAAGTATTAGATTAGGTTTTTTTTAAAAAATCAATATCACAATCATTTGATGCACAATCCTGCAAACTTAACACTCAATTTAACTCATTTGCTATCTCATATACAACCAACACAACATGCAAGAAATAACTGCTGGGAATTGTTTCAGACCTCCAAAGTATGTTAATTTCCAAAGCAAAATGACTTGTGCTGTGAATTTTAACGCACTTGAAAGCCTGTACTTTCTCTCGTTCTGGAACACAAATTTTGCATGTCTGAAGAGCTGTGATTCATCTTAAGAAAACCCATCTTGTGTTAAATGGAATGGAAACTGGACTAAGTGGTCAAATGACAAGTACATTCATATTCAAGTTGTATTATAAATGCATGTACAGTAATTTACGTCTCTCAGCTACCACAAAAGGCTCTTGATAAGCAGGTAATTTGCTAAATGGACTCCTTTATCCAAGTATTCGAAGGGCGTTACAAGAAAAATCTGCAGAGGCATTAATGTGACGTAAAGGTCAAGCATTGTGACATACCTTTCAAATAATCCCGCCTAACTTGCGCTATGATGAGGAGGCTGTTGGCAGCATCGTTCAGTGTGAAGCCCTTGATGTGGGTCTCGGCGCTAAAAGAAGCAGACATTTAGAAAGGAATTACTGACATGCTTCTGATACGATAATAAATGGTTGAGCACCAAGGTGAAATTATAAAAACTACTGTTCGTATGTTAAAAATATTGCTGCAAAATATCGACCTGGAGACAGCTTTTGTGTTATCCTGTCAATGGTTATAGAAGGATAATTTTTTTTTGCATTCTGACAGATGACAAAGTTGGAAATGAGCAACAAAAGAAACAAAGTACAAGATTTTTTTTAAACAATCGGTTCAGATTCTTGAGTGCTGACATATTAGGTGACTAAAATAACCGCATGCCCTGCATTGTTCGCTGTATCCAAGCTCTGGATACTCTCTCTGTCTCTGTCTCTCTCTCTTCCTAATTATAAAATGTAAAACTAATCTTCCAGCAACAAAAATGGACATTTTATTTTCAGTGCTGTACAACCAACACCATATCATTTGGCATTTGGTTGATTAATTTTCAAATTTCTGTCACCTAGTACAGTTTTTAAAGCTTTTAAATTAATTTTCAAATTTCTCATTTAGTATAGTTTTTAAAGCTTTTAAACAGTGCAGAATCAAAACCACTGTTACGCTAAAATTTAAAAAACAAACTTCCTAATTTTTAAAAACTCAATAGCAAAACCAGCTTTACTTAACACCAAATCCTACAGGGTTAACTAAAGCCAAATAAAAACAAACAAACAAACAAACAAACAACAACAACAACAAAAAACCCTAAAATATAACTAGAAGCAGTCTGTTTGCTGCCCTGTTTGGACATGTCTAATGATGAAATTTAGCATCCTTAAAGCCTCAGAGTTGAACTCCCGACTAGGAAATATTCACAGGTCACAAGGAGCAAGAGCAATCGCTGCCGTTTGCCTGGCTGGCTCAGCAGTGGCCTCGCTGTCAATCTGCCATGGCTACCGACACAAGCGTAAAAAAGCACCGAGCATAGCCCAAGAGAAGCAGGACCACTATTCTCATCAATCCAAGAAAATCAGCCAAAGATGCCATGTCGTGCCCCTCTTCCCGGTCACTTGCAGCAGCATCAAAAGCTCACCCTGCAGTCCTTAGATGAAGATGGCACCCCCCCCCAGCAGCTGGCTTTGATTTTTTTTCCCCTTTTGTCCCACCTGTCAAAGCTCCTAGATCAACAGCTCAGTGAGACTATGTGCTTAAAGGACTTACTTTCTCAACCTGAAGGAATAAATAAAAATCTCATCTCTCACACCAATATTATACCATAGTCACTTAAGAATATTATTTACAGCCGGGCAGCAGCGAATGTCTTTACTCCCAGCACTCAGGAGGCAGAAGCAGATGAATCTCTGAGTTCAAGGCCAGCCTGGTCTACAGAGTGAATTCCAGGACAGCTAGGGATACACAGAGAAACTCTGTCTGAAAGAAACAAAATAAAAACAAAAAACCAACCAAACAAAAAACGAATATTACGGTTTAAAGCCAACCTGGCATGTTAACTCAAGACTTTAATCCTAGGGAAAAAACCAACCAAACAAAACCGAGTATTACAGTTTAAAGCCAGCCTGGCATGCTAACTCCTAGCACTCAGGAGGCATAGGCAGGCAGACGAATGTGAGATCAAGACTAGCTTGATCTATAGAGTACCAGGCAAGCAAAGTCGTGAGAGAACTGTCAAAACCAAACCAAAGCAAACCAAACTAACAATAAATCCCCAAAATTACAACAACAAAAAGCCAAAAACAAGGTAACAAATCTTGACTCTTAACTGACAACAATAAGCAACAAGCTTTTGGAAAACACTAAACATCACCTAACAATCTTCCAAAAGGGCTCTGTATTTGTTTCAAATGTGAATGAAAGTGGAGATTAAATCAAAAGGAAGAAACCTCCCCCTATCTACTGTACCGTAGAAAGGGACCAATCACAAGGAAAATGCATTCTAATCTGATGTAAACAGATAAAACCCAAAGTTACTCACAGAAACCTTTACACAAAAAATACAATTTTGGATCCTAATCTTTAGTTTTATTTTTCAGTTGCCAAACCAAACTTTCAGTTCAAAACCATTCCTTTCTTACAGAAGGGAATATTATTATCTATGCTGTTCAATGGGGGTAGGCCACTAGTCACAGGGAATATGTAATTGAATTATATATTTAAGTTTACACATTCAAATGGTCACATTAAGGCTGGTGGCTACTGGAGTGGGCTGAATAGAATTTCAGACTAAAACTGCCAAAAATAAAGGAAATAAAGGGTATGCATCATACAGCTTGCCACTAACTGCAAATATTTATCTTTCTCACCTAAAGACAGTATTTCAAGGAAAACTCCCATTTTCAGAGCAATGAATGGACTACTAATGATTCTAGTTTATGCAACTCAGAGTGACAAAACCTGGCCAGCCCAGTGAAAACAGTGACAGGTTTAGTTGGGTTTCTAGACAGACAGAAACAGTAGCCAGAGAGGACAAGAGAAACCAAGCACTGCTCATACGGGTAAATGGGTCTTGGCTCCCTAAGAAATCATTTAGTATTTGTTCCCAGAGACCCTGAATCACTTAAGTTAGTGCCCTGGATGGAGAGTAAGAATGTCAGATTGTTACAGACTACTCAGGCCTGTATGGTGTCTACCATAATAAAATCAAGTGACCAGCACAAAATAACCATTATTTTTAATCACTTTTATACTTATTGTGTGCATGTGCATATATATGGGCACACACAACATATAGAGGTCAGAGGACCACTTGCTGGAGGAGGCAGGTCGTCCTTCCACCAAGGGGGTCTTAGCTTGTTAGCCTTTACCTGCTGAGCCATCTTGTTGGCCCAACCACTCTGATAGCTGACACAGAGCTGGGGGGGGAGACAGCCAGGAAATGAAACCAAAGAAGTTAATTCGACATAATTACAATAACACAATTAATTGGATAATTCAAATATTCCCAGTCCGGTACTGTCCTGGAACTCTCTCTGTAGACCAGGCTGACCTTGAACTCACTCAGAAACACACCTACATCTCACACCTACATCTGCCTCCCAAGCGCTGGAATTAAAGGTGTGCACCACCACCTCCTGGCTCTTTTCAAGAAAGGTACCGAACATAGGTTTAACCCAGGTCACAATTCTACATAATGATAAACAACATTTTATGTGTTCAAGGTTAAGACCGTGTAACCAATTTCCTGTTGAGGATTTGGATCTTGGATTCTCTTGGGTTCACATAGCTACATGGGAGAAGCAGCCATAGAGTGATCCCTATAGGATGTCACAGTTGAAATAGAAGCACTCTGACAGGTACAAAGTCTTACCTATATATGGGATCTACAAAACCCAACTCAGACACAGAGAGCAGAATAGAGCTTGCCAGGAGTGGAAGCAAGGGAAATATGGCGATGATGACTAATGAATAACAGCAAGGCAAGGTGAGTTCTCGAGCCCTACACAGCAGTGCCTACAGTTAATAATACTTAGAGGGGAGATCATCAGTGTAATTACACAGACTCAGAAAACCCAACAATGACAATGACGATGAGGATAAAGGAGGTGGGAGGAGCTCTAGATAGTGATGGATCTGTTTACGGCCCAGATGCTGGTGGTGGTTTCATTGGTATATACTTATCCCCAAAGTAAATGAGATGTATACATTAAATATGTATATCTTTTAATACATCAATCATATTGTAGAAAGGCTTCATTAAAAACCTAGAGAGGAAAAAGGAATATAATCCTGTATTTTACAGGTTGCAGGTGAAAGGAGAGTAAGAGAGGTATTCTTCTAACCACTCAGGCCAACTCCTTCTAAGATCTGGACCACAGCAGAACCACAGGAATGACTCATAGCACCCACACCTGAGCAAACATACAAATATGCACATCAATGGAAATCAATATTCCACAAAATGATCTTTACTGTGTGAAGTGCTTTGATATTTCCCAGTCTATTTCATTGAAAAAATAATCATTCTGCCCTACTAAACAGTGGCAACTGCAGTTTGGAACTATGCCAGGTCAGTGGCCTTCCTTGAAGGGTACATCCAGCATTGAACACTTTAGGAGACAGTGTCACTAAATATACCATTAAAGGTATGCTATCAAAATGTTTAGGCACATGACTCATCAATTATCTGATATCTTTGTAAAATGCACAATCCTTGGTCACCCAAAACCAGAACCTTAGCAGAGGGCTCTAGGAAGAAGTTTCAATTGATCCTAGCAAGAGAGGGTCACTATGCACAAAGCCCAGTTAAGGCATTTTTGTGTGTGTTCTGTGGTATGAATGAGTATACATTTGCATGTGTGCATAGACAGATGTACATGCCAGTAGAGAACCAACAATGATATCTGGTGTTCTCCTCAGTTGCTCTCCATCTCATTTCCTGACACAGAGGCTCCTGCTGAACTTGAAGCTCATTATAGGTAATCTTTCCAGCCAGCTTGCCTAGCTTCTCTGTGGGGACTGGGGATATGAACCCTTGTCTTCATGCTTGCATAGCAAGGACTTAACCCCGAGTCATCACCACAGCCCCAGGATAAAGATGACTGATTTTATTTTGGGAAGTCTTTAGAAGATTTGTGACTAACTCTCAGGATTAAGTAGTTTTTTACTTTTTAAGGTTTCTTTCTTAAAAGTTTAGGTTTTCTATTTGAATTGATCAATACAAAATTCTCTTCTGTTTTCTACCTCCTTGTCTTTTCAAATTACTCATTTCAGAACACCTTTGGCTATTCTAAGATGGAGTTCCAAAACGATTTTCTGAAAAAGCAAGATAATCCACACCCTAGACCCTGCATTACAGCTGACAGAACACCATTCGAAAACTGTTTTGGGCCATCGTGTGAGGTATAGATAAGGTCGAAGTAGATTATTCAGTTCACCACTGAGTAAGTGCACAATCTATGGAGCACACAGACAGGTGAGGTCTGGCTGTGACTGCCCTGTGAGTGCCAGCAACACGTCTATTGTCCCAGCCCGCTGGAGGCAGGAGCGCTGCTGCATATGACATCAACCTGGAAAACCGTGAGACCCTGCTTCAAACATAAAACCTATAAAACTAAGTAACCTTTGATGCTATTTCTGTGAGCAAGTGAGACACTTAAGGCAGTGTCTCTTTAAAGTGAGGGTTTTAACAGAGGAACTCATACTCACAAGTCTCTCACTTGCATTGCTTGCGTAAAACAGTCTCTCCTCAGCAGTAAGCTTATCAATGTGCTGTAAGTTTCACTGTTAAACACAATGTTTTGCTTTTGAGCTTTGAGGAAGATATTATATGCGTCTATAAGAGAAAAAAGATAAAAGACAGTATTATTGTAGACTAGCAAAAGCACAAGGAACAAAACAAAACCCCAAAATATATATCCACTCACTGTTACCAGTTTGTAGAGATGGGCACCGACCATGCATGCCATCACCCTCAAACTGCTAAGAGAAACGGCAACTGCAGGAAGCGCTACTCCACGGAAACACTGGTGCCGCAAAGGGTTTCTTTTCCAAATTATTTTCTATATTTGCCTTGGGTCAATAAATTATGTTCTTGCTAATAAAAATGAAAATCAGTTCTTCTGACTACAAGAGATGATAGCTGTTTCGAAGTGAATCGCAAAATATGTGTTAAAGTCCAAATAAACCAGAGGTATAATTTAGATTGAGGGGTGCAAAAGATTCACTTTCAAGCTATCTTTAATCTATAAGTGGGTGGTTACAATGGTTCATATTTCAACACAATAGCATTAAAGTGAATATAGCCTATAATTCTAAAATTAGATCAAATTATTTGGCTACGACAGGACTTATACAAAAACATACAATTTTCAAATATACAGATATCTAACAAGTAAACTAGGCAACATTTGTTTGACTGATTAACAGTTTTATTTCACTTGTTCACAATAACTGTCAGCGAATGAAAAGATGTTAACCAAAGAGAAGTATCTACACTTTTCAGTCACTTACTTTTCTGAAATAAAATTGTTTGGCTCTAAAGAACCAACTGAAACTACAATCTACTCTTGTGTGTATAAACATATCACAACAGAGATCAGGTGAAGCTGATCCACTACAGACGGCCCTCTAGCAACATAAAACTCAGCAGGGAAGAAATGCACTGCATTCAGACAGGTACAGACATGATGTTAATGACCACAAGAACAGGCAAAAATAGTTGTGTAGTATGTACAAGTTAGGGAAGTTTGTATTATTCCCTCAATAAAACTCAAGTGGCAATGTCCAAATCTTATTTAAAACTGGAAATTAAATTGAGAAGGGAAAGATAAGGTCTGAGAATATTTATATTAGTGGTGTGCTAGTGAAGGAGATTAGGATTGTGTGAATAAAACTCAGTCATGCAAGTTGATCAGGTTTTAAATAAGCTTTCCAAAGCACTATTCCTTTTAGTTATTACATTACCAAGTACGTTGTGTCAGATTTTTGTTAATGCCTACAGAAAACAAAGGTAGAAAACCAGACACTCAAGAAGTAATTAATTATTTTAGTTAATGGCTATGTCAACAGATACCTAGAATAAACGCATTGTACCATCTGAAATAAGAGGATATGAAATCTTTGCTCCCTTATTCTTTCACATATATACATAGTTTCATCATATTTAGCCCCCCAATCTTCCTGTCTTATCCCCCTCATATTCTCACTCAATCAATTCTTCCCAACAAGTCACAACCCTATTTTCATGCCATCACCATCGTTGTGAGAGCGTGACCCGCTGCATTTAACTGGGGATGCTGGCACCAGTATGGGCGTGTTGTTATCTACTTGAGCAAGAGCTACTTTCCAGTAGCCACACAACTGCCGAGTGAGTCATCGCCTCTAGCAACCAATAACTGCCTCTGTCCTACGGCAGACATGGGGCCCCACGACTCTCTCCTCCCACTAAGTCATCTCTGAATGCAGTATCAATATCCATCACAAACCTTAAAAAAATACAGTGAACTATCCTACAAACAAATCATTTAAAATTATGCCAAAAAAATTATGGCACACAAGAATGAAGACACAAAAGAATCTATTACTCAGTGTTCTTTTCAAAGGGACTACAAAGTTAGGATGCACTGCTATTATTGTCCCTGTCGTTCACAGAGTTCCTTTGTTGCTCAATGAGGGCTAAGTAGTTTCTCAATATTCAAAATCACTAAAACTAGAAAACACTATTAGTTGCATTCTGGTACCATGGGAGCTTCGTCTACTCTTATCTATTAACTGTTTATGTGAGTTCAATGTACCAAGCCCATTAACCACAACTATCCCAATAGATACTACTCTAAGCATTGAATTTTCTTTTTCTAATATAATTTAATTTTTATTTTATATTCGTTGGTGTTTTGCCTCCATGCATGTCTGTGTGATGGTGTCAGATCCCTAGGAGCTGGAGTCACAGACAGTTGTGAACTGCCATGTAGGTGCTGAGAACTGAACCCAGATCCCTTGGAGGAGAAGAGCAGCCAGTGCTCCAATGAGCCATCTTTCCAGCCCTCGAACTGAATTTTCAAAACATTTATACTTGCTGAGTGTTTGAATCTTGAGACACACAAAATTCAGTATATAACTCTGAATCACACACAAAAACAATTAGCGGGATGGCTGTAAAATACTTAAGAAGTTAGCTAAATGTTTTCATTAAATAAAAGCAACCTCTGAAGCAGGGTGGTGGTGGCGTACACCTTTAATCCCAGCTCTCAGGAAGGCAGAGGCAGGTGTATCTCTGTGAGTTCAAGGCCAGCCAGCTCTGTAGAGTTCCAGGAAAGGTTCCAAAACTATACAGAGAAAGCCTGTCTCAAAACACCAAACCAAACCAAACAAAAAGCAACAACCTTTAAGAAGTTAACATCTAAGTTAGACATGATGGCATATCTGTAAGTCCAGCACTTGCCCTAAGTTGAGGGGGAGGTTCATCAGTATGGGGGTAGCCTAAACTACTGCCTGTCTCAAAAAGAAATCCCACCAGCCAAGAGTATTTACTATCATTAACTCAGTCTCTCATAGCCTATAACCTGTACCTAACAACGGTTCTTCACATCTTGGTCAGATTTCATCAGTAAATAGTTTATACAGATCTCAAATCTACACTGGCTTATGAATTATAATAGTATCACAACTAATAAATTACCAGTATTATGCTGATAATTACAAATTTCCCAGATGTGCCAATCTTTGCTAATCTAATACAATGTGAGTGAGTAAGCTCTCACCTGTGCATCTTTATCCAGCAGTGTCTCTAGTGCATGAGACTCAGCCCACCAGCTGCTAGTTAACCAGAAAAGAGACCCTGTGGGTATTTACCTTTGTTCTTGCGCAAATTGCAGCTCTCCAACAACATCTTCTCAGTGATGGTTTCTACTGCAGGCGGTGATGAAGAACTCAGGGACGAGCTGTCATCTTCAAACCACAACTTTAAAACAAAATTACCCAGGTCAACAAAAATGGGAAATCCAGCAATCTCTGCCTGTAAAATTGGGCTGTATTACATTAGGTTCTAGAAATATATCCAACAAAAATCTGGTGGGCTTCCACTAAAGACAAATTACCTCAGGAACGTCGAAGGGAACTTCCTGGTTGCCGGTTCTCAGGATCTCTGCTAACAGTTGCAGCGTCCTTTCACGGGGGATAATGTTTTCTTCCTGCATTTTATTCCAGACAGCATCAGCTCGTTGCCAGTCACTGTTTATTTCTGTTGAATTTGATTAATCAAAAGTCAATGACTATGCTAAGCAGAACTTTATGTTCATGAAGGCATTATTCCAAATGCTGTTGTCAGGGAGAGGAAACATTAGTGATTGTAGCCCACAGATGAGGAGAGTTTTCTGTGTATCTTTCTAATTATGAGACACAGAAATACTTTCTCTGACAAAAACAAAACAAAACAAAACAAAAAAACAGAAGCTAAACAAAAAAAAATATAGTAACAAACCACCCCCAGGCTTTTATCCAAAGCTTTGAAAATCAAGTTGATAAGCGTTGGTTTTTAAAGTAACTGAAAAATTGCTCAATGTGAAAATCAAAATCATAAGCAAGTTTGCAAAGACGATGAACACGTGTACAGCCTTAGGAATACCCATGGCTCTGGAACCATTAGGAATGTTCTTTTCTTGCAAAGGGACAAATGCCCAGGTGCTCTGACTTGGGCGAGGAGAGACTGACTATCTGTATTTCCCGTGCTGCTGAAGAGTCTCTGCCCCGGTGTTTTACATTTCTTATGGCAACTGAGTAAGTCTTAGGGCGGCAAGGATTCTCTTGTAAAGGAAACAGGCAGATGCCTTTGTACTAATTAATAAGTTAATGACTTCTATGTGGTGATGCCCAGTTTTCACAAATAATAAGGATGACAGGACTACTTTAGATGTTCTTTTGTTGGAATTGGCAGACGTGTATACAAGAAACATTAGGGAGGTGAGCTTTAGCACATCTATTTCTTACACGAGAGGGAAACTGTACCACTAAAGTGAGTTGCATTGCCCTGGATAGTCTCTCGATATCTTGACCTCCAGAAAGAAAAATTAAGTTTCTTTTTAACAGCCAGTGACTGCTAGAAGTATAAACTTGAACATACTCAATTCGAAATCAACATGAAAGAAAAAGATAAAAAGTAAGCAGGGTTATCTTCATAGGTCATATACGTAATGGAAATCACTCTAAGGTTCAGTGATTTTATACACACTTGATCATAAAACTAACATAAACCTTATGCTTACAATTAGTTTTTAAAGCAATTTTCTTATAAGTATGCCTCCCCTTTGTCAAAATCTTTTGCTGTTACAGAAAAACCCAAGCCCAAGAATCTTTACTGTATAGAAAGAAACACACGTAGCAGTTCCTATGTGGTAAAGGCCGAGCAACAGAAGGGAGGTATTCAGGGCCAAGGCAGTCGAGCTGGGTGCTTGGAACACAGACATTCTGAACAATGAAGAAAATATGGGTGGATGGATTATAGCTATATGCCATAAAGACTAAAAACCATTAGAAGATAATTTCCTTCTTTTAAAAAAGGTAAAATGGTTGAGCTGAGTGTATTTCTAAGTCACTAAACTGAGATGATTCAGTCACATAGAAATTAAGAGTACAAACCAAGATTCAGGTACATGGAAAACTAAAACTAATAAAACTAGAATATTAGTGCTTACAGATGACTAAAACGGAGAAAAAGACTGTAATACATATCTGAGTAAAAAAAAAAAAAGTAATAAAAAGGCAGCAGTGGTGGCACACACTTTTAATCACAGCGCTCGGGAGGCAGAGGCAGGAGGATCTCTGTGACTTCAAGGCCAGCCTGGTCTACAGAGGTACTTCCAGAACAGGCTCCAAAGCTACACAGAGAAACCTTGTCTCCGAGAAACCAAGAAGAAAAAAGAAAAAGGGGGGGAAAAAACCCCTGCCATTATTAAATAATAGTTTTTAAACAGGCGGTGGTGGTGCATGCCTTTAGTCCCAGCAGAGGCAAGTGGATCTCTGACTTTGCAGCCAACCTATTAACAGAGTGAGTTCCAGAATAGCCAGGAGTACACAGAGAACCCCTGTCTTGAAAAACAAAAACAAAACAAACAATACACAGATGAGCATGTAGGTATACACACACACACACACACACACACACACACACACACACACACACACAGTATGTGCATACACCCACACAGTTTTTACATAGATGTGCAGGTTCCCACGAGACCCTGAGTGCCTGTGAGAATGTTCACAGCCATTATAGGAATGACTGGGAAAGCTACTTCAGGATTTCAGGATTTACATAAAACAGGAACGAAAAGACAGCGATCCTCAAAACATCCTATTAATATTACATTTTGTGGCTTTTTAGTTGCCCTTTCTGTGCTGAGTTGGCTTAAAAGGCATAGCCAACATTTTATTAGATAACATACAGATGCTCACTGAGCTGAGCAAGGGGAGGTTGGCTTTCCAGACAGCAAGGAGCCACCCCAACCACACACAACCAAACCAACCAGAAGAAAACAAAAGCAGGCAGAGCAGCCGTTTCAGAGACTTCCTTACCCTGTCACACTAAATGGCCTGTTTGAGGACTGGGCAATTCCCGTCCTCTCATTCTCATTTATCTCCTTCTCTAAGCACGTCTGTGTGTCTTTCTCCTGATTTATTAGAAGGTAAAATAATCCAGTTTTGGTTTGGTAGCATGTTTCACCTGGGTGAATAACTTCATTTTGATTTGGTCTCTCAGGCCTAGAGTAGAAGACCAGAGTGAACTAATGGCCTCCTACACAACTCACAGGACAGCAAGAGACGTGGGACCATTTTATGAAATGACTGGACTCATACTCACTGAGCACTGCTTACCTTTCCACAGGACCAAACAGCATCATACATGTCCCATGTTCCCAGTACCATTTTGAGTGTTAGGATGCCCTCAATTTTAAGAAGGAAAACTATGAAAAAGAAATCTTTCTTCATACCCATCCATCTCTTGCTTACAGGCAGGTTTTGTCAGGGAACACATAGGTCTCAGGTGGGGTCAGCGTGTGTGAGTATAGCAGATCTTTAACACAAGGATGTGTCACCTATCCTTCTGGGCTCCAGGAGCACAGGAAGAAAATGACTGAGCCTGGGACCTTTACCCTCTCATTACTGCAGCAAGGAAGTGGGATTTATAAACATTACACAGCATCTAGCGACACAATGCCATGTTCTGCAGGAAGGCTCAGCCAGTCTTCACCTGGGCCGGTGTTGAAGACTCACATATGACAATCCCTCAGTCTTCTTCAAAGCCCAACATCCTTCCCTGCCGTGGCCTCTGCAGACTGGAGGGCCAACAGGAAGTATGCAGTTTGTCACTTACTGTGTAGTTTGAGTAAGCTGTAGTACATCTGGTCTCTATCACACTCAAACAGCTTCTGGGTCAGCTCCACTAACTTTTCAAGAGTTTCAACCTTCAAAAGATTAACACACAGATTTATTTGCACTGTGTAAAAGGGGTTTCTGACAGTCAATACAGCAGCAAAATGAGCCTTTGAATGAGCATTACCCACAGGCTATCTCTACCAACACAATAGCCAGGGTGGGTGTACCTGCCTAACACCACAGGGCTGTGCACTGAAACATGGCTAAAAACCAAGTCACTCGTGTTGTGAATATTTTACTATAGTAACAAGGTGTTTTCAAGTTTAAACTCAAACAGTGCAGCTGGAGAAACTAAGTCACAAGACTCTCCAAAGAGCATCCTGATGGCATACAGAACCCAAGCCCAGGGCCAGGGCTTTGCTCTGCACCGTATCAACAGACAGATGCAGTGAGCTTCGAGGGAAGGGACCGCCTCCTGACACAGCACACTCTACACCGCCTGCTAGCTCCCACCAAGGAGAGGAAGTCAGATGAAAAACCTCTAGGGCCTAGAACAACATTCCTGGGACTAGTAATGTACCCCAAGAACACAAAATATGCTGCTACTTATTTGTAGAGACACTGAGGGAACACCGTGTCCACAAGGACATCTCGTGAATTCCCAAATGCCCATACTCACTTACTTCTGAGTTCTAAGGGCTTCAAACATCAGACATCAAATACCAACCCAATTACCAGGAATACAGCTATCAATTCAGACATCAAAAATCAAATACCAACCCGATTACTGAAAATACATCTATCACAAAACCACTGAAGTCTTGCAGGTCGAGCTCTAATGCCTGGAGTCTGAAAAACAGAACCACCACACAACACATTAAGACAGTGTTAATTCTCCCCTGAAGACAGCTTTCTCCCTGTAATGAACTCGCTGCCACATATGTGCTAACGGAAACTTATAGCAGGATCACACAGTTACCACAGATAGCTAGAAGACTCAGGTTACTTCAATATGCTCCTTCCCAGCTCAATATTCATTCTATAATCTTCTTGTTTTATGTTTGTCTGATTGTTTTGGTACTGGGGATTAAACCTTGCATGTCATTCCAAAAATCTTTAAATACTAAAATGATTGCATTTTATTTAGTTCAGGAAGAAGTAGTTAACTAAATCAACCCAAGAATATGTAAGGATAAACACACTTGCACGCACATGTTCACCCCACGACACATGATCTTGTGCCCCGCCCTCCAATCACTCACTCACTTCAGCATCCCAACAGATTCAATAGACAATAATTTGCTATGGAGAATCATAACTTTTAATAAAAAACTAGTAGCTTCAATGTTAGAAGAAATATACTTTGATAAAGTACCAATCACTGGATGTGCTGTCTAGCATCTAAAACTATTGAGCATTTTACATTAGTTTAGTCTTGGCTTACTCAGTAACTGAGATGTATGTTAGTTATACACTCAATTAGAAATTCTGAAGGCTTAGTCAGTAACTCTGGTTTCAAGCACGTATTTCACAATGTTGGGTACTGGAAACCATTTCACCATAATTCCAAGGATTTGTACCTGTAATGATAGCATTTGCATCATCTGTAAGAGGGTTCACCACGGAACACTGCATTTCAGTCACAGTGTCACGATAAGACAACCACATACTCATCTGCCCTGGCTACATGCCAGCCTAGGGAAGGTACCGTGCCTGCTCTCTCCACTGTGTGGCTGTGAGGCCAGGTGTCCCCAGAATGCCAGGGCTTATTTATAAACCCCGGGACTATTGGTATTTCCAGACCAGGGTATTGCTCTGTTACCCTGGTTGCCCTCTAGACTCAAGCGTTCCTCCTCCCTCAGCCTCTCCAGCAGCCAATTACAAGAGCACACCACCACACTCTGCACCCCAGTATTTGTGGTTAGAAACAAATGCGCTGCACAACACTCCATGAAGAGCTGATGTAAAAAGTACAATCTTGCAGACTGGGTTGCAGGACAGAAACTGCTAGCATTTAACTTGTGTGCTCTCATTTTACGTATCCGTATTCTGGGGTATAAAAATCACATGCTAAGTAAACTGACCATTGGAACACACTTTCAAATATTAACCTCTACATCCAGACATGGACTGTATTCAAGGATTCCCTCATATCTACTTTGTCACATACATTTTAACAAGTATGAAATTAACATCAACGTACATAGAAGCCCTTGAAAGAGAACAAATAATCCTCTTTAGAACACGGGAAATACAAGGGCCACGCTCACAACTTCCAGTGTTATTACTGGTCTAAATCCATAAGATCTGAACAGCACGACATCCAGCTAACTCCTCCTGTTCAGGGCTGACTAATCCCTGCCGCTGGCAGGACAACAGACTTACACACTACATGTCCCCTGTGCTTCATTTTGAAATTGAGAACTGTTTTCATATACAAACCTCAATCATCAAAAGAACATCTAGGTCAGATTAACTAAATCTCCTAGGCTGCTGGGACAGCCAGTGCTTCTGGCTTATCTCTGAGCATCTTACTGAAGTTTAAACACCCCAGTTGAAAGCAGCAATAGAAAGCGCACAATGAAACGCAGAGAAGAACCCAATTCTAACTGACATTAACTATAACGTCAAAGGGCAGCTAATGCACACTAAAATAATGAGGTAACCTCTAGTTCTTTCCAATTTTCCTTACATATAATTTATTTAATGGCAGTGAGTCTTTCTAATAAAGTCTGCCATGTTTGTTTCCACCCAAATTCCTGGGCAGCAGTTTCTGAGGTTCCAATGCAACATTAAGCTCAACCTCATAGGCAGAATGTAAAACAAAATGTTTTCATTACTTGATAACATGTCTATGCATGTTAACAAAGATGAATATAAAAGTTTTCCAAGTGAAAGGATGTGAAAATTTTTATACTGCAAATCAACCTTTATTTCATATGAACTTACATTTGACTGGCACAGTCCATTTTGACTGGTTTTGGTTTTCTTGCCCATACAAACTGAACGGTGAAAGAAACTGGCTTCATAAAGCACACTCCATGGCCACTCCTGCCAGCCAGTGCAGTAAAAGCAAACTTACATGCACAGGGCTTCCCAGAAGCCAACGCAACTCTAGACAGAAGTCCCTTCCTCTAGAAATTAAGATATGCGCTTAAAGACCAGGTGTATTAACAACAAAATGCCACTGAGCAAATCAGATGAACAATCTACTATCAACAGCCATGGTCCTCTTCACCAGGTGTTACAGCACCTATAGGTGACAGTAAGAAAGGAAACTCCCAACTGACGTGTCAGGAGAACTGCCATATGGTAGATTCTGGAAGCTACAGAGAACACTAGCTTTAATATCAGCACAGCGTACATAGCATCGAACTCTGAGCCTATTAAGGGAAGCAAACTGGGATAAAACTTTTATTTTCATTAAGAACAAAGAGTAATGAGGACTGCACTAGAATCCAATCTTTAGTGTTAACCCTGAAGCCACCAAAGTGAGAGTCCCCCTGCAGAGGACAGTAAGTTGACCTTGGATCAATCAAACGCAAGGGAAGAACATGAGCAGAGGGGAGACGAAGCAACTTTGGAGGAAGTTGTCTTAATAATTCAAAAGTTGGGGGTGGCATGTCTAGCAAGAATGGGGACAGGAACAGTGCTGGAGAAGCCACAGAAAATGGGGACTGTCCTGACTTCAAACTCCACGGCCACCACTACCCTTCTCAGGGGGGTTCTGAGAGGCCCATGGAAGTCACTCGAGAGTTACAAAGCCCCAGCTGTCGTTACACTGCCTAGAGCTGGCAACGCTGGCTTTAGTCCCAGAGAATGAGGTTGACAGAGTGCGGCAGTGACAGACACTCACAGTGCCTGGTGCACGCTAACAGACAGCAGAGCATGAAGGTAAATGCAGACTTTTCACTGGAACCTGTAAGAGCTATGTAAAACCTCATACATTGTGTAACCTTTTCCTGCTTGTATGTCATCTCTCACTGGCTGTAATTTCCAGTCCTGAAAGAAAGTGAATCATATAAAACATCCTTTATTTTCATGCTCTGTCACATGCCATTGCTGGATGGTAAGTCAAGTACTTAAACTGCAGCTAAAGGAATGAGGTAACATTGTTCTCTCTTTGCAGAGAAATACCATCTTATTTGACCATAATTTCTAAATAGGAATGTCATGCTAAAATTTGGAGGCCCTGGTTTCTACTCAAATCACTAGCACAATGAACGGGGGTGTGGGCATGGTCTTCACACATCTCTGTCTTGATTAACTCACTGCCAAGAAACCACCTGGAGAAAATGGTCTGAAAGCTGAAGATGCCAGATGTGAACAACAACTGGTCAGGGAGTGAAAATTGTTTCTCGAGGGAGAAACAAATCAATTCTATTTCATTTACACAATGGAACAATGTGATTATTAAAATGCTTAGAGAAGCCTTTAATGAATTTCATGCAGAGAAATAAAGGAATAGTTGATTACAGTGAAGGAGTAAGATACATGAACCCATTAATTTCAATTATACATAAATGAAATAAGTCAGTGAAATAAAAGGACAGAAAAGGCCACAAATATGACTAGATGACTAAGTATTCAAATTAAGTCTTTATACTTGACAGATTTTAAAATAAGACCTGTAATTTATACCTGGCTCTTTCTATATACAGGACAGTCTGGGGCAGGAAATACTGTTTCTAGCAAGGTATAGAATATATTTCACTAACTTTATCTTTCTGATATGACCAAGTAAGACATGACATGTTCTCAATGGCATAGTTCACTCCAGAATGCTGGAAGTGGAGTCTACAGAGGATGAGTTGGTAAAACGATCAAGAGTTCATCACAGGAAGAAGGTCAGAGAGAACACGGTGACACTAAGTGGGTACTGAACTGTGCACGGACACCCGAGGAATCACACTCCTCTGCATTTAGGGACCGTCCTACAAAGGACAACAAAGGAGGCAGCACTGTCCTTCCTCAGGCCTTTCCACTATCAGCTTCCTTGGCCCAGAGTACTTTGATGCTGTCAGCTCCCAATCCTCCTTTTAGGTTTTCCCCAGATAGCAATTCCTTTGAAGCACCCTTTCCCATAGAACTCTCCCTGAAAGCAACTACTCCGTTCAATAAAAACTTTAAGGGTCTACCTCATTGACAAGAAAGAGAGAACCATCAGCCATGTTAGACCCTGAAATCCCCAATAACCTCACTGCCTCAACCCGCCTTAATCCACCCAGAATCATCCTATGTGTACCCGGGATCTGTTACTCTTTGACTTAGCCCATCTCTTTATTCTGGTCCTGAGGGTTTTAGACCCTTCCAAAGAGTTCTCACGAGTCCTTCCCAGAACAAACTGGAGTGACCGTTCCTTGCCGCCACCTGCTTCTCTATCTGTGTCCTAAAGCCATCAAACTCATCGTTGCTTAGTTAAATGGCACCACTTGCTCCACACACATTTCCTTCTGAGAGCCTCTCTGAATGTCAACACAGGGAGAAATGACTCTCCTAATGGTCAGACCACAAACACTCAAATCAGTCAACATTTTCCACCTGTAGACAGATTTCTTTCATGCCACACTCCTGCTAAGGGGAAAGGGGAGTCTCACTTCAACTCCTAAAGACTCGACTTATTTTAATATCATTTTTTTGTTTTTCTCATTCTATTTTCCTTTGAAAAAAGCAAATTTTTCCAAGAATAAGTAACTCACTGTAACAATTCTGAAAATATCTAAGATATTTTAAAAATCAGCTTAATTCCCCCTCCTATAATGATCTATGCATAGACATAAAATTTAAGTCTATATTAAAAACACTACATTAGTATATAGTGTGTACACACACACACAGGGGTCATGTAATCTTTTTTTTTTTTTAATTGGTTTTACGAGACAGGGTTTCTCTGTATTGTTTTTGAGGCTGTCGGTCCAGCCCGGCCTCGAACTCACAAGATCCGCCTGCCTCTGCCTCCAGAGTGCTGGGATTAAAGGCGTGCACCACCACCGCCTGGCTTTTTTTTTTTTTTGTAAGAATGCTTTTTAATGCTTGCATTAAGGCAGATGTTGTCACTCCGGGACTTTACATGGGTGCTGTAGATGTGATCTCAGGTCCTCTTGCCTGCAGGGAAAGCCCTTTACCTACTGAGTCATCTCCCTAACCCCCTACACAGAATTCTTTATCCACTAAACAGTTTTACACACCCACTGTTTAACAGCCATTCCTAACTGACCCCTCTGGGCAAGGCTGTAAAGTGTAAAAGCCAGTCTTCTCTTGCCTACTTACATTACCTTACATTAAGCATCACACTGAAATCATGCAGAACAAAGGAGACAGAACAATCCCTCCTTTGAGGGGCAAAGAGAATTACTATGATCGATCACTTACCATAATCCAAGAAATATGCAAGCTGCTTTATACACCGTAAGACAGTTTCATACAAGACAAAAGGAAACTTGCTCTTATGCCTCTGGGTTTTTATTAGGTCCTGCTGACGGGGGACGGGGGACAGGACATGACACTGGCCTCAGCCAGTGGCCAATGGACAGTGCCACACAGAGCAGTAACCTGGATCTACTGAAACCCATTCTAGACGACACAAATTACCTATTTGAGCGCTAGAAGTAATGTCTAAGACACTGACAGGAATGTAGACAGACAGGACAGAAAACTGAACCAAGTTCTGAATTAATTTCACATAAATCTCCTGCACTACATTTTTTTTCTTCCTTAAAAACATTTGAAGATATAAACCAGGCATGGAGGCACACACCTTTAATCCCAGGGCTTGGGAGGCAGAGGCAGGTGGGTCTCTGATTTCCAGGACAGCCTGGTCTACAGAGTGAGTGTCAGGAGCCAGAGCAACACAGTGAGATACTTCCTTGAAGATACAGTGATGACATTCTGGGTCATCTGCCTACATCTTCCATGCCACAAACAGGGGTCGATTATATAAAAATAGGAGACCAAAAGCCAACCTGGGACCCTGTAAACTTTTAGAAATAAAGACGGGGTAGCAATTCCTTAGGTGTTCATAAAGCTTCAGTGACAGGACACCTGTCTTCTTAGCACACCACGTTTTCTTTCTATGGAGGGTTTTCTCACTACATGTAGAACTGTTTGGTATGAAATTAATCACCATATGGACAGACGTTACGTTAGCTGTTGCCTTATCAATTCCAATAAGAAAAATTTCAGTAAAGCCCAGATAAAATATACTAATCCCAAAAAGGCCAGGATTGTCACCTATTTCCTATAAGCAGCTTACCATAGCGGGGACACAAAAAAAAAAAAAAAAAAAAAAAGGAAGAAAGAAAATTTAAATTAAATGCTAAAGCACTGCAGACAGTACTTGTTTGGCTGATTAACTTGTAGACAAGCCTTACAAATAACATGAGCCTGGTCTGCAGTAAATTGAATTTTACTTCTTTAAAGAACAAAGAATGCTTTGGCAAAGAGGATTAGCAACTTTACACCCAGGAATACCAGTTTAATTTAATTGTTTCACAATTCAAGATGTAATATGCAAATACCATTTTGATATATAACAGTGAATTTAGCAAAGTGAGGAAACAAATTCAATACACAACCCGACTGCTTTTTCTGAGCTGTAATTATATACAATAAAGCTGGCCGAGCCACCTCCTCCCATTATATCGGGATTGAATTCTATTAACATGAATCAGAACAAGGATAATTAAAGGTTAAAATTTTTAAATGTATTCTAATTAAGAGTCTAAATAGCTGTACATTAGAAGAGCAAAGATAAAAATCATACCTCAATGATCTTCTTGGCCTCTTTGTAATTTCCTGTCTGTAGAAAGGCAAAGAAGAGGTCGTACAGCATTGACATTTCACCCTGTTCATGGCTCACAAAATCCATGGCTAGACAGCACAGAGGGGAAGAAAAAACGCATAGATCAGGACAGTATCAGGAAATTCTAAATAATAAAAAAGAACAAATATGGAGACTAATAAGATTACACCTTTATCTAATTTATCACCACAGTCCTTATCTGATAGCACCTATTGATGGCATTAAATACTGAAGACCAGCACTGAAGAGAACCAGTGAGGGGAGGATTAACAGCTGTATATAAATCAGGGCAGACCACCAACACGCAGAGCGCACATGAAGTAACAGACGGCAACATTCCCAAAGGAACAGATATTGAAAACCAGAGGTTTTTCAAATAGTGAGAATCACATCCTTTCAGAAGTATGACAGTCCGAAGAGATGTTTGTCACATCTCCACGTTCAGATTAAAGGTGGAAAAGACAAAGGTGGACAGTTACTAACCTTTCTGGATCAAATCAGTCTCTCCTTTCTCTATTAGCTTACACAAGACATCATGAATCCTGGGTAATATTTTATATTTTTCACAGCAGTCAATGCTGGCTTCAAGAGCAGCAGGTAAATCATCCCTTGGAAAAACAAATTACAATAAAAAAAAAGATGTACCTAAATTCAGTCCAGGCTATCAGAAACAATGTAGACAGATTTACCACGAGCAAGGGCACTGTCAACACCCAACTTTACTGAAGACAAAATCACTAACCCACATGGAGCAGGCAGGAGCACAGCCCTTCCCTCTACACAGCGTTCAGACATCCATTGCTGTCCCCATGTGGCCCTTACTTCTTTGCTTCAGAGGGGTTTGGGGTGAAGACAGAAAAGGACGAAGGCATCCTCTGATCTGAGTGTGTAGAACAGATTTGTATCAGGCTGTCATTGTATCAGGCTGTCATTTCTAAAACAAGGACTACTGTTACACTGTCTTCTCCACTCCTTCAGTTCCCTTTGGAACCACACAATTGCAACAGGGAGCCTCATGTAGTTCCAGGGCATGTGCAAGCACTTAGCAACACATGTCATCGCGGTACTTTCACCCCACACACGGCCTTACTAGGTGAGCAGGAAATAGCCCCAGGTCTCTTTCAGAAGTACAAAACCAGTTCTTCCTAAAACTAGAACATTCATTCTCCAGTGAACTACACAATTCTAAACTTTCTGTCTTTACAAGTTGGCCTTGACCTCATTATAAGTCACTGCACCTTTTTAAATGTGGTACTTAAAAGAAAAAGATACTTTCACCAAGTCAGAGTTTCTCAATTGTGTTGAAAGGTCTTTTTGTGAGTCTTCCCTGTGAAAGAACAAGTGAGTGTGAAGAATCCATAAGGCCCCAGAAGAGCCAGAGATATGTGATGCAATTCTCCCGGCCAATGCTCTTCTCTTCGTTTTTTTGTTTCGTTTTGTTTTTGAGAGAAGAGCCAACGAGGCCTCTAAGAACCGAGCAAGCAGACAGCTGCCCTGGAGTGGGTTCTGGGACCTCCTGCTCTCAGTCCAAGCGCTTTGCTGCATCGTACAGTGTGAGAATACCACTGCTTCCAGGGCCGTTATTTGTTGTGAGAGACTACACGTTAAAAAACAACAGCATGAGCTATATTTCCAAAGCAGAGGTGAAGCTACAGACAAGCAGCACACTCCGTGACAAGCACTCGTGGAGAACGCAGCCTTTCACCACGGACCGTTCAGAGCCTCACATTCTATCCATTACACACAGGCTATGGTGCCTAGATTAGACTGGATTAAGAGGTGCTCCCTGCGATGGGCTGACAGTGCGAAATGAGCATGCCGGTTAGCACCAAGTCCTGTTTACAGTGCATCTACTGGCACCCCACTGAGTCATTTGAATTTTTGTCATTTGGGGTGAAGACTAAATTACAGGTTAATTTCAAAACCGAAAGTAGATGCTGCAGGCTAGATTACTGTCATATGAAGGAAATGCTATAGTAGCTACCACATATGCTATAAAGCCTCATATAATCAGTATTTTCCCTGGCTTCAGACACAGGCTCAGCTATTGCCTTTCTATAATTCCCAGGTGCTCATGGGAAACTATGAGCACATCTGTAAAAGGAAAACTTAACACACACCACGTTTTTAAACGGCAAGATATGCTTTTGCAGATCAACCCCCAAACCAGAACAGCAATGTCTCAACTCTATTTCCCCCACATTAGGTCAAAACTACCAATAAATGAATGAATAATTGTTCTGTCAGTCAAAGCGACATGTTAATAGTCCTCAGTCTCCAAATATATGCTCTTGGAAATTATACATGCCCAGAACAACAGAACAGAAAAATGGAAATAATTCATGTATGTTAGTCATTTTAGATACCAATGTTACCACTTCAAAGGCTGCCGACAGGATCAATTCAATCTACAAAACACTCCCAACAAATTGGACTAAAGACAGAAATAAACTAAACGTCCAGTCAGCTCCTTGCTGTCTTTACGGTCTATATGCACCTTGTGGGTGATGGTGTCACTTAAAACATAAAGGTTTGCATCCTTCATGTCCTTTTCATCATCCTGATCTTTTCTGGGAGATCCTGGAAACGGGTGATGGAAATGAAAAACTTGTACATCCAGGACTCCAGATTTTGACCTTCAACCGAAGAGAGCTGTACCAATGAATGTGGGTCCTCAGGTTCCCAGCTGGTTCTACTCTTTGCTGACTGGGATCATGTGTCAGGTACGTGTGTCACTCCAACACCACTGATCTTAGGTAGAATGAAAGCACTAAGAGTAACAAAATACTACAAGAAAAAAGAAAAGAATTCCTAGACAAAACATGGACCAGCAGCACACTGCCAGCCTATGCACCCTAACGAACTTCTATGACTTCCCTTTATACGTATCATACCAGAAATGACTGAAAAATGTAGTTAAAAACAATAGTCCTCTGAAAAAAATATTTCTTAATATGTTAAATCTATATTCAAAAGTTTACTGTTGCTTCAAATCTATTCTGTCCCTAAGGTTTTTGTATACAACTGTAAAGTCTATCCACAAAAAACAAATTCCCATCACTGTTTACACAAACCAAATCTCTCTCTCTCAGACACATAGACACACAAATCCACTGCATGATATACCATTATTTCTAAGACAAAAGTGTATTTGCACTATCTTTAAAGACCAGAACCCCTGTTTAAAAAGTGTCCTGAGGGAACACATGAAACAATTCTCATAACTAAAACTATGTTAATAAAAAGCAGTTTTGCCAACCAGTATTTTGACTAATGCAAACTTACAAGTGTTACCAAATCATGTGAAATAAAGATAAAACTAGAGAAAAGATGGATTGTGTCATTCTAAACTTTAAGGACACATACACATCCCTAATAGAGTACATGTCTAATAAGGGTGCATTTATTAACCAGAGTGGCCCATTCAATATTCATTTTAGAGTCTGTCTTTCAATTTTTAAAGAAAATATAGCTAATACACATAAACCACATATTTACATGAGTGCGCAGAACTGAAAAAGCACTTGTGATGCTTGCCCTCATGGCAAATCTAATGTTGTTCACTATTTTAGTTTTTAATAGGAAATTAAAGTGTGCTGGATCAATGACAAAGATCATACACTAAAATCAGGAGCTAGCTTGCTGATACACAGTCCTAGGAAGCACTTGTCCACCCCAGAAATGTCTTCGGGAGGAACAGGAGACAAGTTCTTTTCATGCATGTCGTCATGCAAGTGTTCCACTCCATCTGAACTTCTCCAGCCAGAAACCCTGTGACAATTGTCTGTTCACATCTGCAGCTTTTGACTTACTCTTCACACATTTGTAGAAAATAACTTTTGAATCCAAGGCAGATACTTAATTTAAGCGACAAAAAATACGACAAACATTGGTTCCTAACTGGAATAAAGTACTTCAGCATTACGCATAAAGTGTTAGTGAATACCAACTCAATGATGGGGTTACTTATTTAACAGCTCTTGAATCTGAAGCCACCAGCGACAAGGAGATGAAGGTAGAGGTGGGTGGCATTTAAAAAAGAAACAAACAAATAGAAAATTGACCAGCCTGGAAACAAGCTCAGTTTAGAATGGGGTGAGGCGGGTCCAGGAGGAGGCGCTGCCTTCACAAACAAGGCTCTGTACGAGGACCAGTACCTCGGAAAAGCAAAGGGTTTTCTTTTTGTTTTCCCCCCCACTCATCATCTATAAATGAGAAATCTTCAAGGAGACTGGTGTTGCAATTACAACTAATCCTCCCCAAAAATTAACTGTGTTGAAGGCTTTGTAATTTCCCTAGGTACAATTTAGCTGTCACTTACTTTAAAATTTACTCAAACATGCACTCGGAGCAGCACTAACTTCACGTGTCAAGTGCTTTCCAGCCAATTGAGTCTAAACTGGAAGTCGGTGTTAAACAACTGAATGATTAGACAGATAGCTCATTTCCCTGCTCTTTTGTTCAGAGTAAAATGCCACATTTACATTATCAGGCTCAACAGGATTTTCTGACAGAAGGAGAAAAAACCCTTACTGCACAGTGTCCGTAAGAAGCACATGAAGCCTGCCATTTACCAATCATCCTTCAAAAAGCAATAGCCATGAATGTAACTTAATTACGACCCAATGATCCTTGACGAAAAATCATCTTATCACTGTCCTGTCCCCCTAGGGCAAATGAAACACTTTTTGTCCTCTGGCACTGATGATGCTAAATTCTTAATTGCAATAATGGAGTAAAAGAGCCAAGCCTCCTTAATTTCCTTTCAACATATAAAGAGTTTTACTCTGGAAGGCAAGCATTCCCACATATAATAAAAGTATCCAGTACAAATGAAGACACTCAAATTGAAGGGGAGTGTTTACCACAGAATAACTAGCATTTTAAAACTCTGCCTCCCATTTGTGTAACATATATGTAGCTAGGCTACACTGTTTCAAAATTTAAATTTTTACAAGTTCACCTTATGGAAATTAGCACATTTATGAAGAACTCAACACTAATTTAGCAACAGTTCTGAGAAGAGAGGCGAACAATATCCTTGTATCTCTAGACTGTAAGTACAAATCAACATGCACAAAACCTCCTAATGGGAAGCAGACTCTACAGCACTTTGCTATCTGTACTGAATAAATCCAGTTGAGCAGCCTTGGGTACTTTGCACATGCAACAAAACCAACACATCATGGGAGAGGAGATTCAGTATCACACACGTCTAACTTTGTTTACTTTACTACAGTGTGAAGACCACTCAAAAGCTCTCCTAACTCATGTCATACATGTTCTTTCTGCTCTAACAGTGTCTCCCCAAATCAATTACAAGTTGAGTAACAAGACAGCATTTACAACAAAACAAAATATTTAAAGGCACATTCAGTTGGATGTTACAGTTCAGTTACATGTAAATAAAGGACCTAAAGACTAACAGGAAGCACATAAAAATTTACCCCTTTCCTGTTTAATGTTAAGTATTAATTAGCACGTGGATCGTATAAAAGCAGGTCATTTAGCAAAATCCTTATGATTATGTAAACCTAAAACTATCTTGCTTTCCCTTGTCAAATGTATGTAAACAAAATGTATTATTTCCTAAGCATTTTTACAATAAACAAGTAACATAAGCTAACAGTATTATCTCCTCTGTGTTTTTATCCAAATAGTGAAGTCAGTTCAAAATGAAAGCTGACAGAATCTTGCTTTACAGCTGTAACTTGAAAATGACATCCCCTTTAGAGTCTTTTGCAATGACATGCCGAAAATAAATGAATGGAGATCTTTAAAATGATCGTCTGAAAGTGTTTTCATAATTTTGTCACAAGTTTGAATAAATAAGGCTCATTTTGCAGATGAGCTCATAACCTGCTGGGGTCAATTATGTGATATTACTGAAAAGTCAATGCTATTAAAGCAAATCAAATACGTGTGGCCATTTGGGTAGTCTGGTGTAGTTAATCCTGGTACTTGCCATGATTCTGAATTAATTAACTATCTTCTATCAGTCAGACAAAACATAATTGAATAAAAGTTTCAAAGTCAGTATTCTAACCCAGCTTTTACTAATTAAATGCTACCAAAGGTTTTTGTTGTTGTTTTTTTTTGTTTTGTTTTGTAGTTTTATAAACAAATATTACTTCATGTCTCTAGGGCAGTCCGCATGATGTTTTTAGTATGACAGAGACAGAAAGACCTTGTCATTGAGGCTATCTCTGTAAGGACAGAAAAAGGCAAAAAAGATACAAAAACAAAGAAAAACTCAAGTAAAAGAGAAGGTAATAACTTCTCGAAGTGTCTGGATACAGTGACAGCCCAGTTAACAAAGACAGCCAAGCGTGACAGGAGACAAATATCTACTGTTCTAAATGAGTAGAACACAAAGCCTGTTCCAGGTTAGCACAGCCCACGCTATGTCCACTTGCCCTGGTTCGGGAGCCCATCTGCAGGCCTTTTTTCAAACTTTTCACGTCTCCTGTTTGTAAGACACTCTTCTGCCATGACTGCATTTTCTTTGTTGGTTTTGCCCAGTAGTGCAGGAGAGCCTAGTGCTTCTGGGCACTGGGCCCGTTTCTTTCAAATCCCTGTGTAGAACTCCACATGCAATTTGCAGAGATGGGCCTTTTAAACAATCAAAAAATTCCACTAGGAAGCATATTAATTATAGGATTTCTATTTAAAGTTGGCTATGAGTGTGAGAACTGAGTAACACAGCAATTGTTTGAATCACTATTTCTTGAAAGGAATGTAATGCAAAGATTGTGAAGGTGAAGACTTGTACAGTCATCTGATTTGGGAGCTGTTTACGACTGGATGCCAAGCAATTATTTTGGGTTTATGTACATCCAAATGTACAAATACACATTTCCTAAAAGAAAGCTAGTTAGAAGAGGTATTTTCAATTCTGTATTTTAAATCCAGCACTGTCATTCATATATAGTCACCATACTACCTAATAAAAAGAAAACTATCAGAAATTATGAGAGAATGAGAAAAATTAAAATATATAGTCAGTTTTGCTCTGGAATTTATAGAACACCACCACAGGGAAATCAGGAAACCCAAATTACAAACTAAGCATATTAGAAACTACAATAAGACACGGAATAGATGACAAACAGGTAAGATGTAGGAAATTAAAACAAATCTAAAAGAAAAAGAAGGTAAGGGTGCTTAATCAATCTTACAACAATTTTTTCCTCATAAAACAACACTGATTTATGACTTGTTCTTCAAATAACGCCTTAAGGGCACCAAAAGGGAAAAAAATTCAACCTCAGAAAAACTTGCCTTACCAACAAAACTGATTTTCCCATAAAGAGAAGCACTCCTCAAATTAATAACTGTGGCTGAATATCAAACAGACAAGGAACACTAAGAGAGGTCTCTATTTATTACCTGGTTAATAATCATGGGTTGTAAGAAGAAAAATCCAGAGGACCCTTGTTTCTTATATTCATTAGACTCAAAACTTAAAGGAAACCTATTTATGTATTTATTTCTTTAGACACAGGGTTCTCAGCGTGGAGACCAAACTGACCCAGAACTCACAGAAATATGCCACCCTTTGCCTCCCATGTGCTGGGATTAGAGGGGTACACCACCACACCTGATATGGTGCTGCTCTGTAGCTAAGGGTGGCCTAATAAGTGACTATATATATGTAACCCAGAGTGTTAGGATCATAGATGTCTGCCACCACACCCAACCACAGATACAATTTCATGTAATCCCATTACGTGCTCCTTAAAAACAGTCACCAGAGACCTCCACTGACAGCTAAGACACAGCCATAGGCTGCTGGTGTCTGAAGGGATACCCAGTCTATCTTGGTGCATTAATTCACCAGCACACAACTCTCACGGCTTCCACGTCACCAGAGTACCTGCAGAGCATAATCTCATAGCAATTAGGCACATTCTTGCAATTTCAGCATCCAAAATTCAATGGACTTACTTTTCTAGATGCACAGTGACCAAGGGGATGCTTATGCTGGTAGACGGCTTTGCTAACCCAAGAGTCACAATGGCTTCATGCAACTGTTTTACTGTTTCAATTTCACCTCTTAAAGCTGCGCCATTTAGGATGTGGAAAAAGGACATGACTGTTGAATCTTTGATAACGACATCCTTCTCTTTCATCTCCTTTAGAATTTTAATAGCATCTACAATGAAGTAACACAAAAGACCCTTAGGTAATTTCATGTAGGGAAAACAAACTGCTATTAAAACAGCATTTCAAGCCCGGCAGGAATGTAAATTCTAGTGTATAATGCCGATTTCAAGTTAATTACTACTTGCATTTCTAAACGAGACTACAATTATAAATCCACAATAGCATGGTTTTATCATTTCCCTGCAACTTTGACTACAATTATAGATAGGGACCATGTGCCCACTCTGCACCACATAGCCCTGCATAGTCTGCCCTGTAGCTGTAAGATCCCCCTAAATGGAAGCTTTTATCGTTCAGCACTAACATCTGCTAAATCACACCATTGTTTCTTCAGCAGATGGCTTGTCAGGAGGCCAGATAATAAAGATGTGTTTACACTGTATATACAGCCAGACTAATGGTCTGATACCGATAGGGCCTGTTTGCTATGTCGATACTAATTAGCCAAGCAGAGCCAATGAAAGCTTTCCAAGAGACTGCATGTTAATACATTAGATTCATTAGGCTTCATTAGGAAGGCAGAAACAAACATTTTAGGATATGGAATAAGTACATTTTTATAATGTTTCTTCGTAATTATTATACAGACAAAATGTTTTGACGACTTTACAAAAAGTGATTTTTTAAAAAGCAGGCTAATTTGTATTAAAAAGCCTTCCTAGGAAAAATGTCAATATTCAAATCAAGTGATTTCCCCTTTCACCTCTTCCAAAACTCCAAGAGAGGAAATGTAAGGAAGAAGTTCAATATAAAGCTGATAGGAAAACAAGAACCTACACTAGGAGATTGGATTACCAAGTGCAATCATTATATTATTAGGCTTAGCAAATTTTCAACAAGGAAATTAGAGCATGCAAATCACCCATGTAATCAAATTTGCTTTTTCAACTAAAATGTACATTTTGTTAATGTTACTAAGGGTTAAGGCAAAACTGCACAGTTCAGGTTCTTATCAGGTTATGTTTACAGGTTTTACGTGCAGCCTTCAGATGTCTTTAAGCAAAAACAAAGCCATTAGTGCAGGCATATAAGCAAATTGTGCCATAAGTCATGATCTTCAAACTCAATCCAAACAGCAATGCTAATAAAAACTAGCTGCAGAAATGCAAAAGGCACTGAGCTGTGCAAATGTAAATGACAAGCCTGCCATCCATTAAAACTAATGGCCTACACTGTCCATGTAGCTCTGGTCGGATTCACATGCAAATTTATATGCAAAGTATTCAAGCTCTTTGTAGGACATGATATACCATTAATATCAATTCACGCGTTATTCTAGTGGCAAGGACTGGCGTCACATATTTCCTCTACACCCAGAGGCTTACCTTGGAGCTTGCCATGCTTTCCCAATACTTTTACAAGGCCTACATACTTGGCAGTGTCAAGAACAGCAGAAGGATCTAAGCGGTCACTATAAAATAAGACACAGTTATATTAAATCAAATAATTAAAACAGAAGAGAATAGTCATAATTCACTTTATTAATTTCCAAAAGCTAACCAAACACTTTGAATTGTTGTGATACTGGCCGGACACCTAACAAAGTTAACTACAGCCACACGTCTGCAGAGGTAAAAACAAAGACCCATGTACGCTGCCTCGATACGAGGGGGGAGAAGAGGGGAGGGGAGGGACGACACACTCAGGACACTGAAGAAGACACACTTTGCCTTTATAGCCCTTTTCATGATTCTAGACTTCACTGCAAACGTTCAAACACCTGAAACGACTTGTAAGAATTCTTGGGAACAAATAGAATTTTGTGTACATTATATAGAAAGGGAAACATTGCAGCTTGTAAGAAAGTAACCATTGCCACTCCTTGGCTTAGAGAACGAGAATGCTTTACGAAATTGAAAAGACACCCTAAAGGAAGAATGATATAATTAACTTTAGAGACTTTCCAGCGCGCGCGCGCACACACACACACACACACACACGCGCGCGCACACACACACACACACGAATTTTTAAAAATGATGTCAAGTCAGGAATATTCAGTCCATCCAGGGCATTTTAGATACCCGCTGACTTGATTCAGTGCCGGTGTACTTACACTTCTTGTTTCAAGTTCAATGCATCTTCTACATTATCATGTCGACAGCACAAATTTATTAGAGCTGCATAGCCACCAATAACCATGTCTGATTCATATTTTGCTTTCACTTCAAGGGCTTTTTGCATATTCTAAAATAAAAGAATTTAGTGGAAAAAAAAGAAAATAATATAAAGGTAAAATTGTCATTTTTTTATGGTGGTGTTCAGAATTTAGGAGAAGTTAATAGTACTTTAAAAATAAATGGTTTCATCCCCTTAACCCTTTTGCACGCGTGTGTGTGTGTGTGTGTGTAAGTCAGTTATAAATATGCATGGCTTAAGAAATCTTGTTTATAATTAAAAGCTAATCTACTACAATATTTCCCAAGTCTGACCAACAGTCTAATTTCCAGACTTGGAAATACACATAATTGAAAAGTTCCTCAGAACAGCTCACTATACAAGTAATGAGACAAAAATCTGTTTTAGATGTAACAGAGCCATGATGTCATCTCAAAGTTGGTCACAGTATTTTTCCCCCTAAAATCACAGGCATATGAATAATAATATTGAACCAGAAACTTAAAAGTGCAGTGGTACCCCACACGCTACAGATGCACTAAGATCAACACAGAGCAGAGCACAGCTGCATGCCTGGGGAAAGAAGGCAAGGGACCCTTTATCTCAGAAAGCTTTCTCCTAGCAGGAAAATGGAATTTCAATCCCTGCATTAACAGCCTCGTTATATTTGACTTGCAAATGACTATTGCATGTATCAGTTGCTTGACAATCTGGATATGAGAGACCGGAGCCATGGCTTGAAAGGACATTTGGCATGTATGATAAACCTATCACAGCTGTTACTATCATTCACTTTGCAGATTATCATAAACAAACTACGGCAACCCGAAAACATGCCATTCAAGGTGTCGCTGAAATTAGTTAACCTTTCATTTAATTGCACCGTTCTCAAGCCTGACACATAGTAATAAAGTATAAAAATCATAAACATTATATTGGGTGTTACTGACTGTGGTCTGTATAGATTACGTCACCCTAAGAGCAAATGAGGTGGGGGAGGGAGGGGGAGGGAAGGCTGTGGACGCTACCTCCTCAGAGCAGAGCAGCAGGACGAGCTGCTTCAGGACATCTCCTATAGGCTGATTGTCAGCTTGGAGTCTTTCAAGTTGTGATTCCAGATCAGATGGGGTAAGTTGTGAAGTCTACATGGGAAAAACAAAAGTTTACTGTGAAAAGAGACACAACCCCAGTCATTTCTCCCTCTGAGCTGGCTTGGCTTTCTTAACTGTCATAAACACTGCAAGGGATAATAATCATGGGGTCTGCAGAAGGGGTGGGCCACATGGGTTGATGACTCCCAAGATTATATGCAAATCTCCTAGACCCTTTGGGCTTTCTGAGATAGCGAAACAGTTTTACCAACTCAGAGGTACATGGGATGACTTTACAGGAACATTATTTGGAATTCTCATTAGATGTAGTTAAAACAAAACAAAACAAAACACTACTTACTTTCCAAGAATCTACCTTCTCTCTGTCAACCAGCACCTTAACATCCTAAAATTGGGATTTAAATTAGTACAGAATTAGAAAACACAGAAAAAAAAAAAGCCAGTGAATGTCAAAGGCAAATTTTGCAAGTCCCAACTCATTTTAATGCTACCTTTCTAATATTTTACAGGAGTTCTATTCATTGTGCAAAAACCATTGTAATTAATATTTTAGATGTTCTCTTTAATATGTAAAGTTTCTACTAACACTCAATAAAAGCTTTATCTTTATTGTTATTATTGGCACAAAAAAATTCTGTAGCTCCAAATTAAATTTAAATGAGATTTTTAGCAAGTCTCTACATATAGATGAAACATTTACCAAAGTTGGTTGCTTACATTCACACACCTTAATCAATTCAGGAACATGGTAGCTATCCAGCAAATTACGAATGCCTTTATAGATGTTTTCTGGGACTTTAACATTCTGTGAGAAGGAAAGGGAGGGGGGTAGAGAAAACACAAGAGTTTTAGACAACCAACCTGAAATTGGTCTAAGATAAATTATCTTGAAATAATTTAAAGTCTCTAAGTCTTGTGTGTCATTGAGAAGTGGTCTGGTTGTACTTAAAAGCGCCAATTTCAAATCTAATAGATACATGTCAGGAAGAACAGGCATTATATAACAAAAATGAAATGGTACCATCTTCTTCAGCTGATGGAAGTATTGTCTCAAATGCTCCTCCTTGGCCTGTACCTCTGAGTCACTCATGCTGTCAATCAATTGGTAAAGAAAATAGCCAACAGCCTCTGTGGAAAACAACAGGAGAAATCATTCTACTGAAATTACCGAGACTGTCATGCTATCAAGATTAATTTATAAGACATCATTTTGGTGTGAGATGTCACCCTGATGAGAGGCTCTGAAATGGCAACAATGATCACTGAGGCATAGAGATTATGTGGTTTGGGCGCACATAGCTAACTGGTGAGTGAAAGGAATATTAATTATTTTCAGGCCGAGTGACAGCTCTTCAGTACAGAATCTTACTTCAGTCTATTTTTTTCCACCACTCTGTGACAGAAGTGGTCCTGCCCAAGGCCTTACACTCTCCTGTCCAAAGCACAGGTAGTGCATGTAAATAGACATCTCCACATATTTTTATACTAATGTTTTGTGGACAATATTTTGGAAATTAGAAATGATTGGTAATATTGAGCATAGGAACTTAAAATACTGTTAATCAGCAGATACAGTAATCCCCTGAAGAGTTGCCTATTAGCCAATGAAAAGCCAAGATTAACAAAGATGTTTTGTAGCAACAGTAATTTTCTTATGCATTCAAGCATAAAATTCATAGGGCTATGTGATATGCCTAGAAGAAGAGGTCGGAACTTTCAAGAAGGGTACTTCCCCCTCCTTTTTTTTTTTTTTTTTTTTTGATTTTTTGAGTCAGGGTTTTTCTGTGTAGCTTTGTAGACCAGGCTGGCCTCGAACTCACAAAGATCTGCCTGCATCTGCCCCAGAGTGCTGTGATTCAAGGCGTGTGCCACCACCTGGCTCAACAAGGGTACTTTCTTAGTATAGAAAGCTACATAGTCCTGACTTCATTAAATGCCTGAATTATGTCTTCTAGCTACTAAGTTACATTTAAGTACAAACTCTATATAAGACCTTTTCCAACTTTATGCAGGGTTAAACAAACCCACAGAATGCTGAAATCACAGACCCTGAATCACTGCCGTTCATCCCTCTCCCCACAGATGCCATCTGGGACCCTGCCATGCCCTCATAGGTTTCACATTCCATTTTAAAAAATAATAAACCATACATCTTAGCAATCTCAAAATGTAGGTTTTGACACAGGTTATTAAAGTCAAATGTTTTCAAATTTTACTTTCAAAATCAGAGTGTTTACTGCTGTAATCCTTCTCGTCCACCATTACACAGAAGAATGGGCTTGTGGGTAAGTTACAATCTAAATAAAAATGCTACCTGTTGGTGCTGAAGGTTCTCGGCTGTAACGTCCATCCTTGTAAAATAATTCTGTTATCTGGTAAGACAGAAAATCCATGCAAACAAGGACAAATACAATGTGAAATTAAATTCTTGAGATGATAAAGCCTCTCCCCAATGAGGCATTATTCTGTGTCACAGTAATCCCATCTACCCCATCACAGAAATTATTTGGGTTTTAAATAGCAGGTTTGTCTTCTAAAATTACAAAAACACAGGGAAATAAAACTGCAGTATCTTATGAAGCATTTAAATATTGAAAACTAATTCTGATAACCAGAAAATCCCTTATAGGGCTATAAAGCATTACTTCTCATCAGGGCTGCGTTCACTCAAACTAGAGCAAATGAGTTTAAAATATGAGTCCAAGATTCAAATGTGTTTGAATTCACAAACACTAAAATTATACAAATTTATTTTTCACCATAAATTCTATCACAAATTTTTAACTTAAAAAAAATCCAAGCATACTTTACAATTACAATTAATATATGCCTATGGAATGACTTGTAACCATGAACAGTGTTTGACCCCATAAATCCTCAGACTGAAGACTGAGCAGAAGCATACATCAGTTGCCTGAAACGCTAAGTCAGGACTGCCATGTAGTCTACAGTTAAGCTTATCCTGGCATATATAATTAGTGTTAATAAAAGTCAAATTCCAGTTACTTGTATCGTTGTTGGCTAATACAGAAGAGTGGACACAACTGATCACATACCAGCGTGAAAAGCATGTTTCACTTAATGGCAACCCAAAGGGTAAGTAAGACTGAAAGGAGAAACAGCCTTCTATACGCTGTCTATCAGACAACACACACAGACTACTAGTAAACTCTACAGCAACTGCAGCTGCACAAAGGACTTGAGACAGCTGTAGTATTTAAAACAAATTTGAACAGACACAGCTAATGAATGAACCAGTGAATGTCTCCTTGGTCAATGAACTCTATAGATAATATATAATAAAATTAAGTATAAAGTCTGAATGGCAGCTGTAATAATACTAGAAAGAGAACTGAATGAAACTATACATACATACATACATACATACATACATACATACATACATACATCATTAACTTGGGCCTGGTTTTCTTAGTATATGCAAGGCCCTGGATTCAACCTTGGCACCAAACATAAAAAGGCAACAAATTTAAACTGTGGATTTTAGTATGTATTCTGATCTTCTTGGGCTCAAATTTTTCATGCAATCATTAACTGTCCTTCTGGCATAAAAACCAGCTGACTGGTGTTTATGAGTTGGTCTACATACCATTTACATACAGAAACACATACAAACAAATGGGTGTCTAAAGAAAACTGGACTAGAGATAAGCTCAGTGAATGAACACCCACTCAGGAAATGTGAGGCACCAGAAAAAAATTATTAAGCCTGTGAGATCAAATGAAACCACAATAATTTCACAAGTTTTGTTTTGAAAAATGAAAATCTTAGTAAGAATTTAAGATCAAGTCAAAGACCACTTAAATAACATTTTTCCTGCAGGAAAATATCAAGACTTTTAATCCATTAGTTTGTAATAACATATCAGAAATGCGTGAAGCTATTAAAGCTTGCTCTTGATGGCTTTTCATGCATCACTTATTTTTAGTATTAGGAACACTTACCTTGCTCCAAAGATCTACATCCATAGACCTGCAGAGGGCAGCAAAGGATTAAAAATAAGCTCAGAGGTTCAAAAAAATTTTAAATCAAAATGTATCAGTACTTATATTATGTAATATGTAAAAAAAAATGCTATAACAAGTAAATAAGTATAAACTGAAAATTTTTTGTTTTGGATAGGCACCATTACAAAGCCACCTCCACATGGTCCAAGTCTGAAAGGGCAGGTTTATTTGCATGTGCCTCAAGTATCTGACTCACGTGTAAAGAGAAAAACATCAACTTACACAGGAGAAACTGGCTATCCTGACTGAGAGATCAAGGCTAACATCACTATTGGAGTACTAATGGGTAATTAAGCCTTTCAACATAATTCCCCGAAAAAGCTAGACTCAGACACACAACCTGAAGTGTAACGGGGGAACCCTCAAGAGCTACATTCTGTAAGATACTGCCAGTGTCATTAAAGAAAAAGTTATTCCAGAATAGAGAAAATTTAAAATAAATAGCAATTAAAGCTATCCCTGAACTGGACTTTGTACAAAACAGACTAAATATGAATAAGGACGTAAACTTTAAAATGGAAACAAACTATGTTAGCTAAAAAAAAACCCAGCAATGTCTAACTCCCTAAATTTGTTAACTGTTAAACAAGATTGTCCTTTTGGATTACACACTGAAATACAGAATGCGAACTAAGTTCAAATAATTCTGAAAAATTCATTTCTCACATACATATATATTATACACACACACACACACACACAGAGGCAGTAAAAGCAATGAGACAAAAAAGCTAAAAGCTGGAGTGCAAGAGAGTCAACTATGGCTTATTTCAATGAGCCCCCATTTTCAGAGCATGACAACAAGCAAGTTTGCCGGCTCCCCATCTGCTGGGCTCTGTGCTCTAGTGTCCACACACGCTGCAGTTGAGACTGAGGAAGACAACGCTTCTATGCTGACTTTACAGTGTGGAGAATGGCGGATTTACAGGAAGGTACTGAAGGACAGCCTCTACTAAACATGAATAAAAAGGAAGACATCAATCAGGGGGAAACGCAGAGATGCACTGTGGACTAACGAAGAGAACCCCCAGGAGGAAGAGGCCGGAGAAGCCACAGGAAAGGACAGCCTGTGGTGCACAGCACATAACGGCCTATGCCGTGGCCCACCAGCGCTGGGTACCTTTACACCTTTTTAGAGCAAGGTACTGCTGCATCTCATTATTCACCACCAAGAAAGAACTGTCAGAACACTTCCTGTCCTCTGTACTTGAAGTGATGACAACATCCATGGAATTTTCTTAAATGTTTCAGGAAGGCCATAATGAGCCTGTATTTGGTCACAGGCTTCACAAATATATTTTTTGAACCTTATGCTTCTCAGGTCTAAGCTTCCTGACCTCCCTGGGAAAGGCTTTTATAACACCTCATGTGCACACAGACACCATTCAGATGAGCCTCCAGGGAGACTGTTGCTTTGTCCTTACAGCCAGGTCATTTTCACTCATTCTAAATTAATTATTAACTACAGAGAAATATATAAAAATGGCACAGTTACAGAGAAACTCAGGTGAAGTTTACATCAATGTCAGGAAAGCAGGGAACTTCAGGAAGACAACATGAACAGGGGAAGGATATGCAGAGGACCTTGCAGAACCACGAACATTCTGTCTCCTATACTCAGTGGGTGACAGGTGTGTTTGTTCCATATGGCACATTCAACATTGAGATACACACAATTAAAAAGTGCAACAGAGCTGGGAGTTGGTGGCACACACTTTCAATCCCAGCACTTGGGAGGCAGAGGCAGGCAGATCTCTGTGAGTTCAAGGCCAGCCTGGTCTACAGAGTGAATTCCAGGATAGCCAATGCTGTTACACAGAGAAACCCTGTTTCGAAAAAAAAAAAAAAAAACAAAAGTTCAACAGAAATTTCCTCACAAATAAAACTTTGGACCCTGGCTGGCCGGTGGTGGTGCACACCTTTAATCCCAGCACTCCGAGGCAGAGGCAGGCAGATCTCTGTGAGTTCGAGGCCAGGCTGGACCGACAGCCTCCAAAACAATACAGAGAAACCCTGTCTCGTAAAACCAAAAAAAACTTTGGACCCATTCTGAAGCCATATAGGATAGCTATGAACCCTGGTACCTACTGTTTAACAAATTAACAGTTCCTACTTCTTTTCTGATCACAAACAAGTTTCTGAGAAGGTAGAATTGTTAAGACAGTTTTCTCTAAAACAGAACAGGTTTGAAAAGCACACTGGAGCCATTTCTGTTGAGCACTGACTGCAGGTTTTAAGCAAGCCTTTTCTAGAGGGATAATGGAATTTGGGGGGACAATTTTAACAAAACATTAACCCTGACTCTGTTAATGGAGCAGAAATGTCTGGGTGACACTGTTAGTGCTGTTCTGTGCTTCAGCCGCGGCTGCTAACAGCTATGCACCAGTTCCTCCTTCAGTCTGCACGGTAAAAACAGAGAGGGAGCTAAACCAGACAAACACTTCCTCACAGCCAAGAGGAGCAACAGTGGGAAGCAAAAGATAGACAGAAAAAAAGGCAGTGATTTGGGTTTCTCCCCATTATCTCATTTACCAATTAGGAAGTAGTTAAGAGCAACACCTATTCCACCTCTCAGTTCTAGTGAGGTCAGGACATCATACATTTTTGTTTTTGTTTTTTGAGTGTCCTGGCTGGCCTTGAACTCAGAGAGATCTGCCTGCCTCTGCCTCCCAAGTGCTGCGCGCGTCACCACCGCCTGGCTGCACCCATACTCTTATGATGTTACTCCAACCTAAAATTTTACTGTCTCTACCACAAGCCACTGGTAGCAAAGACTGACACATTAAAGAGCTGGGAGCAGGAGCTCCAGAACTCATTCAGCCCAACAACTGCCCCAGCTCCCTTTAGGACTCTGTCCCCCATCAGACTGCCTTAGCTTCATGATCCAAGCACTTCCACAAATCTGAAATTATCAAACATAAGCTAACTAAAAGATGATGAAATCAAAAGCATCCATAACTTGGAAGTTTATGCTATCACACAGTATGAGTTACTTCTTTAAAATCTGATGGTATTGCAGTTCTATATATTCACTTATAGTGTATGCTCTAAAAACTTTTCTAAAATGTTATCATCATAGTGTAGGTGTGTGTATGTGTAGGAGGGTGGGCATTACGTAGAGGTCAAAGGACAACTTCTACGGGGTGTTGTTCCAGGGGCTGAACTCAGGGCATCAGGCTTCACGGTGTTATCACCCACTGAGCCATCTGATTCAGACTCCATCTTTTTAAGTGTCTGTGCAAGTGTAAACGCATGTGCATGCACACGTGTGTGTGTGTGTGCAGTGGCAGAGGACACTTCGGGATCCTCCTTCACCTTTCCAGCTTTATTTTATGAGATGGGGTCTCTCACTGAACCCAGAACTCACTGATACGGCTGGCTGACTGGCCGGCCAATGAGCCTTGGGGATTTGTCTGTCACCTCAAAGCACAGGGAGTACAGTGGCAGCCACCACACTCAGCTCTGCACACGACGAACACGTGCCGGGGAGGTCACACAACATCTCCTTCTCCCATGTGGGACCTGGAGCTTGAACTCACAACCAGGTCTGGCAGCAATTGCCCCTGTACACTGAGTCATTGCAACAGATAATTTAAAATGGGAAGGGTTGACCATGGACTTAGGCCAACCAGGTGACAATATACTTAAAGCACCTTAGGGGTAAAGAAATAGATGCTGACACATCCAGGGCTGTAATGTCTACAACTTAAAGAAGTTCAGCAAAAGAAACGAATGTGTCTATGTGTACAGCAAGAACAGGGGAGACAGCAAGAAAATGGCACAAAGTCAGAAACCTGGGAAAACGGGGAAGAGGCAGGCAATAAAAATTACTATTCTTTTGATTTTTTTGGTGACTATTTAAAAAAAGTAACAAAATTTGAGGGTACTAAGATATGGCTTAAGTTTCTTCCCAAGGGTCCACATGATGGAAGCTTGGGTCTTGCTGTGGCCTCAGGAGAGGACAGGATTACAGCAGTTCTCCAGGAACACCGGAGCTTTTTACCAGAGTAAGCTGCTCTCTGGCTTCCTGATGTATGACATGATCACTCCTCTCACTTTTTCTCATCATGGTGTGGTATGTCATCACGTGTCTCAGTCAAGAAAGCCCTCACCAGGACCAATGCAACATAAGCACAGGCCTTTGAACCTCTACCCAAGAGCTCTTCTCCATAAGGGTCACCTGCGTCAGTATCTCAATACAGTGACAGAAACATGGGGGAAGTTCATTAGTTGTCCTTGTCCACGTAAGAGAGCAGCAGCACATACAGAATAGAGTCATTATAACTGAACACAGAGTAATCTGTATATGCATGCAAATCACTTCTTTCTTTCTGTGAACAGAACTGTATCTGTATTGCTTAAAAAAGGTAATAGAAAGGCTGTCCAAGTCTAATTCAGCTGAGAGTAAGAGCCGTCTCAAAAGTAGTTTTCATTATCAATAGATCACAAGAACAAGGGAAATCAGTCCAATAGCAGACAACATTGAGTTGATAATCTTACCTCCTAAAGCCGAGAATTAGGCTGCTTCTCAAAGAATTCAGCGATAAAGGAAATTCATTTGATTCCACTGCAAAAAAGAGAACCATTGTTACAACATCTCAGGCCAAAAGCAAACAAAACGACCAACACTCACTGAGCTACAAATGATCTGGTGACCCATTTACCTGCCTTTTCACTTCCAACTGGGAGCGACTTAAAAAATAAAATCTCACGTAAAGTTACTTAATGAGGCAACACACACATTTCTAACAAAATATCCTTTAAAGAAAGCCTTTTGCAGCCGGGCAGTGGTGGCGCACGCCTTTAATCCCAGCATTCGGGAGGCAGAGGCAGGCGGATCTCTGGGAGTTCGAGGCCAGGGTGGACTGACAGCCTCCAAAACAATACAGAGAAACCCTGTCTCGTAAAACCAAAATAAGAAGAAAGCCCTTTGCTTTCTTTAATCAAAGAGTGAATTTAGATTATTTTTTCTTAATATAAACAATAACTTAAATCACCTGGCCACATAACTGAAACTGTATGTTACTGGGCACTGCGGCACAGTGAGGAAATTAGAAAGATGGCTTATCGTTACCAAAGACAAAAGTAACTTATTCTCTAAGGTTTGTGCTGGGTTCTGGTGAAGCACGCACTTTCTCGTTCCATTTTCCCCCCAAGAGATGAGAACAGCAGCTAACCACAGCAAAGCAGCGAGGCCCTGGCGTCTGCTCCGTCTGCTCTTTGCCTCCCAGTATGGGCTGGCCTACTACACGTCTGGCATTTAACAGTCCACAACTTGGAATGTTGCAATGCTGATTGCTAAGGCTGAATTTTCATGTAAACCCCATCATAAAACTATTTTTTGGCCGGGTGTTGGTGGCACATGTCTTTAATCCCAGCACTCAGGAGGCAGAGGCAGGCGGATCTCTGTGAGTTTGAGGCCAGCCTGGTCTACAGAGCGAATTCCAGGACAGCCAGGGCAATACAGAGAAACCCTGTCTCCAAAAAAAAAAAAAAAAAAACACTTATTATATAGAAGTCAAAACTTTATGTATATTTGGTGAGTTAAAATTAATGACTTTCTTTCTATGACCTATTAAAAATTAAGCCAGGTGTCTTAATCTTTATAAGTTACATTTATCATCTTCATGACTTGTCTCCATTATGAATTTCTTTTATCCCACTCATTCTATCATTCAAAAGCCATTTTACATGTAGTGTAAAGATTCAATTAACTAGACTCTACCATTATAATATACCAGCAAGCAAAAACACAATCAGAAGTGCCAACAGCTGGATCTCTGTGAGTTTGAGGCCAGCCTGGTCTACAGAGCGAGTTCCAGGACAGCCTCCAAAGCCACAGAGAAACCCTGTCTCGAAAAACCAAAAAAAAAAAAAAAAAAAGTGCCAACAGCAAGCCTGTCTGTCATATAAAACTAAATCATACCTCTTTTTTTTTTTTTTAAAGAAAAAAACCTGCTATGCTTTAGCTTAAATGTTTTTCCATAATCTGAATGCCTAACAAATAATATCATGGACATGCTAAAAAACTAAGACTTTAAAACATTCATCAATCAAAATAAAGGATGCTGAAAAAAGTCAGGCAGGTTTCCAGGTTAAAGGCCAGCCTGGTCTACAGAGTGAGTTTCCAGGGTAGCCAGGGATACAGAGATAAACACTGTCTTGGGAGGAAAAAAGAATTGTAATTAATTAGGAGCTGGAGAGATGGCTCAGAGGTTAAGAGCACTGGCTGGGTTCAATTCCTAGCACCCACATGGCAGCTCACACCTGTCTGTAAAACTCCAGCTCCGGAAGATCTGACACCCTCATACAGACACACATGAAAGCAAATCACCAATGTACATAAAATAAAAATAAGTGAAATCATTAAAAAGAATATGCTGGAAATGACAAAGGTAAAGGCAGACTCTGGCTCAAAGGGCACCTTGACTCAATCACGAACCCACACAGCATGAGTAGCAACTTACACTTTTAAATGCTCAGCAAGCATTAGCTGTGCTTTTTGTGAGCAAATCTGGAAACAGCTGCAAATTGCTCACCAGAAGTCACCTCAATTTCAGAAAACTGAAACAGATTCGTCCCATAGCACCCACAAGCTATGAATGACAAACAGGACCCATTCTCTGGTTTAGCCCAACTACCACGCTAACACCATGGCATCTTCAACCTCCTTCCAACCTTAGAATTACTTCCAGTTCAAGCCACACACTGGCTTCTCGTAGGACCTTAACAAGGTTACACGCTGAAATAGTTCTTGCTCGCACTGGACAGACTGTCGTGTGTACACTCTCAACGGCAACTAGTCAACACTAGGTCTACTTCTCACGTGGATACTTACACAGTGACAGAATGTTCTGTAAATTCCCATTCATCGCTTCACTTCTCAGTTCAGCCTGGGCAAATTTATTTCCTTTAGGTAGACATTCATTTTTCTGGGGATAAAGCATACATCAATGGCTATGTTCTTCAACTAACAATATTTTCACATACCACTCTAACTTCCTGCATGTACCAAGATAATCTATTGTCTTTTTAAAAAATAATCTTATGAAACTATACACAACTGAGTAACTGAACCTTGGCAAACAAAAACTTTGTGCTGGAGTGCCAATGCCCAAATAAGCATGTGATCTGTTCACATTTCTACTACTCAAGACACAACAATTCTCTCATTAACAAAGCCACAGCACAGAACTAAAATGGTAGTTGAAAAGAAACACATAATTTTCCTTTATGTTTATGGATCTTTTGCTTGCATGAACGCCTGTGCATGACAGGCGTGCCTGGTGCCTGTGGAGCCCAGAAGAGGGTGTCAGCTCTGCTGGAGCTGGAGTTACAAGGTTACAGTTACATATTGTGGGAGCTGAAAATCAAGCCTGGCTCTTTAAAGAGCAGTTAGAGCTCTTAATCACGGAGCCATCTCTCCAGTCTCACTAAAACATAAAAATGGTTTATGACTTGTCTCAACATTAAATAATGTAAGTTATGTCATATACTACAATATTACAAACTGCAAAGAATAAAAATAAATTATGACATATCTATAAAATACCACACAAGCGTTAAACTGATTTGTACAATTACATGCTATAGGATACCCACTTTTTCCAAGAAATTCCATAAACACTCACATATAAAAGAAAAATGTTAAGAAAAATTGACTATCTTAAATATAAGACTATTTCGCCAGGTGTTGGTGGCGCACGCCTTTAATCCCAGCACTCAGGAGGCAGAGGCAGGCGGATCTCCTTGAGTTCGAGGCAAAGTGAGTTCCAGGACAGCCTCCAAAACAATACAGAGAAACCCTGTTTCGAAAAACCAAAACAAAACAAAACAAAAAACATAAGACTATTTCAAGGAATCACCTATGAATGAATTATACAGACTTTTCAAGTGTTTCAAGTGACTAGTAGTCTCCATGTATTAATGAAAGACATATAATACACTGATTTTAATATGTAGCTAAGTATTAAAAAAGCACAGTAATACCATAAGTTCTATTAAGCATTTAACAGTATGTCTGTTTCTAAGCCAATAATACATAATAGTGAAATTTTAACAACACAAAAGGTAATTGAAATAAGACACAATACCTTGCCTCATCTGGTACGGTCAAAAGCATGGCAGGAACACGATGTTTCAAAGCCCAACAAAATTATTTTTCAAATACAGAATAATAAATATACTATTGATAATGTTTAGAAAAATAAATTTCAAAAAAAATTGAAAAGTACAGTTTCTTTGGTGAGACCAAGGAGGGAATCTCTTCAATGTTTCTGTATCAGGAAACTCTTATCAACACATAAGAACTGTATATATACAAGACCATTTTTAGTTGTCCACTCAGTGGGTGCTTTATTTTTTTTAATGCTAATGAAACATTAGGGAGAAAGAGTATTTTCTTCAGTTATGGCATTAAAGGCACATTTCTACCCACCTGCAAAGCAGCTTGAGCTGACTCTACATTATCAAAACATGGAAACACATAATTTATGTATGTGTCCTGATCAGGATCTACTTCCAATTCATTCATTATTTTGAGGATATCTATTATTCCTATGAAATAAAACAAAGCAAGACAGAGATAAAGAACTTACAATTCAGGAAAGTCATGAGGTTTAGCCTGGTTATTCCTCAGCAATTTGTCTAAAAAAACAAAACACTGTAGCAATGAAAATAATCCAAACTCTAGGGACACAGACATGGTTTACCTGGGTCACTCTCACCTCCTAAGACTGCCTGCCATCTAACTGCTATAATCAGTCACCTTATTTGAAGGCAAAATTCTGCTTTTTGAAAAATAAGGACCCTCTCTCTATTTCATTTCACCCCTTGACTCAAATAGCACTTTCACTTTCAGGGCTGCCCTCCATACAAACAATGCCTCCATATCCTTTCTGTGCTGTTGTTGAGACGGTTTCTCTGTGTAGCCCTGGCTGTCCTGGAACTCACTTAGACTCACGAGATCCACCTGCCTCTGCCTCCAGAGTGCTGGCATTAAAGGTGTGCACCACCATGCCAGGTTCAACCCTGTATATTCTTATCTTTTTACTTCCAAACTCTGCCTCCAGAGTGCTGGCATTAAAGGTATGCACCACCATGCCAGGTTCAACCCTGCATATTCTTATCTTTTTACTTCCAAACTACATCAAAGTTTGGTCCCAATTTCCAGCTTCTTTTCTCATTTATTCCTGCTTACTGAAAATATTCTAAATAATGACTTTTCTATTCACGCCACAGAGAAGAGTGGTAGGAAGAAGACTCAAAAAAAAAATCTTGTTGGAGGCTGGTGATAGTGAAATTTCTGCCTCAAATTCAACAGGAATGCCATCATCCTGTTATTTTTTCTGACCTCCATTTCCTGAGGCTCTTCTCACTCCTCACTAAACAAGCAGTCCTGAGCAGCCGCGGCCTCGGCAGTCATCAACATCTTCCCTCCAACTTACACTGGACACCAACTGGTCAAGGAGCAGGTTCATTTTACTGGTGAGAATGTGGTTTTCTTTTTTTTTTTTTTTTTTTTTTTTTTTTTTAAAGATTTATTCATTTATTATGTATACAGTATTCTTATCTGCATGTATGCCTCCAGGCCAGAAGAGGGCACCAGATCTCATTTTAGATGGTTGTGAGCCACCTTGTGGTTGCTGGGAATTGAACTCAGGACCTCTCTGGAAGAGCAGTCAGTGCTCTTAACCTCTGAGCCATCTCTCCAGCCCGAGAATGTGGTTTTCTATCTAGCCTTGCATGCAGTGACAGAAACTACACAAAAACATGCAGCACCTTGACTGTCCCATGCAAGACTACACAGCACACTTTCCTATCTTCAGGGCCTCCAGAAGAGTAGGTCTAAAGAGCGCAGATGGCTTTTAAATGCTGAAGGACAACTGACACTCTTGTACTATCAAGTGAGCACCTCCAATAAACCACAGGCTTCTGGGGTTTTCCAAGTAAACCAACTGTGACTCCATGAAAGGCAAGCCTCACCTTGTTCTTGATTTTAAGATATCTTAATCTAAACCCTGATATCTAATTTCCAAAGGACAGCTAAGAATGCTACTAGACGGTGTAACAGATACCAAGTGGCGGAGACATGAAGCAACATTACCAAGAGCAGAAATCATTTTGAACCCTGACATAGTGACAGCACCTATGGCCAGTCCCTCAGCCCTCTGGCTCTCAGTTCCCTCAGTAATATAATGTGAGCTCTCAGCACAGCATCCTCTTTCATGGTTCCTAACAATTAATGCATCAGCCAACTCAAATGGTAGACATTACAATATGGTGCCATCAGAAGTACGTTCCTACCTGTGTAAAGATAAGGAACACTAACATGCCCAAGCGTCTGATCAGTGCTTAAGTGCTCTAGGCTACAGAGATATAGGTTAAAGGTGACTCCATGCTTTCAGAACTGGAGGATATACAAAGAGTTAATCAACTCACATTGTTTTCACAAAGACTTTTCTAAAAAGGATTCAGAGACTTTTATAACCAGAAACAATTAGGGAATACTTGTTTCACTATTTCCTTTAAACCAGAAGACAACTATATATTTAAAATAAAATTGCAATGTGAAAGTCTGCTAAAAGCACTTTTTTTGTTGTTTGTGCATTTTGTTTGTCACCCAATGTCACACTAACAACTCTGCATCTCATTCCAAAGCACATTATACTGTGAGATAAAATGAAAAAAGACCATTTTTGTTTCCCCAAGGGGGAGGCACTTCTGTTAAAAGCATCTTTTTATGAGATATTCTTTCTGATTACCAGTAATGCAAACCAAAGAATTAGATACTGTGCTCTAAAATTTAATATTTGTTCCATTTTATTCCTATCCTATAGACATCCCATGTGTACATGGAAAGTATGCTAAATGCTTAAATGTACTTAAGAAGCTGAAGTCTGAGTGTTTCTGTCCTTCAATCAGCAGGCTGTCAGGGCACCAGCACTACTTTACAAGAAACACAACTTTCTCTGCCTTCCCTCCTGGAGCTAAGCTCGGGTAAGAGCAGGCTGGCTGCACTTTCTGTTCCATGAACTCCATTATACAGAACTTCACCATGGCTAGACAAACTGTTTACAACTACAATCACAAGTTTGAATATCTGTTTAAGAGGTGAACTAAGAAATGAAATTACGGTAAAAAATAACACTTTAGTATTATCTAACATGATTCCAGTTCCTCATGACATCTAATTCTCATAAATAAGCACACTCTTAAAGAATTCAAACAGATGTGTTCACTCTGACCAACAGTGATTCCATGAAAGGCAAGCCTCACCTTCAACATTTTTTGTTTTCTGATGTCCAACCAGCAGTGGCCAGAAGTAGTGAGGACGGATAGGAAAGTCTTCTTCCTTCAAGGCCTGCATCACTGCTTTTGCCAAAGCTGAAAAAGAACCCATTGTATGTCACCAGGCCACAGCACAGGAACGTCGTGAAGCTGCTAGTCCTAACTACAAGGATACAATACCAGTTTTGTTGGCCAGTAGAGCACACTGCAGGATAAACTGCAACGAAAAGCTGTGTAGCTTGGCTTCCTTCAGCTTCTTACAGTAGTCTATGAGCTTCTCCGCAGGCTGAGGGGAAAGACATGGAGTCAGCCAGACAGTCAGAGCCTGACCACTTCACAACCTGCAAACGGTCACTCACTTGGGCAATGCAAAGTCTCAGTTTCTCCCTTTCTATCCAGAAATCTTCAATGCTAAAGTTTCAGGTTGTTTACAACTAAGCTCATCTCATGAATTTTCTACTACTTTAATGTTTCCCCCCTCACTGCCAACTACACAATCTACAGAGTGAAAACAGGCAGAATACCGTATCCATCGTCACGCAGTGCCGCAAGAAGAAACTGCCAGATGCATTTATGCTCTCTTCCTTTGACATGGGTAACGCTAATAAAATCTGGAATGCAGTATCTTCCAGCTTTTCAGTGACTAAAAGCAAAATGAGGTTCATTGCGTCTGGAAAGAGAAGAGAGACATCTGTTGTCACTAGGCTGAGAGATCAGCACTGATGAAGAAGCAGAGCCAGTAGCATGCCACGCTTTATAAGCTGAGGTCCATCCCCAGGGAGAATCATCCAACTCTTAAAAGTTGCCCTCTTTGACCTCCACACATACCCTGTGGTAGATACACAACCAAACACATAAACAAAAATCTTAAAATTTTTAAAGAAAAAAACTAAGAATTGCAAACACCAATACAATGTATCTACATATATAAGAATGAAGTACTTACTAATACCATATTCCTGGAGAGCGCTCGATTAACTCACATAAATTTAGCTTAACACACTGATCAAGAGTCCTGGGTTTACCTCCCACAGTCCTCTACTGTTAAGAAGCAACAATATAAGCTGCACCTTTTGTACCATATAAGAAACTGTACGCCAGGTACTCACAAGTCGTGTAGATAAAAACTTAAGTACCTGGAATATATCTTCTTTCAAAGGTAACTTTTTCCAGAATTTGTGAGACATACTGAGGATATCCAGCCTTGCTAAGGGTGACAATAACTTGCAGTAGATCACGGCCCGTAAGATAATGATCCGACTTCTCTACTTTCTCCAGAGTCTAAAGATGGTTGTAGTGATTGAAATGAAAAATTAGAAGTAGTAAAGCTAAATAAAATAGTAAGATTCAATATCCTAATCCAACAGTAACTGTCACATATCAAAGTACCCAACTAAGAATTTTCTGTGAATATTATTCTTTACAGGACATCTTTAAAGCTTTCTTGCTTCACATAAAATGTAACCCAATGACTTCAATATTGACATACACAGCATGAACCATACCTGCTTAACATGGTCAATGTCACCCTTCTCAGCATATGCGCTCAACAAGGCCACATACGTGTCTGGCCCAGGTTCAATGCCAGCCTCTTTCATCACCGTGAGAATATTCTCTGCATTCTCCATATCCCTATAAATTATTTCAAAGATCTTGTAAGATTATTGAACATAATTACTCAGTCTAAAGCATACTGCTTAAGCTTACTTAAATCACTAATTTTAAATAGTAATTGGAATTATACTCAAAAGGGACAATTACTCATTAAATTGGTTACATATTTCTGAAATACTAGAAACCATAAGCATGTGAAATGTTTATAGGTAACTTCACCCCCATATGTAATAACTACATAAAGATAAAGAACCTTCTTACACTAGCAATGCAAGGACACAAGTTTACCTAAGAACAACAGAGTATATTATTCATATGTGAAAAATAAACACTTCCTATATTAAACTTTAAAATTTAATTACCTCCATTCAAGACCAATTTTTTAACATTGAGTAATTGTAAATTTTGTGTAACACATTTCATAGGACCTATAAAAATGCCAGTGTGCTCCACCTCTTACCAGATTGTTTGGAGGAATGAACATACATGTCCTATGAGTCCTCTACATAATTTTCTAGGACTGAAACCTTGCAGACAAACCAAAACCTAGGTGGAAAATTACCCAGCTCTTGCATGGCCTGTAACAAGGGCACTGAATACTGCCTCCGTGACGGGAAGGTCCTTCGTTTTCATAAATCCAAGAATCTTGCTGCAGTAAAAGAGAAGTGACATTTATCAATGACACTTGCTAATGCGTCTATGAACTAGGTCTTATTATTTTTGTTTAGCATAATAGCATGTCATTGTTTAAGAAACAGTGAAAAATAATCCCCTTCTTGTGAAATTTTATTCCTTGAAGTATCAATAATTTTGAATACTCTTGTTGAAACTACTAAATAAGCTAGGACTGTGGCCTCGCCCATGTGAGAGGCCCTAGGACTGTGGCCTAGCATATATGAGAGGCCTAGGTTCAATCTCCAGCAGGGGGAGGGAAGGAAATGATAACTAATTTGGTAAGAAAAACAAAAATCAATTCATTTAGTTGAAAATAAGATTGTATATTAAAACTCACTCCTTATTTATAAGCAGAGAAATACTATAGTTAAGTTTACCTAATTCAGTGGGCAAAGAAAATATTCCTACTTTTATAAAAAAATAGTTTAAATGGCTAACAATAGCTTCCTTAGAAAAGTTTTTTAAAGTAAATCCAGCTTTGCATCCCAACAATTTATACTTCTGTTCTAATTAAAATAGCAACTTTTACTTCTTCCCTTTCATAATAATTTCATATTATTAAAATGTTATTACTAAATTTGCTACAATAAAATACTTCTGAAATACTCACCTTGATAAAGAATTTATTTTCAAAAAGGTAGGTAATTTTAGGATTATACAACTTGCAAGTCTATCTGTAAAAACCTACAATTAATGATTATGAGATAGTTTGTCGGGTAAAGAAGCTTAGGGCCAAGCCTAACAACTGAACTTTAAGCCCTAGGACTAGAACTGAGTCCCAGAATCCACATGATGGACAGAGACAACTCCTCCAAGTTGTCCTCTTGATTTAAACACAGACACACGCACACAGACACACGCACACACACCAGACACACACACACAGACAGAGAGAGAGGGGAGGGGAGAGAGGGAGGAGAGAGGGAGGAGAGGGGGGGAAAGAGGGGGGAGAGAGGGAGAGAGAGAGAGACACAAAATAAATAAGAGAAAAGGAAACTAAGAAACAACCCATATTTCTAAGAGATACACACCTGGCACCTTCAATGTCTCCGACATCACAATAGGCAGCAATCAGCCTCTGGTATGTTACCTGCCAAAGAAATGGGTAGCTTGTCATTTTCACACATAAATGTTCTTTGGGAAACTGCAGAAGTAGATATGACTGTTCAGCACCCACAACAGCAGCTACTACCTACTCGATTGGGTTGAATGTTTGCTCTCTCCATCTTTGCCAGGAAATCAGTAGGTGAAAATTTGTGTTCATTTTGAAGATACACTTTAAGTAAAGCATTGTAATGACTGACATCGTACACGACACCTATAAATGAAATTTAAACCAAATATTTAGAAAAGCATTTACCATCTCATCAGTTAAACTGCAGATACTGATGGCTGCTCACTACTGAAACAGTACTGTCTTCATGAGAACACGCTGACAATGCCCTGTATTTAAAGGTGACAGAGGCATTCCTATATAAAGCAGAGGATGCTGACCACAATTCCTGTATAAAGTAGGGCTGCTGGCATTTTTCTTACTCTTACTAGGTCACCCAAAGCCTTTGCTTGAAGGACTTGTTCCCCCTTTAGTCTTGCTAGCATCATTTACCTATATTCTAATGTCTTTGTCTTCTTCCTATGCAGACACTAAGGTCACATCTGTTAGGACTACCACTCAGCCTACTCTGTAAACGACATTATTCTTGACAATACAATGCGACTTTCTCATCTACAAAGGTGTTGGGCTGCATTCACGGCTGTCAGCTTCAGGTCATAGACTGGGCAAACTTGAATGAATAACAAGCTGTACTTAATTTCCATGAAACATTTTATTCTTAGTCAATTAATTGTACGTGGCATAATAGTGGTCACTATCTGGGATCAGTTTAAGATTCTACGCAGCTGGCCGGGCGGTGGTGGCGCACGCCTTTAATCCCAGCACTCGGGAGGCAGAGGCAGGCAGATCTCTGAGTTCGAGGCCGGACTGGACCCACAGCCTCCAAAACAATACAAAGAAACCCTGTCTCGAAAAACAGAAAAAGAAAAAAAAGGTTCTAGGCAGCTTTATTAAATAAATTCTTCCTAGTTTTCCATCTATATAAAATACTATTTTTCAGGAGCTATGCTAAGGGATCTAGACATAGATGCATGATTATTCTTCACAGATTTCAGGCAAATAATTTTATTATTCTCACTTTACAGATGAGGGAGATTGTTCCTTCCAACTGTGTAAAACCACACAAATGACAAGAGATTTAAATTTCAGAAGCATAAACTGAGGCTACTCTCTTTTTCTGTTTTTGGGTCCCCCCCTTTTTTTGTTTGTTTGTTTTTTTCGATACAGGGTTTCTCTGTGACTTTGGAATCTGTCCTGGAACTCACTCTGTAGACCAGGATGGCCTCGAACTCACAGAGATCCGCCTGCCTCTGCCTCCCAAGTGCTGGGATTAAAGGCATGCGCCACCAACGCCCGGCTGGCTTCAGATTTTAACGTGAAGAAATGTCCTGGACTTTAAAAATCAGGAATACCAGGTATGAAGTGGTCTTTTAAATTATTTGTTTAATATTAAATGTTCTATGGTTCAAAATTTTTAGTTTTGGAATTTTTTTATTTTAGACAAAAGTCTTGCCATGTAGACCAGGCTGGCCTCAAATTTATGGAACACTGCCTGCCTCTGTCTCACAAGTACTGGGATTTAGGATGTGTGCCCCAGGTGGTTCAAAGTTTTAAAGGATTAAAAAAATGTCACTTAGCCAGGCTGGTGGCACAAACCCTGAATCCCAACACTACAGAGGCATTCTCTGTGAGCAAGTTCCACATTAGCCAGGCCAATGTGGTAGAATCCTCTGTCTTAACAACAACAGCAAATGTTTTGAGCAAAAATTAAACCAAGTGTTTGTCATCCTTCCAAACCAGAAATATTCCAATGTAGTGGATACACCATAGGAAACCACACCGCTTACAGATGATGGCACACTGTCTATACTGGTCAGCATCTTAATTTTTATGTCTTTTTATCAATGTGAGATTCATGACACTCTAGCAGAGAATCTACAAAATTTATTGACCTACTTCCCCAGGCACTAGGTTTGAGTCCAGTCCCTGCTATTGTAATATGCTACAGTAGAATACTCTTTTATATGATTATATCTGTACCTAAATTCTAATAATACGATAATACTGTAGGTTGTGTTACAATTGACAACCCAAATGTATATTTTTTTCACTTAGCAAAATTCTAATTCATGAGATGAAAACTATTTTATTCTTAATGCCCCTAGATGTCACTATAACTCACCAAATGAACACACTGCCTAAAATAGTATTGAGTCAAGAAGCCCTTGATAAAATAAGGTTTTATAATACTTATATGAAGACCACTACAGGAAAAAAAAAATCCACACCTTTACCCATGTCATGTACTGAAACAATCATACCTAATTTCTCAAGTTTGTCCCATATCTTATGAGCAAATTCTGTCCTTTCTGCGAGACTCAGTTCAGGCAAGAGTGAACCACAGCTGCGCAGCAGGAGCAGGGCCTGGTTACCTCCTGGGCTACCTGTGGAAACAGTTAATAGACTGCAGGTGACAGGACCAACAATATGGAAGCAAATGTCAAAGTTTTGTCTGAAGTTTACAATTACTTGAAAATCTCCAGTTTTCAAGGAAATCAAGAAAAATGTCCATTAATGATCCACAAGCCCCCCTGCCCCACAGCAGCTCACCAAAGACAAGAGGGCATCCAAACACCACCAATCCACAACACTACTAAACATCTCCCCAGAAATCTTTAGCAGTGACCTGCTTAGATCCACACCAATGCAGACGTTGTAACTAACGTAGCACGCTGAGCAGACACCAGTCTAACATGCCCTGGGTATAGTATACTAACACTCACCGCTCCTTTCCTTTGGTTTCCTTTTCTTTTGGAAGTTGACAGGAAGTTCATTTGCTTCAGTGAAACCCCCCGTTGAGCCTCTCCCCCCCCCCTCCCTTCCTCGCTGTGTCCGTATGCACACTGTAGCTTCACAAGCCCCTTAGACCTGCGCTGCTCTCACTAAAGTTGCTGACTTGGTCTTATCTGCAGTCTCTGTGTCATGTTTGCTTCTTGAGTCTGACTGAGTAGAATATTTCTCCTCCCCCCCTTAGTGTGTGATGTTACCACCTGGTCCTAGTCTGCAGTGCCACACATATGAGGTGTACTTTGTGTGCAGAGTGTGTCTTTCTTCTGGCATGTAATTTCCTTCACATGAAAGTTTAATGAGGGAGATCTTTATATTCTGTGTAAAAACAAAATCAAACTTATATACTAAAATCATTTGTCTAAAAATGTAAGTTGTTTTCAAATACAAGTTGAAACAACAACAAAACCCAAGAAATCAAAGGCTATGAAACATACATACTCTAAGACCAATGAATCTAACTCCTAAGCAGTGCTTGCTACAGTTCCAAGGCTTTGCCTCTCAGTAGCCTATGGAAATGACACAGAGCAGATAATGAACTCGTATTTATTTTTATCACATTGAAGTTTTATCTTCATGTCCCTTCAAGTTGACTTTAAGACAACACAAAAATAAACACATATTGTAAAACTCCATCTAGAAGTACATCCAGAGCAAGTAACTAAAAGGGCAAAAAATACACTTGTGGGTGCCTAGGACTGGGAAGCCTGGGGAGGGCTGGGAAGCGTGGGGAGGGCTGGGAAAGGTGACTAGGGGTGACCATGAAAAGTTCCAAAATTAACTATGATGGTTGAAGCACGTTGGGTAGATCAGAAAGCTACAGTCTTCCAATGCAGATGACTAGCCATCAGGGAACTTTTTGTTATACTTCATCATTGGAAACTCTGTTCCCTAACAGAATGGATGCCCACAAATAGGCTCAGGGAGAATCTTCTTAAAACACACAAAATCGTACGTATTAGTACGTTTGCTTTTGTGTTTGTCAGGAGGTGAGGGGAAGAGCCTGGGAGTGGAGGACTTGCCACTCCTGTCTGACTATCCAAGACCTAAGTGATCTATCTGCCTCCTCAAAGGCTGACTGGAACAGAGGTAAATGGCTGTCGGTGGTCACCGCAGGAAAACCTGGTGCCTTCTACCACAGTTTACCACTGAAAACAACTCTAGAAACCAGGGGACGCAAATGGCTATTTTTATTTGCTGACTCTGAACAATCTAAATGAAATATTTTCCTGTTACTTCAACCTCTGCCTGGATGAACAGGAAGGCCAGGAGGATAGTTGCCACAGTTGACATAGTGTCAGATGATGCTCCCACAGTGAGCTTCCTACAGAGACATGCTGAAATACCTGAGCGGCACGTGCTCTCAAAGACTTTCTGCAGAAGTCCCTTGGTAATGCGGCCCGTTCTTCGGACAGAATTATCCAGTCTCATCAGAGCCCAATCGAACTGGCTGCTATTCCTTCTCACAGGAGCAGGCTCCTCTTGAAGATCCCTCTTTTCAGCAGCAATGGCATATAACCTGGCTTGGCTCAGCAGCTCTCTAGAAAACGAAATACAATTAGTAATAAACTAAATTGCTATCTAGTCAGGGCACCGTTGGTGCAAAGTTTATACCAAGTTCTGACAGTCACTAAATACCTAATACTGCAATGCAATAGCAAGAAGTACTCAGGGAACAGAAACTGGAAACAAAAGTTTTGACTTTTCCTTCACTCACTCACTCACTTACTCACACACTCAACACACTCACACACACACACACTAAAATTCCGACTGAGTCTGCGTGAACTGATAACCTTCAACATGAAATCATTTCAAACAAAGAAGCCAAATTATGCTTCCTTGATGAAGGAAACTGAAGCAGTTCTCGTTTGTATAAATGAGACAAAAGGCCTTCAAGGTTTTGTTCTGGCATGAGCTTGTCATGAACTTAAATTTGAAATCAGTTAGTTAACTTTACAGGGTCACTCAAGCACAAGTCACTTCAGTCTAGGTAGACGGCTGCATCTCACTTTCAAAGCTCTGCATTCCTCAACACTACCTGTCCACGTCCTAACTCTTTAAGTGAGAGCGCCAAAACTAAAACTGCACTTCTAGACTCAGGCAGTATTAACTTTAAAGATGTCAAGTAAGAAATTAGTTAAGACCAGAATAATACATGTTTCTACAGAATGAACAACCTTTTTTCTTTGTTTTTTGAGACAGGGTCTCATTTAGTCCAGGCTGGCCTGGAACTCCCTACGGAACCAACAATCACTTCTGATTCTCCTGCCTTCAGCTCTGCTGACATGTCAGGCCTGTGGCACGGGCCATTCATGTGCCACAGGTTGTGCAGTGTGAGGACAGGACCCATGCTAGTCAAGCATCTTATGAACTAAGCTACTAAAAGCCCCAGAACAACTCTTTTTTTTTGGGGGGGGGGGGGGGTTTCGAGACATGGTTTCTCTGTGGCTTTGGAGGCTGTCCTGGAACTTGCTTGGTAGTCCAGGCTGGTCTCGAACTCACAGAGATCCGTCTGCCTCTGCCTCCCGAGTGCTGGGATTAAAGGCGTGCGCCACCAACGCCCGGCCAGAACAACTCTTTAACAATATTGTAACAATAGAGTCTAAGCCGGGCATTGGTGGCACACGCCTTTAATCCCAGCACTCGGGAGGCAGAGGCAGACGGATCTCTGTGAATTCGAGACCAGCATGGTCTACAAGAGCTAGTAGTTCCAGGACAGCCTCCAAAGCTACTCCACAGAGAAAGCCTGTCTCAAAAAACCAAAACAAACAAACAAACAAAAAAAAAAAACCAAAAAAACAAAAACAGTACAGTCTAATATACAACTCTAAACTGTGCAGAGGCATTTCATACTATAGGAATAAACACTGTACTTGATTGTTGATTTACAAATATCAGACCTAAAAATTAACTTACATATAAACAATACTGTCATAAATCCTTAATTTTGAAAGGCTTTCTCTGAATTCAAGTATTGTTGCACTTTTAGCATATTCAATTCTTAGGGATCTATTCCAAATACCTTAATTTTAGTTACCACTAAGTTATACTAAGCATTATGTCTAAAAATATTAATTCAGAAAATGCCTTCAGGATGATAAGCACATTTTCTGGCATATAGGTCTTTTACCAGTCAGTGGTGTGTTTAAAAATAAAACTATAGGAGCTATGTGTAACTGAGTGATGGAGCATATACTTAGCATGCAAAACGTCCTGGTTTTGATCTCAGCCCCCAAAAGCCACTTTGTCCTATATTAGCCAGTCACAAACTGAATGTGTATGTGAATCAGCATTCAAAGCTCTGTCACACAGTAATGCAAACCAGAGTCTGTAATTGATACTGGAGTAGAAATTATACCTTGGTGATTGGAGACACATCATAACCACTCAGCCATCATATATAAAGAAATAAATCAGAAAGTATGGGGGGGGGAGTAGGGATACTACCAAATAAGATGATACCCTCTGTGCGTGCATGTGTGCGTGTATGTAGACGGCTGTTTGATAAGTGAGCAGAACTTCTTAAATGATAGGTTATCATCCACAAACCAAAGAAGATGCATGTTTCCCCCTATTTATCAAAGGTCTCAATGGTCATTTGTTACTATGATAATCATCAAAAACTATGCCTTTGCTAGTATGTGTTAAAGAGAGCAGCAGTGTTTAAATAACTCAGAATGACATGTGCAAAAATTTGTATTAATGCAGAGATTATTGAGCAGTGGAAGTGAACTTGCTAACTTCTACACAACTCAAATCTGATGACTACTAAAAAGCACAGGCACACGCACGCACACACACGCACGCACACACACGCACACGCACACACACACACACTTTATTAATGGAGCTTTAAGCACTAGTATACATTAATAACACAGTCCAGAATTGATTTTTCCATTCATTTCCTCTTACAAGGTTGCTGACTAAACCAGGGCCCTCCCACATGCTGTGACAGAAAGGAGAGGGACATGTCCATGGTTGGCCGCTGGGCCCACCAAACAGGCCTGCACAAGCTGGACTGTCCTGCCCCAAATTCTAACACTCCAACTGATAGGACCATAGAAGGAAACTGTCACCTCATGCAGCTATCACCGATAACAGCTTCCTCCTGCTTCAAGTTTACACACCTCATTTTACCATGAGACTCTGGTACACCCCACTCATATTCCAGTTACCCAAGGACTACAATGTGGGAGTGTAAGCCAAATAAACCCTGTCCCCCCCAACTTGCTTTGGTCATAGTGTTCTACTGCAGCACTAAAATCCCTAAGAAACTCTAGCTGACAGTGGCAGCTTACTCACTCTGCGCACAGATGCCCACACGGACAAACACAGTATGTAGCCACTGCCCCATCTTACAGAAAGATGCCACTGCCCTGTGTCCCACCACATCATTGCTCTGGGCTTCCTCCTAATCCCTGGCAAGTGCACATCATTCCACACTCCTACAGTGTCTTTTCCAGGGTGTCATACAACCGCACGGTAACATGTAGTCACTTCAAGATGGCCTCTTTCATCTTGCAATAAACATCACATGTTCTTCTGTGTCTTTTCACAGTATGGTAGTTCATTTCTTTTTATGGATGTATAATATTTCATAGTGTGGGTAAGTTTACTTTAACTCAGCTATTGAAGGCTATGTTGGTTTTTGCCAACGTGTGTAACTTTTGTGAGGCTGTAAGTGCTGATCTCATGTGGGTCAATACTTGGTGTGAACTCCACTTTTAACTTTGTTAGTGGCTATGAAACTAGTTTTCAAAATAGCTATGCAATGTGTATTCCTACAGCAGCGAATGAGAGCTGTTTGTGTCCCTGTTAGCATTTAGTTTTCAGTGTTTTGGTTTAAGTAGCCATTCTTCCAAGAGAGGCAGCTCACCAGTGTTTTAATTTACAATTTGTTAATGACCTATGAACTCTTAGATATTTTTTACACTCACATGAAGTCTGTCTTCTCTAGTCAGGTTCAGAATTCCTGCCCAATTATAATCTGGGTCATATACTCTCTAACCATAGATTTTTAAAAATACTTGTCGTGGCTTTGTTTCAAATAAACTCTTTACTCAAGTATTGCTCTTTCCTTTAACTGCAAATGCACCAAGCTGCTCACACACATCCTTCAAACTCTTCTCCTCTGGTTCATTCCTTGCTTTAAAGTCACCTCGGCACTGTCAGGGTTAAAGATAAGGACAGGAATACAGGACAAAAAAGTGTATTATTAATAGCTACTTTTTAATGCATGCTAAGTAATAGTGATAAATTATTATGATAGCCTCCACCTTACACATAAGAAAACTGACAAATATTCCCCAAATCACAGAAAAGGCTAGGCAGAGATGTGACGACAGAACCAATATTCGCATTTGGTAGTTCAAAGATATCACCCAGCTGCAATGCAGGAGTCATACTACAAAGTGGTCAAAATTAACCCTAGACAAGAACAACTAGGTAATGGGGAGCCTCCAATGCAATGAAGCAAGTAGTTTAGGTTTTATAAGGACTATGGATTGTAGGCTGGGAGAATGCTTTTTCTATGCCTTAATAAATTACTCAGTCTCAGACACTCTTAGATTAGCCCAAGAAGTCTTCATGCTTAAACCTTAGCAGGACAGAGCAACACAGAGGGCTTACTGATTAAAGTGCACAGGCTGCTCTTCCAGGACTCAGGTTTGGTCCCCAGCACCCACAAGGTGTACAGATAGATATACATGTGGAGAAACACTCAAAACTAAACAAATATTTTTTAACTGTTTCCCCGATAAGAGTACTAACTGAGCTCATGTAGTTAGTCTATAGCACACTTTTAGGCATCATGGTTTTGAGACTGTATTTAAGCAAGGATTTTCCATTTCAGTAGGTTTACTTTATGAAGATTAAAAAATAATAACGATCACATCTAGCTCTTTTCTTATTAACATTTTTACTTAAGACAAAATAAAGTTATACAAGTTAGTTTAAGAGCTAGAGGGATGGCTCAGTGGTTAAGAGCACTGGCTGCTCTTCTAGAGCTGAGTTCAATCCCCAGCACCCACAGGGAACTAACTACCCAGTTACAGGGGAAACACCCTTCTGGTTTCCATGGGTACTGCATGCACATGGTGAACAAACACCCATATAGGCAAAACTCCCATACATATAAATAAAAACTTTTTAAATGTCACTTAAAACCTAAGAACAATAAAAAATAAGTACTTAAATACTAAGCACTCAGAATGGCCCAACAGCAAGTAAGAATCTGCAGGCAGAACACAACGCTCCATGTGTGGACAGCACTGAGAAAATGTCCTCATGGGCCTGGCAAGCGAGCTTAGCACACATGATCAACTACAGCATCTCCTAAAGCACCACACACAAGTCCACCTTGTGGGAATGGAGGAGGGGGGCAGCAGGACAGGGGCAAGCAGCTTCCAACCCCAATAAAACAACACTTAACTTGGTTTTTCAAGACAAGGGCTCTCTAACAGACTGGCTGTCTTGAAACTCGATCTGTAGACCAGACTGGCCTTGAACTCAGAGATCCACCTGCCTCTGCTTCCT